GACCTCTTCATTTTACTCAGAGAACAGGGAGGGAACCTGTTGACCAAAGGTTAGAATGTCAGGATTTCATTAAAACACACCCACAGATTGGAGATATTTAAAGTTGAAGTTACCACAAAGTCCTAATGGGCTCAAGTCCAGGAAAAAATTCTGGTAAGATCAGCCTCCCAACAGAGGAAAAGAAAAAACAAAAAAAGATGGATTAGAGCAGCTATATTGAGTCTTTCTGTTTGTGCAAAGACGTGAAACTTTGCATCCATGGCCACTGCAAATGCAAGGTTTGATTTTGCTCTCATTAACAAAATAACAAACCCAATAATCCTGCTTTCTCGGGAGTCATGTAAGCATTATTGTTCATCTGTTGTAGGAAATGGATTAAACCCCAGCTTTATAGATCTGGTCAGGTTGGAGGTCACTCATCGACAAATAAATCTCCACGGCAAAAAAACCTGTCAGTTAATGCGTCTGAGTTGGGGGTTTTTCTGACTCTGAGCTGTAATGTGTGGCGCTCGTTCTGCATTATGTGCGGATACAGTTGGGAGAACTTCTTTAGAATTACTGTTGAATTATGCAAGCGTCTGTGAAAATATGCAGCATATGGTTCACAGAGTCTCTTCTCAAAGAATTTTGGTCATAATGGAAGTTGCAAAAGTCAGAAGGATATTCAACGAGCTTTTTTCTCTCTTGCAAAGCAGAACTCAGTTGTTCCGCTTTCAGCCTGACTGAAAGTTCCCGCTGACCTGTGGCTGGCTCGCTGTACAACTGCTGTTCTGGAAGATTTGCTCACAACTCTCTGATTGGCAGTTCTTTTTTTAACTAATATCTGTGGGTTATTTTTTTAGTTTTTCTTTTACATACAATTTGCCCTATTGAAGGCTTTTCTCATCTGTTTACTGAAACTCCTCGGCTTCTTCTGTTTTTAAGCACCCAGCTGCCAAGGCTGTCTGCCATCACATGCACGTTAAAGCTTCTCAGGCCAACATTAAAAAATAGTCCTATTTTTGTAGACAGATCTGACTTTTAAGAATACAAGTCGCCAAAGTAAACCCTTATGGCTCTGAGAAGGAGGTTGTGGAATGTCAGCGGAGTGCTTTGATTTCTCCTCCCTCTGGGACATTGATCTAAAATTGTGTGTCTCTGAGAAACAAAAATGTGGATATGGCTTCTCAGGACAGGTTGACACATCATCTAACTGGCATAAGAGGTCAGAAATTCGGGGACATTCTTGTCTCTTCTTATTTTCCTGCAGGAACTTGTTGTTGTCTCCTATCGGATTTCACCGGAAATCAATGCTCCCACCTTCACACTGCCAAGTGAGAACTTACCTAGGACCCACCTTTAAATTAGAGGCATGGAGCAACCATTTTTCTGTTTTATACCCCACCATATTTAACCCAGCATGCTTGCGTTGTTCATTTCCTGCTTGTTTTTTAAGTAGTGTTCTTACACAGGAAGCACAGGGACGTCCCAGAAATGCAGTTGAAAGTTAACAGACGGTTTCAAGCTGAAATAATCGATTGCTTTCTGTCTTTTGTAGTCTCCTGTGGGTATGTTGCTGCCCGCAGTCGTCCTTCAGGCCATTCTCAAGCTGAATTATAATCTTACTGTCATAAGTCTTTGCTTGCATGCAAGACCACAAATTGCATGTCAATGTGTTAGTGATGGAATTATTTTCCACTGCCTCCACAGGCTCCCTCATTGTTTGCAGTGGAGGAAGGAAGTGCTTCCTATTCTCCTTTTTTTCCAGGCAGTTGGAGGCTTCGAGTGAACTGATGCAACAGTTTACTTTAGTCACACTCAGTTGGTGTCATATGAGAACTAAAATGCTCCCGGTAAAGTAAAGTTATGGTGCGAGGTGGTAGATTTTGGGCTCATCAGCATGTTATTTATACATATATGTGTTTGTATATGTATATGTTTGTGTGCGCGCATGCATATGTGCACTCTTTGTGCAAACCCATAAGGAGTAAATAACACCACTTCACCTTGTGCCTTTCTGTTGTAAAGTTAGCTGCAGTGTTTAGCAACTTCCTCAACTTTTTTTCTTTTAGTCAAAAAAGACCTTGCAGCTATGTTTTTCTTCTATTTTTGTTGTTTAAGCCTTATCACTGGGACACATCTCTTTACTTCTACTCTTGTTCAGTCAGAGATGAAGAGGAGCAAGCGGCAGCATCCTTAAAGGAGATGTTTACATGTGTGCAGGCAGCGTATTTGTAGTGGATTGTTATCAGTCAGATAGAGGCTGTGCACTGCCTGCGTAATTTCTTCCTTATCTTCTGACTTCCATTTTATATCTTTACATAAATCACAACTTAACAGTGAAAAGAATGTTAAAAAAAAGAATAGTTTTCCCTACTTTCCTTTTGATAGCGAGAATACATTTTAAAAGCGATCACGGCTCAGATGAGACGGTGGGTAAGGGATGGCCAGTGTCTGTCCCTCTTTGTCATGCATGAACACACCAAAATGCATATTCATTCAAGCATGTGCACCCATCTAAGAGGCCCATCTGTCTTAGAGAACAGCAGCTGTTTACGTTCCAGGACAAAGATGACTTCTGATATTCCTCAACTTGAGGTGTCATCCACTGCATCCACCCACACACACACACACACACACACACACACACAGCCACTTGTGCTTGGACATTCCCTCCATGTCGTTGGACTCATTAACTGGTCACTGATTAGACTGAAACAGGACTCCAGAGACTGACTTCACAAAGTGCGGAAAGCTTGTTCGATTCTGAGTGTGTCTGTGAGAGAGTTCATTAATGTGAGCCGAGTGCTGGTGCAGACCCAAATTACTGAGCCGTCTCAGTTTGTCTCCTGTACGGCTGCTTCTGTGCCTGGAGTGTTTTGCCATCCCGCTCGTGGGAGATTTTAGACAATAAAAAATAAAAAAAATCTCCCACGAGCGGGATGATTTTTTTTATTTTTTATTGTGCATACAGAAGCGAAGCTTGTGTGTTTTTGTGCTTCAACGTCACTTTTGTTGTGTTCTTAAAGATGATCCCAAACCACGTTTTTTATGCTTTTTAGTTGCAGTCACATTTGCCAAACAAATGCCGATCTGGCTGCTAACTCGAGCCGACACCGTTGGACCCTTCTGTCATGACTCAGAGTTTTTAAAAGAAGCATTTCCTTTGATGCTGGTGTTCTGGACGCCACATGCTGGATTGACCAAAGACCACCTGAGTTGCTTCTGTTCCTTGCTTTAAAGTGGTGTCCTTACTGTTCAAATTTCTGTCCTCAGATCACCAGAAACTGGAGCGGGAGGCAAGGATTTGCCGTCTGCTGAAGCATCACAACATTGGTGAGTGAACTTTAAGAGCCTGAAGATAACAGGTTATTTTTTTTAAATCCTTTTTTTAAGTGTTGATTTGACTATGACCCCCCCCCCCTTTGTATTTCTGTTCATAACACCATTGTGACTATCCCTGTTGATGTAATGGACCACAAACAGACAGCTGAATCTGGGAAGCCGGGAATATTTTACAGATTCAAATTGTTATAACAATTAGGACGGCGCTCCAGCCAAAGAGACTCTCAAAAGTTTTATGTTTGTGGTGGAAATAAGAACAAGACAGTGGCAGAGTCCTGTGTGGCAGCCAGATTCACTCTGCCCTCCATTTAGTGAACCTGATCTGTGAAAACTCATTGATTTCTCTGTCAAAGTCAGTTGTCAAATGCAGAAGAGATCTACATTGTTATTTTTAAAAGTGTGAGCGCCAGATTCCCCTTCAACCTGAAACCATATGGGTATTGTTTCATTTCGCAAATGTACAGGAGAACTGAGCCAAGAGTCACAGCCAGGTTTTATTTTTTTCATCTTTCATTTCAGCGCTGTCCTGTTTAATAATAACTGGGCAGCAAAATGGCCTCACGTGATATTTAAAGCAGCTGGACTACCTGATCTGTTACTGTGTGGTACATTTGCAAGCAGCTGGCTGGCAGCCCAACAGTGGAAGTGACTGATCTCCAGCAGATATGCCGTCAGCTGGTGGTTTTACTATGTTTATACGATGTGCTCCGTGTCCATGTGTTTGTCCATGAAGTGTAACAGGGCACAGCTACTGTCCTCAAAATTACTAGTGTGTTTTATGTCTTTGATAGCCCTCATTTTCAGTCTGGCAAGATAAGCCCAAAGTTGCGGAAGGTTCCTGCCTTGAAGAGCCAAATATTTCGTGGTGTCGCTGTAGCAGTAAACTGTCTGGCAGATGGAACTTTTATGCAGCCAGTAAATGTCTTTTAAGACTGTTTGTGTTATGTCTCATACATCCTTGGATTTATCGCTCTTGCGTGACCACGCTTGTGCGTGTGTGTGTGTGTTAGTTTTGTGAGAGCCAGAGTAAAGACAGTGGCCCATAGAAAAGGAAGGAAATGACAAAGTATCTTGAAGGCAGAAATGCCAAGTCTTATCATGGTGAGCAGTCCATGAAACCCACAGAGACACGCCGAGTAGGAGACAGCACGCCGTCATAGGCCGGTCGCCAGGCAGCTCCCCCTCATCCCACACGATTGTTTTGCTTCCTCCTCGTCCTCCGCTGTACTTGTCTACTACCGATGTCAAGGTCAAGTTTGTTTTTTGCGTCGCACCAAATGTGGTTCGCCTTCTTTTCAGATTACGGGACCTCAGCCACGTCGTCAGCCGTAAAGGTGGCTTTAAATTCCTCCCATCTGTTCATCTCAGACGGGACTCAGCGCTGCTGCAAGACCAAGGATTAATTACCTTGTTTGTGTTTGAACACAGCAGTATTAGACGCGGTTGCCTGATCCATGGATAATATGCGGTTTGTTGCAAACAGGGCCGCAAAGTCATGGAAGGATTTGCATGAGTATTTTTAGCCGACGTGTGAATTGGTCTAACAGAGACATTATTATTGATGCACGTCAGGCTGGGGAGTGGGAGGTGGAGTGGATCTAACAACCGGATCATTCCATGCAAATGTAATCAGCAAACTTTCTTAATTTGGGTTGTTGAGGATGTAAATTGCAGACATGTGCCCTGGTGAAATGTTAAAGATGTATTCATAAAGTTAAGGATCCCATGCATTGACAAACCTACAGTGTCTGTCAACAGACTATTTACCAGCATTGTGGCAGGTGAGAGGAGAGGAAGTGATGTTGTGGCAGTTCACAGAGGGGAAAACAAGACGCAAGGTTCCTGTAAACTAATAAGAAAAGGCTCTTATATTGTTTCAGACCGGGCTGCAGAACCTCATTAAAACTCGCCACCGTTGGTGTTTCTCCTCTCAGCCACTTTTTTTGCCCACCATCAATGGTATTGATTTATTTTTTTGTCCAGGTTGGCAGCCCTGGGGGTTTCAGAAGAGTTTTCCCTCATGCAGCTTTCCCCTCCTTCACATTTCGTCTGAGCCCATGAGCAAACAAAATAAGCAGCACACTTAGAAACTTTTTTCTGACTGTTGCCCATGGCAGTGACAAACCAACATGGTGACACGAGTGCAGTCAGTGATGGTTTTATCAGTTTGTGTTGAAACTTGAAATTGGCTTTGACATCTGTTTGCGTCTCTCTTGTTATTTGGAACTTTAAAAAAATGAATCCAATCAAACACTGACACCAGCTGAAAGTGGAGTGCAGGCAATTGATAATATCACTTGAGTTAGGACTTAAATCAATAAAATATACAGCAAATAAAACGGTAATAAGAGATCACAAGACAAAAAATAATAAAAAGGACAATACGTAGAAATGAAAACAGTGAAGGCACAATAAAATGCAAATAGTTCATGGGGTTGTGCATAGATTTTTTTTTTTATAATTGTATATATCCTCAGTCAACCAGTCCCATAAAGCTCAACAGTTTTTTTTCATTGTCGAGTGTCTTAAGAGCTGTCAAAAGGTATAATTCAATAGAAATATTACATGAGCAGTGTGATCTGACCTCCAGAGCAGAATCTTAGTTGAAGACTCTGTGTGTTTTTCAGTACGACTCCATGACAGCATCTCTGAGGAAGGCTTCCATTATCTCATCTTTGACCTGTAAGTTAATCACATTTACACACACACACACACTTTAATTATGCATCTTGTTCTGATTATTGGTCAAATCTGTTTTCTAATTGAGAATGTGCACATTCGTTTTTTTCTTTCTGTCTATAATTGTCTAACATTTCCCTTCTCCTCATCAGAGGTTATTTGTCATCATGCATTTATCTGTATGAAGCTGTTTTAGTAATTTTTCAAGCCTGAAACAATGAGTTTCTGTCACTTGGCTCAACAGAGATGAAGGTCCAACAAAAGTCTTGCAAGGACACACGTATTTTATTAGAGAATGTTATAAATATACGTGTCATTACAAACATAAATCATCACCAAAGTGAATCTCTTGGATGGAGGACATGGAATGGCATTTTGGTGCTCACCAGCCTGTGTGTCATCTGTGCGTGATGGGAATTTGCACTGAGAAGGAAGACTAAGCAAAATTCTTTTTCGTTTCCTCTGCAGCGTCACTGGAGGAGAACTCTTTGAGGACATTGTTGCTCGAGAGTACTACAGCGAGGCAGATGCCAGGTAACTTTTCCTGCTTCCCCTATACAGCCATTCCTTTAAAAAGTCAGAAATGTGTACTAAACCACTCCTAAAAAGAAAAGCGTGGAAGTTGGGAGTGTGTTGTGGAAAGCTTTTGGCTCCAGCTGCTGCTAAGATCAGGCTGCAAAAGCAGAAAAGTTTAGCTTTGAAAGCATGAAATGTTCTGCCTCGTGGATACGATTTCGATGACCTTTGCGCTTCAGTAGCAGAAACTGTGCTTTTGGTTTCTGGCTATACCGGTATTAGCCTTATTTCCAGCGAAGTGACTCAGGCCTCTTAAGTCTAAAATCATGAATAAAAAATGACAGAGTGTCCTTATGTGGAAACTTGTTTGCTGTCCGATGTTGCAGTTGGTGATTTCACTGCATGCCTCGCCACAGTTTTGGCCGATATGAGGACGTTATTTATGGTCTATTAATGATGTGAATATCGCCAGATGTAAATTGTATTTCTTTGTTTTTCCAGTCTAAAATATCCAGAAATGAGATCGCAGAATGATGTAATGATCCTCCAAGTTTCTGTCACTAAAAAGGTTTAAATGACGTTAAAAACTTTTAGAATACATAAAAAGACGTCAGTCCAACTGAAATTGTGTAAAATCTTTAGCTGGTTCACTTTCCAAACAGTGTTTTGATTAAACTGGGTTCATCTTTATGTGAAAAATGACTTTTAGTATATGTCCGTGTTCTATCCAGTCTTGAGAAGCACGCTGTCGTGGACTCTAAACCGAGACCTGTAAATACTTTTGTATCGAAAAATGGAAATGGACCGAATTGTTGCAGAATTATGATAAATTATTGCAGCTTTGCTTTAATGTTTGGGCTGTTTTAATCATATAGTTTCAAGTTTGGCCAAAGTTAATAAACAAAGCTGAAATGTGATTAGATACTCCCTGGTTGATTATATAGATTGTTCTCACAGACTTGTAATTCAGTATTACAGTTAGTAACGATGGTATCAAGGTCACCTAAAAGGCGTTTTCTTAGCTCCAAAAAGATGGAGTTAGAGGATTAAAAGGTCTTAGCTGTCTGTTCCAGTGAAGAAAAGTGAATGTGAAGAGATGCGTTAAATATCATTTGGAGTTCGTTTTCTTTTTTTTTTTGCATGATCTGTTCTCACAAACAGGAGCTTTGTTTTGCATTTTACCTTCAGCTGCCCTTTTTTTTAATATGAAATAATCACTGGCTAGGTAAATGAAGTAGTGAGATTCAAGATGACTGAGAACATAAACCAGGTGTGGTTGTAGAAGGTAGGGTTACCAATTGTGAACATTCTGCTTCTGTTTAGTGAAAGATGGCCAGCTGTGGCCATCCTGGTAGAGGTTGCCATCTTTCTTTTCAGATTTCTCTTCCATGTTGTATGACAGAAAAAAAGCAAAAAAAAGTTTCTGATATGTTCACATTCGAACATAAAATGAGAATATTGTGTTTTCTGTTTTTAAGGTTAGAAACTCTAACTCTGTTAGACTAGCTGCTGTGTGTTGAGGTGTGTCTGTCTTCTGTGTGTTTCAGCCACTGTATCAATCAGATCCTGGAGAGCATCAGTCACATCCACCAGCACGACATCGTGCACAGAGACCTGAAGGTGAGCTACCACACAGCAGCGGTGACTAGGAGAGGGGGGCTTTTCTACTATCTGACATTCCTAGATTTGCTAAAACTGTGTGCGTACTGAAGACTAGCTGGAAGGTGTGTGAGCAGATGTGAGCAGATGTGAGCAGCTGCTCGGACGTCACGCAGTGACGTGAACAACAACCGAAGGGGATGAGCGTCATGTCTCCTCACAGGCTTTCTTCTCTAATTTCTCTACATGTACGCCCCTCCTCTTTTTCGGCTGTCCCCCCTCATTCCTCCTCATCCCTCTATTCTGCCCCCCCCCCCCCCCCCAGCGCTGCTGAGGACTGACGAAAGCAGACCAGCTGCTATTAATAGCGGGTCGGTGGGTGAAATGACGGCTGGGGAGGATTTACCTCACAGCGAGGTTTGAGCACCTCTGGCTGGAAACGTCAGCGGCCAGCTGTTTGCTTTTTCATTTGAATCGCTGTGGTGGACAGAAAGGGCTAATTAGCCTGAGATTTCTGGCCCTTAAGCACCACAACACCCTGTTCAACTCAGGGTCAATTCACACTAGGAGTTCAAACTTTGTCTTCACTCATGTAAAATGCAAAATAAACCTGAACCTCAATAGAGTTGTATTTATGTAGCTTTAAATCATAACCAGGGACTTAGAAGGTATGGCTCAGTTGAACAATTATTACAAACTTTATCCAATTCGTACAGAGACAATAAAGTTTTCTAACTAAGGAAACCAACTAATTGTTTTTTTTTTAATACCTTAAGGCAACTTTCTTTTAAAAATTCTGCAGTCAAACTTAAAAAGAAGAAGAAAATGAAACTTTGCCAGTATGATTTAGCTTCTTTTGTGCTGGTTGCAGGTCGACACTGCCTGAGCTTTTGTCCTCCACAGAACACGGCGCTCCTGAAATGCCTTCATGACAGTCCAGGCTGTTAATCCATAACTTATGCATGACCATTCAAAACAGTTGAATAATAATTTGAATAATGAAAAATCCGAACCCTGCAGCAACTTAAGATATAGTAATTGCTATGAGAATTCCCCCCCCACAATTTTTTAAACACTGAGGAATGTAATTTTTTTTGGGGAGACCGAGTATTGGATTATAGACCTTTGCCATGGCCTCAAATGGATTCTTTAAAGCTCAAGTTTAATTTTGAATTCAACAACCACTAATTTCTGCATCCGATAGTTAAGAGAGCATGTTAAAGAGACCTTAATGAATGCATGTCCGACATTGACAGTGTTTCATCTTTATTTATGGTTTCTCCCTTAGGATCATATAAGGCTCTTTAGTTTATAAGTAATTCAACCAATTTATTTCATGTTTCCAAAAGGAAAAAAATGAATTAATGAATGTGGGGAATGCAAGAACTTTGATCAGAGTGAGCCTATCCGAAATGTTTCCATACTATAATAATCATCACCGTGTAATCGTTGCTGTTGGTGACATCTTTTACGTGATACTGTTGAAATGTAAATAGTAGTTAAATCCGCCGGGATAAAGAAATTAGTGTCGTCGTCCAGCTGCCGGAGGCAGCTCCTCTAGCCTGCCTTGTGCCAAAAAAAATGCAATTTCTGCACTTAAAATCTTTTTTCCGAGAGAATTGCAATGAGCTGCATGGGTCCCGGGGTCATGTCACTGGGCAAACAAAGCGTGGCGGGCAGAGATTTGACCTTCCAGACATGCGTCATATTTCTGCCTCTGTCATCTTGGGAGGGCCAGTCACTTGGGGCGGTGGAAGGGGGGCAAGACTTAGAGAGGACGATCCGAGTGCTGTTGGCTGGTGGCAGGCAGGGTTACCATGGTAACAGGAGGGTGAGGTCACCCGGCTGCTGCAGCGCCAGCGTCGGGACTCGTTATTCCTTCTATGTATCTTTTGCTTTCACCTCTTATTGCTTTTTGTTCTCCTTGGGTGGCAGGCAGAGCTGTGGGAGGGAAAGAGGGATGTGGCTGACATGTTTAATAAAACAGGCTTAAGACACTTCATGCACTCATTTATCTGTCCACGCAAGAGGCCGTGACAGCAGCTGTCTGCGACAAAAAACCTGCCAGCTGGGACTTGTAGTTCAGAATGTCTTGTGTTAAGGGTCATCAGTCTATGTGGGCCTATGCAGATTAGGGCGAAATGTGGCACAGACATGCTGTTATCTGGATCCAGTTAGGGACGTAATTCTGTTTTGAAGACCAGACACCCGCAGTGATCCTGCCCTCTTCCTATTGTTTGCATGAAATATTTGTTTTGGTTGTGTAAGTATAAAAGGTACTTGCATGATTTCCCTCGATAGAATCGCGGTCGTTTGTGTCTTCGTTGTAGTCCGGTTACAATAGCAGAACGAGGGGGAGTCGGATGACCTTTAGCCGTATGAATCATGGTAGGATTGATGATACATGATTCACATGTGATCATACTGCAACACAGATCACATCCTGGTATAACTTGGTCAGTTTGTTTAATCTAGTTCTGAGGAAAAAAAGAGAAATGTCGACATTTGTGGTCAACAGAGATTACTTTATTGAATAACATGGCTGAGTCTTAATCGCCATGGATAGTTTAGGTTGGGCTTGGCAACTGTACCAAGTATAAGGTTTCTCATTGATACAGAGATGTAAAAAATGGCTGTTAAAATGATATTTAGAGAAATAAAAAAAAAAATGATGTGGAACAGCTGTGCAACTCTAATCAGTGACTGACCTCATGTGAAAGCCTCACATGTTTTTTTTCCTTTTCTTCTTTTGCCGTCCGTTAATTAGAGAGACTGATGTAAGCAAATTAGGAAACCTTGCCGGGACCCGACATCTTGAAGGACTCTGAAATAGAATCACAAAATGTTGTGTTAAATGCTTCGACAGCTGGATTACGAGCTCAGTCCTCTGAGGGAAACCTCTGAGTGGCTTCACCACATCAAGCCTCATTATTTCTGTAGATGCCAATTTGCACCTGCAGACTGATGAGGCAGCAGCCTTCCATCATTTTTTCTCAGTTCAGAATTTCTGTTGTTTCTTATAATTGTGTCTTGTTTCATTTTCATGCAACTCATCATATTGAACATATCTTTACCTATTCCTGTCATTTAAAACTAGATAAACATCAATGTGTCTCCTCTTACTTTTAATTATGTCTCTGTTTTGGGGCAGTTTACAGAATAACTCATTCGGGAAAGAATCTGAAGGCACATTTTCTGTGTTGCAGCCAGAGAATCTGCTCCTGGCCAGTAAGATGAAGGGAGCAGCGGTGAAGCTTGCAGATTTTGGTTTAGCCATAGAGGTGCAAGGGGACCAACAAGCATGGTTTGGTAAGAGCTGAAAAATATATCAAACATGTTCTATGTGCTTCCTACCTCCTATAGAAATATATTATTTAGTAAGCATGCAATCTGTAGGCAGCTCCATTTATAACTGTTAGAGGAAGTTTAATAATCACAGCACTCAGTGCAGATGTACACCCTATATTTCTTCCTGAGAGAAATGGATAGTATTGCAGCTTTAAAAACAAAATCCACATTAAGTGTGTTTGTGCTCCAACAGGTTTTGCTGGAACTCCTGGATATTTGTCCCCGGAGGTGCTGAGAAAGGACCCATACGGCAAACCAGTGGACATATGGGCATGTGGTCAGTAATAGAGCTGTGAGCGTGGAGCCACAACAAATTCCTTTTAGACGAAATTCATATTTTCACAAGTCATTCGCACTCCTGAATTTCTATTTCCATCCGTTTAGTTTATTCATGTTAGTTACTTTTGTAACCATGTAGTAAAACAGGACCGCAAGTAATCTATTATAGCCCCCGCATGATGATTGTGTTTGTTTGCTATTCTGTCTGGACTTTGATGTATTTATGAAGCTGGTTGGTGCTTAATGAGTACACAAAACTCACAGAAACATTAATTCTGTGTGTTGGCCCACACACTTTGCTCTGACTAATGGCACAATAAGTCAGAACTCACCTGTTTGGAGAGCTCATGCTTGTATACCACTCTATTCTAGTCACCAAAACCATATTTACACATAGTATAAATCTACCTGTTTACTGCATTGCTGTGTGTGCTTGTGTGTGCCAGGTGTGATCCTGTACATCTTGTTGGTGGGCTACCCTCCATTCTGGGATGAAGACCAGCACAAACTGTACCAGCAAATCAAAGCTGGTGCCTATGATGTAAGTAACTAATTTAGGGTTAACGTCCTTTGTCCCACTCTAAGTGTGAGCTGTGCTTAACTGAAAACCTGCATTGTATTTTTAGCGGACAGAGAACATCAGCGTGCTTGTTTTCGCCGAGATAAGGGCTCATTTATAGCGCTGTGCTGTTGATAGGCCAGCCGTGGATGTTTTTTTTTATGTGGGCTCTGCTCCATCAGACAAGCTTTCTCTGGCAACACCACCCATCGGCATGGATGGAGACAGATGTTCTGGGCATGTCGAGGCCTCCTCTCTCAACTTAAACCTCTGCTCAGAGGCGCATCCGGCTTTGCGCCCCTCGTCTGGTAAAAGCACGTTTAATTGGGAGTCGGAGGCCAAAGGTGTTCTAATTAAAATAACCCTAACCCTATCAGACTTAAATAGGGAGGAGAGCTTAACTGCTTCACTAAATTTTTCATCAACTCATTTGACATCTTTGTAAATGTATCCTGAAGTGTATGTGATGTAAATGTTGTGTCCTTTAACATCGTGTGTTTTTCAACTTGTAAATCACTCTCCTATGGTGAAGATCTGCTGACAGATTCACTTTGATAATGGTGCTATCATTTATGTTGATGAAATGATGTGAAACGGAGCGATCGTGAGTGCACGCAGGATGCTTCCTGTCTGGCTCCTCGTCTCCAGGCAGCCCGATGGAGCTTTCATCAAATGTTTTGAATCGAACAGAGTGGGAAAGTGCTTCAGAAAAGTACTACGGCACGTCTGGGGAGTCACAAACATTATCCTGAGTGCCTTCAGTGGCATAAAATGGAATCTGAGGGTTAGACACATCCAACCATACAAATTACACCAAAGTTTTTGATGTTCACATTTTGAGAAGGAAGAATTCATACGACCCACAGTCTCTACAGGTTTTACACTATGTGCATATTTGCATGAGTTACTGGCTTCTGCCATTTCCCGGTAAAGCCCTGTCGGAGGGTGAAGTCTGCACAGAGGTTGCAGAATTTTCTGTTTCTTAATTTGACCTCCATCAGGTAGAAGTGTTAACATTTTAATTGGTAGAAAAGGCCAAACATTGCATACACATTTAGCAAACAGAGAATAATTGACGTTGACTTCATAATGGATCTGTTTGGTGGTCGTCCATCTCCTTTTAATGCTGCTGAGAAAAATACTATAAGTTGGTGCTGAACAACATCCGGAACAACATCCTTAATGGATCAACAATGGGCAGCAGTAACAAGACATGTTGTACTTTTAAATCTTTATAAATCCATGTTTGCTCCATTGTTCATTATTTTAAGCTATAAGATATGGAAAAAAAAAAAAAGATAATAGCTTGGTTGTAAATTGAAAATGAAATTACTGCTTGTTGTGACTGCTCACTTTTTCAGAGGGTAATATTTGTAAAAAAAATCAGCAAGTTGTAAGAAGGTTAAGATTCAACGTGCCTGACAAATAATCGTGTAACATGTTTATGTAAAGGCTAATACTATAAAGTAACCCTAAGAAGTGAAAATCAATTTTGTAAGACACGTTTGTCCCATGTTTAACCAGCCATTCGCAGTGATATAGTAACAGTCATTAAATGTCTGTCTCCTGCTTTCAGTTTCCTTCTCCAGAGTGGGATACAGTGACTCCTGAGGCCAAGAATCTGATCAATCAGATGTTAACGATTAACCCTGCCAAAAGAATCACGGCTGACCAGGCCCTAAAGCATCCCTGGGTCTGCGTAAGTCACATTTGTCTTTTTTGTTTTCAGCATCTAAAGATTTCTCTCGCAGATTTATTGTTTTCTCTGTCCATCTTATTGAGCCCTCATAAATTAGCATAATGTTGGAATAACCTGGCAGGACACTGTGAGCTGGAGCTCAAACGGACACTGCTTTACAAATCACTCCTTTTGGACACTCAGCTCTCAGTTAGTGTTTGAACTGACTTATCAAAATGGTATGCAGTTTTCTTTTAGGGTGTGGATCTCTTCCCTTTTACAATTATTCAACATGAGACAAGATTTACAATGGGACAAGTGACATTTTGTTTTTTTAATGGCAGAATAATTATACGTTATAAAATACAGATATTCATTTTCCATTCAAATAAAACCACTGGTCGGCCACATTAAAACAGATTTAATTAGAGACCAGATAATTGCAACTGCTTTTGCTACTTTATAGCACAATGAAAATGACTTAGATTTATCTTTTGTCTTCATTCTGTTCTTTGCTAAGTTTGTCTCAAACTTTGACAGTTTTAATGGTTAAAGTCATTGCCCATCCCAAGGCTTTACACATTACCTAGTGTGGCCCAACACAGATATTTGGGTTTCTTCCTCATAGTGGAACAATCTTAAACATCTATTTGATGCACCCTACTGGTTGGGACAAAACTAGCTGTGCTATCATTTCATGTCACAAGGCAAAAATCTCTTACATCTTTCAGGAGTTTTAGTCAAAACTTTGAGTAAAAATGGTGCGGATCTGCAATGAATAGGAGCTATTCTGAAGTAAAATAGAGCCATTGTTTTTTCCCTCTGTGCACAGCAACGCTCCACTGTGGCCTCCATGATGCACCGCCAAGAAACTGTGGAATGTTTGCGCAAGTTCAACGCCAGGAGGAAACTCAAAGTGAGTGTCGACACCCTTAACCATGCACCAATGTGCTCCCACAACACCTGAAATGCCGATTGCTCTCTTCCCTCCAGGGAGCTATCCTCACAACCATGCTGGTGTCCAGGAACTTTTCAGGTGAGGCTTTCGTTGCTCAGTTTAAATTGACATTTGTCTCATGCACGCTGAAGAATACATATCCGATGTGATCTACTGCCACTCTTCCTGTTTTTAAAGCTCTTCCTCTCAGTTTCTGTTGCGCTCTAAAAGAGTTTGGCTCGGATTTCGCCACGGCCAGCGGTGTCATCTCTGAAAACGCGGAGCACTCCTGCTTGAACAGCCTATTTGTGGGCTGTGTGATGGCCTAGAAAGCTAATGTGTTAATGCTATCGATTTCTGTGTTTACATGCTTCCATGTAAGTGAAGTAGCTCCAGTGGATTACCCTTGACCACTTTGTATGAGTCAAGACTGATGTGGCCAGAGAAAAGCAGACAGGACACACCTCTGACCTGCCTTTCCACATCACTGCAGGGTGTTTTTACAAAGATGGTGAACTAACTGAAGATAACTTCATTTGCTTAAGTGCCTCTGCTCCTTCCCCTTTACTTTAATAATTAAAAAAGGTTTGCGGCAAATGTTGAGCGAGTAAGAAAACAAGACTATCGGGCGTTTGTGAGGCTTTCGTCCCGACTTCAGCTCCAAACTGAACCCCTCTCTGTCCAATAGTGGGACGGCAGCATACCAGCCCTGCTGCTACCACCAGCACGGCCGCAATGGCTACGGAAGGTATGTGTGCTCCAGGGGGTGGTGGTGTTAGGGCGACGCCAGCTTCATTCTCAGGCTATCGGCATGTGGCCCGGGCTGCTTGAAATCCCCCCTCCTTCCCGCCCGCTGCCTGCTGCCTGCACACTGATGGAGCAGGTTTTTTAAAATGCTCACCATTGCACTGGGGCATCACTCACAAACGCCTCAATGGGACCTGCGGGTGGTGCTCAGATCTTTACCTTTCAGCAACTCCTCTTGATTCTTCAATGAGCTCGCCTCCTCTGCCGGTCAGGCTGTGATTTCCTGTGTAGAAAACGGGAGTCATTTCACAGCCCCCCCACCCCCCCTACCCCCACCCCAGCATGACCCTCTGATGCTCCAAAGCGGTGTTTCCTTTTCTGTTGCAGGTGTTTTTTTTTCTGCATTTTTACCCTTTTATTTGCAGATCTAAAAAAAATCATTGTTTAACCCCTTTTACCCCTCTCAGTTTGAGCTGGTTTTTATCCACAGAGCCGATGCCCAGTCCATGCCTGCCTGTGCCCACTGCACACTGCCTCTTCCCTCCGCATGGCTCTGGCACCAAAAGCCAGCCGAGCATGTTTCTGTGTCTGCAGTACAGTACCGATTGGCACCCTGCATGGGAAACTGGATGAGCAGAATGTGTTAACTTGTTCCCTTTGCCTTTCTTCTCCTGCCTGCTCTGGTCTTTTCGAAGTGAACAGTACAAACCTGCAAAAAAGCCTCAGGATGTCAGTGTGTTTCAAACCAAGTGCTCATATGATCTTCAAACAGCATCTGAGACAGGAGGGGACGATTTGTGTCCCTCTGAAAGCAACGCTCGAACCAACACTTACCTTCCTTCATCCAGAGTTCAGCCGTGAAATGTTGGTAGTGGTTCTTCTGTTAGGCACAGGCGGGAATGATTGTAACGGTAGAACAACACCATAATTCCCTCACAGTTTTCAGACTCTGTAAACTCCAAGCTATGTTGATTTGTCTGTAAGTTAGAGTTTTAGGGGGTAACTTTAGGTCCTTTTGCTGATTTACTGAGAAATGAAGGGGAAAGAATCATCAAACACACTAAAAAAAGCCTGATTTCCTCATCAGGATTTAATGCTTTGTTATTTGTACGGCCAGCTTTCCATTGGCTCTCATCTTCCAATGAGAATGATGTAATTAATATCAAAACATAGGACAAGAGCAAAATGGTTTCAACTTGCGACTTTGGACGTACAGCAAAGGGAGCGTGATTTGAAGTTGAAACCGGGTGAAGATAAAAGATGGGAATGCAGCGTTACTCTGAGCTCTGAGTGTGGCATGAAATCTGCTTCAAATCTGAGACCTTTTCAAAGCGAGGCAGCTCCAAAAGAAGCGATTATTTTATTTTTTTCCCCCTGGGTTAGCAGTCAAATCTAACACCTAAGTATACTCTCAAGTATTCCCCCTCTAATTGGTCCTTTTGAAATCCTCCTAAACAGACTCTCAAGGATCAATTTCATCCTTCTCAGGAATTCAGGCGGTTTGCTTCCACTTTGGAGTGCGGGGATTCAAATCACTTAAGGCAGGCGAGCGTGGTGTAACCTGTCAGAGACGTGCAGTTTCCGTTGTTTGAGGCACGCTCAGTCCTTTCCTATTCCAGGAACAGCTGCACACGCAGAAAAGGGGCTCTGATCAGCCAGTGGGTTTGAGTATATTAGCAGACAGTGAAGTAACCGCTTCTGAATCTGCACAGAATGCTCTCTTCTGATGAGGATGCTAAAGTGGATGCTGCATGCCGAGCTGCATATGAGCTACAGTCACTGCATGAGCCCACCGCCTCAGTGGGAAGCGATTTCCCAATGCCGTTTAACATCCCACTAAGGGCCTCCGCTGTCGGGACCCCCAGCTGTCACCTTTTAGTTGTCGTAGTCCAGATGTTGATATAAAAAAAACGTCCCTGTTTTTCTTGCCTTATTTAATGCCCTTCTTCCATCTTTCTCATGGAAGGTAAGGGTGGGCAGCCAGGCCCACTTTATGTGTGCTCATTTGAAGTCCGTTTATGCATGTGGGTGTTTTTCTCAAGGAACCTGTTGTGTGTGTGAAGGGGTAAATCTAATTTGAGATAGAGTAAAATCAAAGTGCTGGAATAGGTGAAACTTTTCATCACGGGACTGAAAACATCACCTGTGGGATGCACAGCTGGGCACAGACTGCTCCCGTTTCCGTCAGGGTTTCTCAGCTTCGTCTCGGTTACACGTCAAAGCTGTTGATTCCAGTGTCTTCCTCTCCATCCTCATCATCTTCTCCTATTCTTTCAGCGTGCAAAACTTTGCTGAACAAGAAGGACGGCGTGAAGGTAAGACGTCTGACCCGCGAGGGTTCCTGTTTGTCCCGACTGCTCCTCATATCCTCTGTTGTCTGTCTCCAACAACATGTATATCTGTGACAAAAAACAGTTTTTAATTCATCAGGTTATTTCTGTGCTCTGGTGCTCCATATCCAAGTAGAGAATTAAGTAGGCAGTAATGAATGCTAGTTAAAAGTTACACAGATCTAAAGGAGAAAAAAAAAATCTATAGGACTTATCTGGTAAAATGCTGTTTGTATTTTGAACTCAGATTGATTTGTTTTTTTTGTCTTTGGTCAGTGTCAGTGCATGCAGAAAAGTGCCACGATTGGCAGGCGGCCAATCAAATCTCCCACTAATGGGCTGTCCCTCAAACCCGTTAATGATATCCAAATAAACTGCCAGACCACAGGTTTTTACGTGAGCTCCTCAAAAGTTAACACTCTGTGCTTTTGGAGCCGATCGGCCGTTTTCTTTTATGTTGGTTTGTCTTTTTTTGCTTTTTCCAGCTGCTTAGTTCTCCTTCTTTTGGGACCAGGCACTTTTTTTGCTGTTTCACTTAGCTCCTTGTTTCCCGATGACTATTTATTTTTCCTCCCCCTCTCCATTGCTCTCTGTCAGAAAAGGAAGTCCAGCTCGAGTGTTTGTTTGATGGTGAGATCGGCTGTCGTTTTTTTGGATTTTTTTTTCTTTTTTGGACCTTTCTTTATTCTTTGTCTCTTCTCCAGTCTTCCCACTGTCTCTTGTGAAAAGGAGTGCTTTAAGAATAGTCTCTCTTGGATTTAATGACTTCATCCAATGTTCTTGTGTCCCCGTCATGGTTGTCACAAAACTATTTAAGCTCCAAACAAATACCACACGTGCTCATTTCTGTCCTGTTATACTTCTCTGATCTTGGACAAGATCAGGCCTTTTCATTTGATCCACTAGAGTGAAGCACACTTTACAGCAGACATCAATTTACAAACATTTCTTCCTTTTTTTCCTTTTTTTTTGAGTTGTTACATGGTTAGTCATTGTGTCGTCATTGCTTTTTATTTGAGTGACTTGTTTTTCCATGAATGAAACCGCTGTCTTGGTCATGTGCAGATAATCATCACTGTTAAACTAGAAACAGTTGAGGGCAAGAGGCATTTTAAACATTACGATTTAAACATTTATCCTTTTACTAAATTGGATCTTATGTTGAATAAGGTTGTTGTCCTTTCTCTGTTCTTTCCTTCTTTTGGAATATGAATTAATTACCTACATTTTTGATGGCTCTCTTTCTAAAGCCGTAAACTGCAGTTGTAATTGTAGAGGTCCACAGACGCTTTGTTGGGAAACAGTGTTCTGAGTTAGTTCTGGCTTTGCTTGTTTCAAAGGATTATTTAACACAAATGTATGTTTCTACTTGTGTATACACACACAGCCATCCAGAATTAGACCAAAAGCCCCATGAAAGGCCTTTCACTGCATGCACAGACCTAGACTTGTAACGATTTTGAATTTATTTTTGAATTAGTGCACATAGGAATTCTCTGGAGCTCATTTGAATAAGAAATTAATGATTTTTGCTTATAGCTCTGATATGTGATCATAGATAAAATGTTGGAAAGATTATACATTTACATATTTCTTAAAAGTGATGGGAGAAAAGTGAATGAATGTTTTAAACTGTGTACTATGAATAATATCTCTTCTTTATTTAGTTCTTTACTCGTTATTTTTCCTGTAATATTATCATCATTAGTATGAACATGTTTCAGTAAAATTGGGCAGTGTCGCATATCATGTGAAATTACAGAACTATAGTCATGTTATCCTGTACTGTTGATCAAATGGGCACAAGAACAAGCTGCCACTTCAAAATGCGCAGGATGCAAAAACATTCAGACAAAACTTTTTAAATTCCTACATATGCGCCCCTCCCAAGTAATACCTCTCCCTATTGTGCTCACTTCAGTATCTGAAGTACTCATGTTGGCCCTGTAATGGCTTTTTTTTTATGTTAGCCCCTCCTACTGCCGGAGGACGGTTCATGGCTTAGTGGGAGTCACTCTGTTGTGTTTCTTTGCCCCAGTCGCAGGGAAACAACAGTAAAAACAGTGTAGTAAGCAGCAGCAGCACCAAAGACAGCAGCATGTCATCTACAGCACCAATGGTACCACATCTGTTTGGCTTCTCTTCAGTTAGCTTTTTCATGGCATCATTTAATGTTCTCATTGATTTAATGTTTAGTTTTAATGTCTCCTCCTCACCTTTCTCTCTCACCCAGCATTAAGTGAACGCTTCTCTGTCTCCTCCATCACTCTCTGCCTTTTCGCTTCTGTTTCTGAATACAACTTGTGATGTTGGCGGTGAATTTGACAGCTCTAACGTCGAACGACTGCCCCGACTTTGAGTGTCTCTCTTGGCTCTTCTTTTACCAATAACATCCTGCAGACGTGGGTGCAATATTTACCTGTCTGGACACACCACGGACAGTTAGACAAATTACTTTCATTTTGTTTTACAACAGCAGACAGCTTTGTCATGTTGTGCCATCCAGCCTAATCCTGGTGGCTCCTTCCAGTCTCACCAGAACAGTGTTGATAGCTTCTTTTTAAAGTGAAAAATCTGCTTCACAGCACTATGTTTTCCTTTAATTTGGGTAAAAGAAGAGCCAGTAAGGATGATAACTGTATGAAGATGCAGCCCCCATGGAAGATATGTGATTGTATCATAATCCACTTTGCATTGGACTTAAACCATCTATATTTAGTATCTGAGCTTATATGTAAAATGTCTAAAACATTGTAGAATTCTTTAATCCACAATTTCAGTGAAGGGGCTGCATGTCCTACGGTTGATTCCTATATTAGTCAGGGGTGGGCAGCTAATCTAGTACTCTGTGGTTTTGTTTGCCCACTTTTGCAGTCTTTGTGATGCTGAATGTTTCCGCAGTGGAGTCGGCTCCTGAGGAGGAGGAGGAGGAGGGGGAGGAGCAGTTATTGTGCTTTATATTTACTAGCTGCCCTCCAAAAACGTCGACACATTTTCTTAAATGCTCTGCATTCGATGTGACACTGAGAAAGCAGTAATAAAAAGAGCTACAGTTTCCAACACTTTTAAGCATGAACTACATGTTTATTCATGCAAAATAAATCATTTCCAAGCTTTCCACTGTAACTTGGACGTTGATGCAAACTGATTATGTTAAACTGGAAAACTTTCGGGCGACGTTAATGCATGGTGTCGTTTGCTCCACATGCACAGCGCAGACCTCCTCCTCAGTCGCTGTTTTGACTGGTGAACTGTGTTTAGGTGTGTGTGTGTGTGGCCATTTCTGTGCTTTTTGGGGATTCTATAAATGATTCCTGTTCGCCAGTGAAGGGGAGGCTTTGTCATCTACGATGAACGGTCCACAGCTCTGTGCTGTCCTCTGTGTTTGCACATGTGATTCTGGTTTGTGTGTGTCTGTGGTGATGGAATATGTTAATATTCCGTGACATCATTTGATGGCGCACCCCCACCCCTCTCATTCGTCCTCTCCCTGCATGATAAAGTGTGTCCTACCTCCCCCCAGGAAGCCCAGACAACTGTTGTACACAACCCAGCTGACGGCACCAAGGTAAGCCTTCTCTGACCTCACACCACAGGCACTGCGGTCATTAACGCAGATCGGAAGCTGGATTTGGTTGAAATTCATCTCTGGGACTAGAAAAAAAAAAGGAAGAATCGTTGATGATATTCTGCTCATTCAGGCAACAAACTGATCAGGGCCCTGAAATGTGAATTAGATGTTTTTCCCCCAATGATTTAGAAAATAATATTTGAAAACAATTAACACAAAAAAAAAAATCATAGCATTTTTTATTTTAACTTTAAAAAGCAAATTTAGCAAAAAAACATGCAGATCTCAGGACGCTTGCTGAACTTTACTTTTTTCGGCTGGCATGCTTGATCGGTTTTTACCAGCTGACAGGGACGCTGTCCTCACTTTGCCACACTTGGCTAGCTCCTGCAGGGCGATTAAACATCAACACACGGCCTCATACTTCGGGTCGAATCAGCGCCAGGGTTTCAAACTGCTAACCCTCGCAGCAGCTTTGTTGTGGGTGACACTGTACTTCCCCTCGCTGCCGTCTGGGCTGGTTTGTGCTCCTGGGAGGGAGTCGTCCACCCGTCCATCTGTCCGTCTGTTTGGCCCCGTCTCGATAAGCAGTCTGTGCAAAGCGTCTCATGATTGTTTCACTTGAAATGGATTTATAAGATGGAAACCTTTCTCCCTTCCCTCCCTCTTTGTCCGCCCTTTTCTCTGCCCTCCCTTGTGTCTTTTTCTGTGTCCGTATTGTTTTTGTCTGAACCCTCTCTGTTTGACAGGGCTCCACGGAGAGCTGTAATAATGCAGACGATGATGAGATGAAAGGTAGGAAAGGTACCTGTCCAATTTTCACCTTCTCTGCATGAGTTTTTGCACGTTAATCACAAGGAATCTTCTTGATCTTCTATCAAAGGAATGAATGATAGCTATGTTTTAGGCAGCCGTCTTGTGGAAGAGCTTCAGTGAGGCCACTGGAAGCTTTTAGAATCCGTGGGTTTTGTAGTTTGCAGGAATTACAGGAAATCCAGGTTTGACATCCAAATGTGGTCGCTGTGCACCAGGGTGAGGCACTCAGCTGCTGATCTACCCAACAGCAGATCCGAGCTGTGGCAAACACCCGGTGTAAGAGGCTCCTTAGGAGTGACGCGGGATGAGAACATTGACCTGAAGTTCTTCAGGTGGACGAGAGCTGAAACAAAGTGATTTGTGCTGCTTTGCATTAGCTGAATGTGGAAAAGGGCAGTTATTTTTATCCCTGTTGTCATCAAGTAGGTCTCAAATTCAGGAATGAATGATGCTGACTCACTTCCTAATGTTTCTTTGAGTTTTTATGTGAAGTCAGATCAAATGCTGGAGTGCTGGTCAGTGTGCGTGTGTTGAGGGGACGGCGGTGGCTGCTCACCTGTAGAGCCTTCTGACTCGGCTCCCTCCTCTGTCCTGTCTTTACAAAGAAAAACATTTATTCTTAAATAGCCACACATAAACGGGGATGAGCTAAAACTCTTCCTGGATTCCCCAACTCCCCGCCTCGGGTCCCTTTGCCCTCCTGTGCTGCCACCTACTGGCACTTCCTCAAGTGTTCAGCGCATCGCTTCTCCCTGTTATCCAATTATTCAGTGAGCTTCTCAGTCGCAGTCTATCATAATGGCTGCTGAGAGCTCGCACATGTAGCCTCGTTTTACTGGGACAAGCGTCCCTGCCTGCGTTTCCGGTTTTTTTCTTTGAATCGTGCATGTCATCTCCTGCTAAATTTGGTCTATAATTCAAAACTGGCAAGTTGTTTTCTGCTTGATTATGTTGAGAGATTGGAGCACTTTCAGGGTTGAGTGGTAATTGTGATCTTGATTGCTTTTATCAAATTGTGTGGTGTGTTTTGTAAATCCAGGCCTGAGAAGTCATTCTTACCAGAGGCCGTGCACAAATTGATTTCAAATGTCAGGCAGTGTCCTGATGTGCATGTGCATCCTCCAGAGGATCAGTGACTGCCTGCAACCTCCTCTGGACACCCCCACCACCTCAACCTCTCCTTTTTCTGTTTATAGCTCGCAAACAAGAGATAATAAAGATGACAGAGCAGCTGATTGAAGCCATCAACAATGGGGATTTTGATGCCTACACGTAAGTTTCCATTTTCAATGCAATGTGTACCTTATCCTTTAAAAAAAACTGTAGTCAACATGCTCTTCATGGGTATTTTTTGGGTTTGGTGCGTGCATCCTGCAACTCAGTTTTCACTTCATTTTCTTCTAAAAGGAGAATCTGTGACCCCGGCCTGACCTCCTTTGAGCCGGAGGCTCTCGGGAACCTGGTGGAGGGCATGGACTTTCATAAGTTCTACTTTGAGAATCGTAAGTCATGCATTTCTGTTGAATCATCACGCAAACTCTGCTGACAGTGGAACAAATTAATTTTTAATCTACAGGCACAAAAGAAAAAAGAAAAAATTGTGTCAGACACCAGACTGTTAAAAAAAACTTGAAAGCATATTATTCCAACGAAAAGTGATCTGAAATCAGAGAGTGAGCAACACTATTCATGAGGCTGCTCTAAAATATTGTTTCTTATGGCTGATCCACTCGTTTCCGCCTCTGTAGTTCTGAGTAAAAACAGTAAACCTGTGCACACCACCATCCTCAACCCCCACGTCCATCTGATCGGTGAGGACGCCGCCTGCATCGCCTACATCCGCCTGACGCAGTACATGGACGCTCAGGGCCGGCCGCGCTCCTGCCAGTCTGAGGAGACGCGCGTGTGGCACCGCCGCGACGCCAAATGGCTCAACGTGCACTTCCACTGCTCCGGAGCGCCCGCCGCCCCGCTGCAGTGAGGGGGGGCCCAGGCCCAGGTGAGCCGGGGGCTTCACGTGTTCTCAACTTCTCTTCCTCCTGAGCTACATCTGCCTGTGTAGCTTAGCTTTCATTCAGGATGAAAGATTACACGATATTATTCGTATGCTGGACTGGGAATGTACCTCTAATCGGTTCTGTCCGTGACAGCAGCACCATGAACCCAAACTGTCATATCGTCCAACTGAGGGAGAATCTGTTGTTGTTTTTTTTGTAAAATTGAGTCATTAGACCAGGTAATGCCTCCTAGACCGTGCTTAGATATCTTACTTAACCACAGCTGCTCATGATATTGTTTTGGATGCCCAGACGAGAGGCGTCACCTTCAAAGCGAGGCATAAACTACCGGAGCTGGAATTTCCTGGAATGGTTGAGTTCCATGACCAGTGGTGCCCACCCCCCCTCTGACCATCGACATAAGCTTTGAATTAGTGCAGGTGCTTTAATGTTTCCTGCATGGGTTGGCTGGGAAGAGGCCGGTCACCCGGTTGATGCCCTATGAGACCTGTCTTGCTTCGGGACTCCCCATAAGCCCTGCGGCTGGTGGCTGATGAAACCGCTTCTTTGCTGGCACTCACCGCTGCCACAGTGAAAGATCTCTGCCTGTGGTCAAATATGTTTTAGTAAAGATGGGGCTTCTTCTTTTATGTCCAGTAGTAAAGAAGACGTGGGGGCTGTCCATGCCTATGGGCCTGGGTTGTTCAGGGCAGGGGGTTGTTCAGTCTGCAGGGGCTGGCAGGATGTAACATCCCTGTCATGTCTTCTAGTGAGAACATTTTACTGTTTGAATGAGGAGCAAACTCAGACATCAAAATCCTGATCACGTATTGTTTGGGTCAGAGAGAAGAGTTTTGCTTAAATAAACCACTTTAATGTGGACCAGAGCTGAAGGCTTTAATGACCCTTTTCCCATTTCCCAAAGTGCAATTGCTCAGCTCCTGCGTGCCCAGCCGGAGCAGTTATGCCTTTGCGTCAGCATAATTTTGAAAGCAGCATTAACTAAAAGTTTGGCCGCTTACCATTTTCTTCTCTAATCTCCAGGTTTCCTGAAACTTTGAAGCTCTCTGGAGCCTTTAGTTCTCTGCGGTCGGAGTGGAGCCCTGATCCTGGCTGGGACGAGGCTGCCTGAAGAACGCACAAGTGGGCAAAACATATTACAAACTTTTAAAAAAAAAAAAGAAAGAAAAATCCAAACAAACAAAAAAAAAAAGTCTATTTCAAGAGCTTGAATGAATGACCGACCAACACCTATTCAGTCCATCCCAAGCTAGCTGATGTGGGGCCCAGCGACGTCAGCCTGTCCTGCAGATGGTGCATGTTTCTGATGGCAACACGGGGGGGATGCCGTCCTGCTCCTTTTGGCCTTTACTTTTCTCATTTTTGTTCTGTCTGCTGTGTGGAAAAGTATTAAAATGTTGAAATATGAATATAACTGCAAAACAAGTACACTTCACACAGGGAGTACGACGGGGCAGCGGGATTACTTTTTGTCTCCGTAGAGCAGCAGGTCGTCTCCTTTAACAGAAGTAGTGTTTATTTTTTAGTCTGCCAGTATGTAAATGCGTGTAGAGTTTGTGGGGAAGGGAGCAAATATTTGCTTAGTGTACTTTATCAGAAATTTAAAGAATCAGGTTGGAGCATCCGTGCACAATGTTTTCAAGAGGTTTAAGTGTATTTGTGTGTTACTGAAGGGATCTTTACTTTAGTTTTTTTGTATTTTGGTATTTTGATCTTTGATTTTATCTCTTGAATGAGAGATAACGTTTCAAAGTATTTTTTGTTCAACTTTTGATTAAAAGGGGTATCTTATTTAATAGAATTTTATATAGTTATTTATATGGAAAAAGGGAGAAATCTGCTTCTAGGGCAAGAGGAGGGAGGTTCAGAGCGAGAGGGGGCCGTTTTGTTTTTAAGTTTGTTTTCTGCCCTTCCTGCAGTGGATTCCACAGGTGTATGTACAGAGATACTCGGACGTTCACACAACATGCATGCACGCACTTAGAGTCCCTGTGCTCCACCCTTGTGGTCCGGTCTGATGAGTTGGACGCAGCGGCTCACCCTGAAGTTGCAGAAGGCCTCAGTCTGTTTAGCCTGCAGTCAAACACCAGCTGGTGCCATCAATCAAAGTCTTCTCACCCTCCAGACCGGTGTGACATCAACTTTGGTCGCGTTCCGTTTATTTTTGTGCACTCTGAGTTGAAGCATGACTTATTCAAACGAATGGCCTGTACTGTTCTTTTGCACGGACACTTAGGACTCGATGCTGTTGAGTCTGCTCTTCAGAAGGAACGAACCTTTCTGCAACTTCAGGTTACGCTGACCAAAATCACTCCCTTCCACCCTACCTCTATCCCTGTACTTCCATCATTCCTGCCTCTAACATGCCGCGACCCTCACTGAGCAGAACCAAACCATCTTAGTAAGACCACTCCGTGTGATGATGATGATGATGTCACCCTCGCGCCTGTCTCTTGTCCTGATCGTGTGATCGTGTTCTTAAATGGTCTGTTTGGCTTGCTGTACTTCTATGTGAAGTTTTGGCGTTTTTAAAAAGCATGTTAAAAGGGACTCCAATGAGGGACTCGGCAAAAGAGAGAGGAGATATTACAATGAGGGCTACTCCAGTTAGAGGCTTGTGGGACCTTTGCTGATGGCAATCAATGAACTTGGTCCCTTTTTATCACTTTTTGTTGTAAATGGTGTAGTTGTAAATGTTTTGATGTTGATATTTTAATCTGTTTTAGCCCAAAAAAGGCTTGAAATGAATTAATGAGACTGCCATATTGATTTTTTTTTCAGTCTGACGATCCTACCAAACTAATCACAACTAACTAAATGCAGGATTATTGAGACATTCCTGTTTAACCAGACCCACAGCCGCTTCTCCTCATGAAGACCATCCAACATATCTTTGTGTCCGTGGTGGAACTTTGCAGCCGTTGTTTCACTGTGTTGTAGAAGCTTTGAGAGTTTGTCTGTGTACCGGCGGGGGGGGCTTGCTGTGCGTGCCGCGTTGCTTCATAGTAAATCACACACCACTTACACTGTCGCTGGAGCTCATCTGAAGGCATCAATCGTTCTGTGTATGTTCTGACACTATCCAGCAGATGTTAGGGGAAAAAAAGACAAAAACAACATGAATCGTATGTATTATCAGACATGCCATGAACACTGTGCCCTCCCCCAAATGTTTTCACCGTGACGGCTCGTAAATACAGTTCTGAAACTCTGTGACGTTTTTTATGGTTCAAAGTACTTCTGTTTGTGCCGTGGACATTGACCCAATGTGTGTAGATGCCACCGATCCAATAGACGGTTTTCTTCTTGACATTGTTTTTGTACATTTGAATGTCATGAGAAATTTGAAACTAAATCACTCTGATCCAGATAGACTTGGAGCTGAGGGGCGCACTATGAAGCAGGGCCTTTTGGGTACGTTTGGCCTAAAGTCACCTCAATGGCTTTCTTTGACAATGTTCAGACAAAAAGGTTCAAGCTGAACACCATGTGCACACAGCTTTAGATCCTGATCTTACTCCATACAATAACATCGGTTTAGAAAATGAATAAACAGCCTACATTAACTTTCCAGTCAGAATATTTATTCATTTGCCTTATTTGCAGGAGCTATGTTGCTTTTCTTCTGGAAAGAACTTGGCCTTCTTTCTTTTTTTTATTATGTGCTTTTGACCTGGATCAGAAAAATGATGAACCCACAGGGGGAAAAAGCAGTCTGAGGGCCTAAGTTGATGAACTCTTAAGTAGCATCCATCATCTCTGATGGGGTGTTTAGGTTTTTTCGGGCCAGCGTACACCAAGGGGTTGAACTCGCTTCATAGTACACCTCTCTGACCTGAAAGAGAGTGAATTTGCCAAACTATTTGCACTATCGGGTGTTTTTTGATAAGTTGTAGCAAGGGAAGCAAAAGTTTAGACAACTCATCCAGCTGTTCCACTTTGCTGGTCTGACTCACTGGGACATTTTGGGAGGTGAACAATCTTTAAGTGGTTTCCTCCATGCTTAAAAAAAAGAAAAAAGAACCCCCCAAAAAACATTGGATCACATCTGCATGTAAAGATTCCCCCTCCCCATTTGCAAATGCTCTTTAAAATTCATGTAATAGACGATAGACTACCTGAAATTGACATTCCACTTTTGTCAGCGCAAGATTTCTTTTTTATTTTCACATATTTTTGTATATGAATTTTAACAAAGCACTTCCATAAATCAATTAATCATTTTAATTGTCTGATGTTTTCTAATCAAAAATAATCTGTGAAAATACGTTATCACAGAGTAAAATGCATTCCAAATAAATAGCTCAAATACTTTGGCAAATTTCTGACTTTGTTGAAAACTGTAAACTGACACGTGGTGATCAAATGTCAAGACATGAGCATAATCTTTTTTTAAAAGTCTTTGACAGCGACATTATGCTGTATATGCAGGTCTATAAAATGAAGAAATATGCATGTCTACATTCTGGTATCTTTTCACTGTTTACTTGATGGAAAAATGGAAATTTGTGTTATTTGCATCCTCGAGGTTATGAAGTGGCTATCAAAATCAAGTGATGTTATTTTGCATTAAAAAGTATAAAAAATTAGCAAAAGCCTTTGCTTGTATGTGCCCCTTCGAAAGTAAACTTACCGTTATCTTACAATGAGAAGGGGAAACATGTTCAACGTAATTGGATGCTGAAGTTTTGCATGACCACAAACTTAATAAAAATCGTATACGAAAAAATACAGTTTAAGTTGCATTATTCATCTTGTCTTTTTGAAGCATGAAGTTCACATCATCTGACTTTGATTACCTCAGCAAAAAGCTGGCCAAACGTCATGTCTGGTTATCAGTGAAATGTTTGTTTGAACTGTAGTACCAAGCATCACCTCTAGGGACCGCTACAGACCGTATCAGCTTGAAGTACTTCCAGTGCATAAAAGGCGAACGTGAGTTCTATTTTATGCTAAATGAAGTGTAAATTCAGTGGTGAATTACATAAAGGGATTTTCTTTTTAAGTTAGGTTTTTAAGTCCGTTGTCTTAAAAATGATCAGAAAAAAGTTTCAGCTCATTAAAAAAAAATGCAGAGAAGAAATGCTAAAGTGAAGGATTTCTAGATAAAACTTTTAATGTAACCAACATTCAGTATTTTCCTACCTGTGGTCCATGTGGGGGTGTCGACTCCAAGCAGGGAGGTCATGCTGACATGACTTACTGAGAAGTTTTATATTTAATTACAGTAATAGATAAAAAATAAAAAAAGTTTAATGCTGCCGTTTCCCCTCATCTGATATGCAAACATCAGTTGCTCAAACTATTTTAGCATAGGTTCTGTTGTTCCTCCCACCACCCAGGTGCTGAGTGAAAACACCTGTGTCTAATTCTGATGATTAATTACTTTATGACCTACTCGGTGAAAACCCCCAAAAAAGTCATAGAAATAACACACAAGGTACTACTTAAGAGAGCCTTTTTTATTTTATAACATGTTCTGCTAAAGTGTATTCAAATGCACCCCCTGCCCGTTTAAACAGTTTAACTCAAAGTTACACACATTAGGCATGCTTTATTGATCCCCAGCTATTTCAAGGGTCTTCCGAGAGCTGCCGTGTTTAAATAAAACATACAACTAAGATCTGTCGGTGTAGAATAAATGAAAACCACACTGTCGACTTGATGAATTTTAATTACATCAAATGGTCTTATGTAAAAGTGGAAAAGGAGGAAAAACACTGGGTCTCATCACCATTAGTTCAACACAACAACAGAAATTAGCACATGTTCTGTATGTAGCCGGCAGGTCACAGGTCACCTATACTCCAGTCAGAATAATCAACAGCAGCTTAAAGAGTGCTCTTTCAGGGGCAGATACACAATACTGCAGGTGTGTTTTCTACATATCGGAGCCGGGTACAAAGCAATAAATGAAATGATTCAGTACCATTTAGCTAAGTATCTATGATGAAGCATGATTTGTGTGTAAATGAACAGTTTGTGACATTTGTCTCAAGAGTGTTTCCGTGATGACACAAACCATAGCTGACCACTGCCTTATAGGTGACCTGGAACACTCCCACGATCAGTCTCTCTCAGATCACACAACCTTCAATCATGATTGGCAGGCAGCAGGCGCCAAACGCTGAGCTGTCATGGCTTTCGGTCCAAGTGCATTCGGCATCCTGGCTTTTAAAATTCCCAGAAAACACCATCCTCTTTGATTGGAAAATGAACTGGGGTGATTGACTGACTGATTGCTCCATGCAGATTGTTTTTCTTCAGTCTGATACAGTGGCCAAAACGGTTTTGTGCTGACATGCATTATGTTGTCTTTGCTTGTGCACCTGCCCATCTAATTACTCTTTATTACCATGGCATTGGGCAGTGGAAGGTCCTTCTTCCTTGTTGCAAAGATGATCTGAAAATGCCTCCTCAGTCTGGTTTAAGTTTGCCGTTTTGGCAGGTTGTGTGAACATTGGCACTTGAATCTTAGTCCTCAGAGACTAGTGCGCCTGTTGCAGTCCACCACACTGAATCACAAGTGGCAGTGCAATCTGCCATTGTGTCTTCATGGAGAAGAAGAACTGTCAATGCAACATTTTCTAATATTTTCATGTTGTTTCCTTGATTCAAGGAAAAAAAGCTAAACATAAAAGGGAACTAGTTTTCTCCACTGAAGTGTCCCGGGTTTAAGAAAAAGGTCAAAACTGGAATATACAATCTTTTCTCACTGTAGACGGTCTCAGCAGATAAGCTCTACTCGGCTTCAAGGCCACCTTTCTCTCTGAGTCCCAAGCAAAGAGAAAGAAAGGGAAGAATAAGAACAGAAAGAAGAGAGGTCAGAAAAAAAACATGAGACAAACTGCGAACAAGAGAACAAATAGAGGAAAAAGTTTAAAGTCAGAAACTGTATCAGTAAACACTGCAACGGGGGACGGGGGGAAAAGACGCAGCTTGGACCCGCATGCAAAGGGGAAGGATTTAATTGCTACACCAAAGCCATGCAGCAGTGAGAAGCAGCCTGACAAAGGAAGGGCACCCGGTCACACGTAGGATACACCCAGCAGCACGGGACATCACTGAGGACGGCTGTGTGTGCTCCTGGAGCCACAGAGCTTCTCTTTTTGAGGAGGGTGGGGGGGGGAACGACACAGGCAACGCGGTAAAGTGGCCCATATGCCACGCAGACCTGGTCCCAGTCAGGATCTGTGAGCAGGCGTTTGGCACCACGGGGAAAGTGAGGGACAGGGGATGGTGGTGGGGGGGGGGCTTGCAGGGACACAACTGAGAAAAGCAGGGGAAGCAAGTGCACAGCAGGATGGATGACATCTGTTACACCACGTTTCACGTTCCCATGGAGACGGGACTGACCCAAAGCCCCTCCCACCCCTTTCTCCTCCCGCTCGAGCAGCGCTCACTCACCACGCGCTCGCAGCATGGTAGCAGACAGACGAGGGTGGGAGGGGCAGGGTTCAGCAGCTTTGCTGCGTCTCCCCGCTCCTGCTTTTAGACTTTCTGCCCTCCACATCTGCAGGAAAAAGGCAATGTTTGTGTTACATCTGCAGAGCGGCAAACACACTTTCATTTAGCTTCGTGACTGCATAAACTTCAGATTACGACAAATACGTTAAGTCGGTTTAAAAGAGCAACTACGGGGTACAAAAGCAGTAATAAATAAAGATCTAAACGCAGATTTTTTACTGGGTTTGGCACAAAAAGCAGTGCTTGTCTTTGAATATAACTTAATGATTGCAATAGTCTATACAAAACTTCAGTCAAATATCCATTGTCGAGCTGTGCATCAGGAAAAAAAAAGTATACAATTCCCAAAACATGATGAGCTTCACAGACAAAACAACCTGAAACACTTCTCAATTTGTTATATTTATCCAATGTGTTAACAACCACAGAAACCTTAAATTCAAACCGTGTTAGTGCCACCCTCACACTCAACCTTCATTTATCCCAGTAAAAAAACAACAAAAAAACAGGATTGTTTTGTTAATGAAGCTTCACCATTCTGTCACCAGTTCCAGGGCTCAGTTAAGATCAAACAGACCGTAACCCATCATGCACACAGCAATTCTCCATGTTTCAAATGTCGCATGAAGATTTATACATATAAGAAAAAATAGAAACAATATCAAATGCACAAAATATAACGGTGCAAACATGAATCAGAACGAAACAGAGATAAAATATACATGATAACCATTTTGACCTCAAAGATCAAAATGAGTATTAAAGGTCACAGTGACAAAACACAGTCATGCAGTTTAGTGAACAATTATCAAGTGAAATTGCCCTCAAACATCAAAGCATTTTAAAAAAATAAAAAAAAGTAGGAAGTCTAATCATCTGACACTGCAAGACCTGAATGTAACAAAGTTACTTTGCTAATGCTGAAATTTAAGACTGAAATAGAAAAATGGAGGAGACTGATGTAGGAAACAAAACAACAAATAACATTGTGTTAGACAGTGAAACGGATCAATGAGGAAAAAACAATACGGCAAAGGCTTTTTGCACAGAGGAGGGTTCATCAAAGTCCCAAATCAAATAGCAGAAACATAAATGTCACTCCCCAGCACCATGGCAAACAGAAAAAAATCCCAATACACCACACAGAAAGATAGTGCTCTGATTAATACATGCAGAGGAAACGTATTTATTCCTCATCCATTTTTGCTCCCCCTTTTTTGTCTATTCACCATCACACACAGCCATACTCGTACCACAGAGACTGGCTCTCCTCTGGGCTCAGCGACTGGTCTGAATCAACACCCGGGTTTTGCTCTTTCAGACCTGCTGAGCTGCATTTCACCTGGTCATTGGACTGGCTGTCAGAACTCTGGTTCTGGCTGCTGTTGGGAACCGGGTGTTGGGCTTTACTTGCAATAGGAGGCCCACTGATGTTGCTAACTAGAGTGGGGTTTAGAGATAAAAAGGGGAGGTTTTTGTCTGCTGACTCACTAAAGATGGAGTCCATGAACACTGACTCGACAGTGAAGGAGGGGCCGAGGAAAGACTCGAGGGTGGAGAGGTCAGGGTCCTCTAGGCTATGGCAGGGTAAGCTGAGGGACTTGGGCATGGGGAAGGTGGTGGTAAGGGCTCCCTTTTGGTGGGTGCTGCTAGGGTGGTACTCACTGGGTGTAGGCTGAGAGCGAGTGGCAGCCTTGGGGGAAGCGACTTGGGGAGAAACATCCACGGAAACAGGCTGTCGGTTGTCTTTAGACAGCATGTCGTGGATGCTGGTGCGCCGTGTGGTACCCTCAGCAGTGGAGATGACGCTGCTGGCACGAGGCAGTGTGGAAGAGGCCGAGTCCAGTCTTTCAGAGACGGACATGGCTTTGCTCTGCGAGGACAGGCCAGAGCGGAGCGGGGCGGAGCCTTTCACACGAGTGCTCTCAGCCTTCCGCAGGGTTGGGCGGCCCGGTTGTCCCGAGGACCTCGGCGGCCGGTCGCTGCCGACTGGTGCCGCTCTTCCACTCGATGAGCGCAATATGCCCCGGGACCTGGTGGAGGGGCGCTCCTTCAGCTCAGAGGAGGTGGCGAGGCGGGGCGAGTCCACAGTGAGGTTCTCCTGACTACCAGACTGCAGAAGACAGAACCACAAAACTCAAACTGTCTCCTCTGAAATTATTCTTTAAAATATATCGGCAATCTCTTCATGTTCAGAGGAAATGACTGCTAAATAGCTATCAGTATATAGTCAGTGATCTGTTTTTTTGCTGCTCATCTCTGAATCATCTGTGAAAAAACACCTTTGGTTTCCTTGAGCTCACCTCGGCAGGATCGATCCCCTCATCCAGGAACTGCTGCAAAGAGAGCACCTCGCTGGGAGATGCTGCCTTCTTCATCTGTGTGGGGCCGGGGCTCCCGGCGGTGCTGCAGGGCTCCAGGGACCTGCGTAGCTGCAGGGGGCTCTGGTGGGAGGACCGGGAGGAGGAGGGCTGCTGGACGGGGCTGCTGCCACTGCTGGACCACACTTCCTGGTCCAGACTCAGGCTGAACTCACCGCTGCTCTCACTGTGAGGCCTGCTGAGGCTGCCGTTCACTGTGCCTGTCAGAGGAGGAAGCAGAGCTTAGACGATGGGGGAGAGTTTTTGTTTATATATGTATAACAGATGCGTGTTCATGCGATTCCTGTTAGTCCTGTGGAAATGTGTTTCCCACGTTATGGTGTAGGCTCAAAATCTGATTTGAAAAATAAATCAATTTCAGGACTGATTCATAGATTAAAATGTGACTTATTTAAAAATATTCAAATAAATAGAAACTCTTAAATCTTTATATGACAAGCTACTTTGATCGAAACTATATAAAGGGAAGATTTGAGTGACGACATGAAAGTAAAAGTCAATGAAAGCATGGGGAGCACCAGTTGTTAGTGGACATGGACATGAGCAGAGGTAGAGGATAAGGGAGGAGCATACCTTTGCCCTCCAGAGGAGAAGTGAGATGTGAATTATTGTTACTATTGCTACTGGTGGTCCTGTTGCTATGGAGACTTGAGGGTCTGGAGGCTGGGCAAGGGACAAGAGGGAAGACGAACACACGTTCACAGTTAGGGTTTATACAGGCTTACATCTATCCACATCAACATGCACATTCACAAGGAGAAAGGTGCACGCTAACAGTCTGAGAGTGTCTCCTGCTGGGGCAGCAGATGGCACATGCCAGGCTGAGGGACAGGAAGGGTGGCTCAGAGCCAGGCTGCCACACCAATATGTCCATCCACTAGACAAAGGCACTCCTGAGAGGGCACACACACCCAAATACAGCCCACAGAAGTTAAAGGAGAGGGGGAAACCGTTCATTTAAAAAACAAAAACAAAAGACAACACAGTGCACGTCGGTTAGTACTCAGGACTTGAATAACAGAAGGAAACGAAGGAGGGTAAAGAAGGTAAAGATTTGAAGAAAATGTGACCTGGCCATTTCCCATGTTCACAGTAAGAGATTCAACACTCAGCCAGTGACCGTGAAATCATTTCAAACTGGTTTTCAGGACATGCGTTGCACCAAATTAACATTTAAAAGCCAACCCTTGCACAAATGATCAATATCACTGGTGCCGTGTCAAGGAAACCAGCCCAGCATTAGTGGTCCACAGTGATAGTCATTACACTGTAATTTTCACTTACTACAGATGCTACAGGGCACTCTGCACATAGCGCTCAGCTCAACAGGAGAGGGACACAAAGCAAGTGCACTGCTATACCCCTGCAGGCCTGATAAGAAACACACATACACATACAATGCAACACACCCACATGGTGACATATGACACACATGACACTCCTAATTACTGTGTCTCAGTGTGGAACAAGCTAATTTCATGATCTCTAAAGGCCTGGAAACAGAACAAAAGAGAAACAGCCATATAAGTTGCTCGATGAATCAGTCCACCATTTCTCAGACCACCATTACATCAATCTAATACATGATACATTAGAAGTAATGGCCTGAGAGTGAGTGTATGTCCTGAATGTCCATTTCCTGCAGCCATTATGAGGATGACCTGATAAATGTGTCTCACAGCAATACATTTTATCTTTATAAGTGCATTTGGGGAAGTTGTTCGGTAAGGTGAATCCCGACTGCGCGGAATACCATCAGCTGCATGGAATACAAAGTGCCGGTAAAGGTCAGGAAGTTTTACGAGTGTAAACAAAAAAAACGTACAACAGTGCCAAGTTTCTGAACATCTTTTTATCTCCAACTAAATGCTAAATGAGGTAAAACCTAAGTAAAAAAAAGTCTACATATTGCGTAATGTGTGTAAGTTGTTTTGTGGCAGTTAAAACAAGTAGGTCATCCGCGCTGGAGCCGTGTACAACTGATGAATCGTTCCCTGGCTGCAGATTAACTGTCCCAGATAACATCCTAAAGCCTGAATTAGAGTCAATCCTACTTTCAGTGCTGACTGATATTTTTCTCTAAACTAAATTTGCCGCTGATCAGTAGATTAGGCTTAATCGGGATGCAAAAGGGCAGCACAAAGATTAGCAGTGCAACTGCTGAGTACATGACCTGCATTTTTTTGGGTCTGCTCAGGCTTCTCGCTTATCATTTTTAGGGCTCACAGATGTCTTGCTCCGAGTGGCCGCTGCTACTATACCCTTCAATTTGACCTGCACACAATTTTATAGCATTACCTTGACTCTTGGGTTCATCTGAGGAGCCAGCCACATCCTCACAGGAGACATTGTCTGTGGAGAGACAGAGCGATGCTACAGCTGCTTTATCAAGTAATATCAATCAAATGGACAGAAGTTAAATAGAAGTACAGTAAAAGAGCGGCAACAAATGTTTAGAATTAATGTCTGTTCACCTTTGACCTTAAGTCGGTGCTTAGCTCTGCTGTGCCCTGCGGTGGGCAGCGTCATGGCGGCACAGTCAATGGCGTTGGTGGAAAAAGCAAGTTCCTTCATGCGCTGCCCGCTGCGCTTGCTGGCAGCAGCCATGCCAGTGTCCCCAGCTTCAGGACCATCTAGATTGTCTGTGCTGCCTGTCCACTGAATCCCAGAAACACCTGCCACGCCCATGGTCTGCAGCAGGTCGTTCATGGCTGAATGGTGGATGGTAATGAGGACAATTACCAAAATTAGCCATTTTACAACATTATCTACCTCAAGTACTTTTAAAGTTCTCCTTAAAATCCCACCAGCCATTAAAGCAGTGGGAATATAAAATGACTCAGACAAAAAATCATTCACAATTCTTTCTCACCACGGCCCTGACAATCATCTGTAGAGTTGTTCTAATACTGTACCAGCAGAATATATAAAGTACTTAAGAGACTATACATTGCAATCCTTTGGGACAAAACAATGAAGCTTGTGATGTTCTGGTAGAACACAGAAGTTACAACTCTTTTTTCATTGCTGGTTAAAATAATTACAATTAGAATTGGCTTGATAAAAATATATATAAATACATTTGGTCTAAAAGCTATGTATAAATACCATACAAGTGTCAAAAACAATCTTTAGAATAGTAGAACTGATACTTAAAACGGTTCTCAAAGGTTTCCTTGATTGAAAAATTCTGATTTAGTCATTTTTAAAAATAAGGTGTAACTTTAACATACAGTTTGGCAAAATGGCACATCTTATGTCAGCAATTATCAACTCTTATAGAGTGAAACAAATTAGACATTTGTAGACTCCAGGCACATGCAGGCATTCAGCCGTAAATGTAGTGTCAACAAAGTGCAGAGAGAAGGCAGCTGCGTGACTGGCCATCCTGGTTTATTCTAAACTCACTCTTTTGAACGCCACTGACCGTCTTTCTGCACTTTGTAGAAGTCATGAGTCATATGCAACGGCAGAGAGGCATGGAGGCATGCAGAGCTGCTGGAAGAAGCAGCTGTACACAACTGAACTGAGTGAGGCAAGTCCATGTCAGCAGAATAAGATCTGAAATGCAGCACGCTGACAGAGCGAGACAGAGAGACAGAGGAAGAATAAAGGCTCCATTTCAAATCCTTCATGGTGAGTGTAGCGTTGAGAAAGCTGTTGCTGATTCTGGTTTTGTCATGCTGTAATCAAAGATGGGAGCAAACACACCACAGGCGCATGAAAGGCAAATCTCCAGTCTCTCCCACCATCTCACAGAAAAGAAAACAGCCTTTCATTCAGAAAACACCATTTGGAACCACACAGCACATGAAAAGCTGCCCGATTAAGTCATTCACACATAGTGACCAATGAGCTTTGGTCAACAGATGCAAATCACACTGATGACAAAGAGGAAATCCTGAACATCATAAATGATTCAGTCCTATCACACTGATTTTGTTAGTGACACTACAGTGGTGAAGGCTTAAAGATTTCTACAGGAGAAAGAGACAGAAGACGGACGGTGGAGGCGTGGTGACAGCTAGGAAGGAGCTAAGGACAAGTCACTGATGTCATCAGGGAGGGCGTAAACATACTTTAACTTGGTCAGCTTTGTGCAGAAAAGTGAATAATATCAGGTACTGCCACCGCCACACAACAAACTAGGACTTAAATCACAAACAGAGCTGCTGTGACAGAAACTGAACTGCAGAAGTGTCACTTCCCACACTCCCACCACCCTGACATCAGTGGCCACTCCTTCTTTGTTTCTCCTAACATGAAAGTAAGAGGGTGAGGAGGTCTAACGTGGCGACTAACGAAGGTCTTACACATTGAGCGCCGGTAGATGGCCTTGGCTTTGTCTTTGTCCTTGGATCTGTTCCTCATGAAAGGCAACCTTTTTATAGCTGTCAGAGTGCAGCCATAGACAGACAGACAGACAGACAGGGGGGGTAAGAGTGACAGAACAAGCCCGAGGTGGGTAGAGGAGAAGAAAAGAGGAAAAAGAAAGGCATAACAGACGGATGCAGTTAATGTTAACACAACTGGACCAAGGGGAGAGATGCAGAGAAACTGAGCCTGTAGTCACCCACATGGACAATAGACAATAATGCTGAGGAAGACTCCTACAATCTCTGACTATCTTTCAGAAAAACAGTCGGGAAGTTTATGCAAAGACATTTTGTATTCATAAGGATTGTAATAAATCAGTCATTCAGTGCTTCATATTTCTAAATCAAATTTGGATCAAATATTTGGGGAATTGAAATAATTAAATACGTCTTACTTAATATTTAAAAACATTTAAAAGCAATAGTACCTTTAGGGGCAGACTTCCACATACAAAAAAACAAATCAACATGTTATGAAAATACACCCTCACACACCTATCAGCACACATTCTGGTGTTTACATACTGTACACAAAACAACTGTGGACACAAGACCACCTAAATGAGTCACAGAAGACTATGAGTATTAAAGGGTGCAATCAGGAGACCTAACCAGGTTGGCCAATAACTCCATGGACAGCAGAGTCCCAAAATCCCAGAGTAATGTCCCTCGTTTTAATGTGGCGCTTAAAAACTCTCCTTTCAGGGTCACTTAACCCGAAGGAAAATGAAAATAAACATTTTATGGACACAGTCTTCTCCTTGACTTTACACAGTATTTCAGATTTAATCTTGAAGCTCAGACATCCAAACGAAGAAGAAACAAACTTGCTTGTTATAGTGAACACAGCTGACTGCGACGCGTCTGTGTGAGTCTTCTCATTTCATAAAGTGAGCAGCATTGCATTGCACCATTTAATGTCTATGATGCTATGATAGAGCGGGTTTCTGTGGCACTTACAGGTGAACTGTACAGACAAGCAGGTAGACATGTCAGAGCTTAAACATCTTAATACCTTTGATAAATACTTTAGCCCCAGATTTGACAAGACATGAAGTGCACTTGATACAGCTTAAAATTGAATAATCTGTACAAACACTGCCAGGAATTATGGGCAGCCAAAACAAATCAAGAAAGTTTATTCTATAAAGGAACTGTAAAACAAGCACCTACATGACCCACAATACAGCAGGCAGCTTAGCCGTCAACTATGATATAAAATAATTTTAAAAGTAATTGTATATAAATGTATCTTGCTTTCAAACTTGTAGCGAGGGATGTCATAGGCAATTTTAAGTGATCAACAATTGTAACCAATTATAGGAAGTAAATATTTATCTATTTCTGTTGATGTTAACAGTAAGAATTGATCCTTAAAAGGGTAAACAAGTCAAAGAACTAAAGACAAACAACCAGCTACATTAAGTATTAAGCAAAATTAGGTTTAAAAATATTAAGATCAGGTGCACTTTATGTTGTTAAAAGAGAGCATTGTGTTTAATTTGGGAGTTGACCATGAGTCAGGCATGCTGCACAGTTCAGCTGTAACCTCTATGACAGTAGAGTGACACAGACAATGAACTCACGAAAACATGCCCTGAGAGACATGATAGTTGGGTCATAAGCCCCACCCCCCCTTCCCTTCCGCCGCATACCGTTGGAGGAGCCCTGCATTTGGGCATGGGACTGCTGCCCTCTCCTCCCTTTGCAGAGAGAGATAAAGAAGCAAAAATCATCCCAGAAGGGCATCATTATTAACATGTCAGGGAGGACTGCTCTTTATAACCCTGTTTTAAGATAGCAAAGCCTCACCGCTTTGTAGACCATACATTCCCGTGAATATTATGTGCTTTGTACTCACTGCCGCTTCTCTTCTGTGTGAGCGTGTCATCCAACGAGTTGGAGCCAGAGCCAATGGAGGAGCTGTCTTGGCTGTCGTGGGGAAACGTCAGAAAGCCATCTCCATACTCGGAACGAGACGGCGTCAGAGTGAGAGAGCGCATCCTCTCCCGGCTCTTTGGCTTGATCAGCTTCTTCATTTTTAGAGTGATCCAGTTACCACGCCTATACAGAGGAAAGACAACACCTCTTTCTTTACTCCAGGTATGGGCCTTTTCTTCCCTGTAGATGGCATTTGGGTTAGGGTTTTGTAAATGAAGCCGATTATTACCTCCGTGGAGGCGAAGGGTCATAAAATTTATACTGGTCCATAATCTTCTCCTCCAGCTTCTCTTTCTGTCTCCTCAGTTCATTCAACTTGTCTCTACAAGATAAGATCCCATTAGAAATGTCAAATATAAATATTTGGTTTGGAGATCCCAGTGCTTAATATATTGAGGAAATGAAAATCAGGTAACACGTCAGCTCATCAAAATAAAGAGAAAGTGCTCATTGCCATTGTTTACATGTATTGTCTTTGTTCTACATGGAACAGGTCCTTGCTTTCCATCGTCTGCTCCAGAAGCGTCCGGTTCTGTAGCATCAGGGTTTGGATCTGATCCAACAGGTGACGGTTCTCCTCCTCCAAATTTCCCTTCAGCTGGCTCAATAACTAACGCACACAAATGAAGACATTTAAAAGAAATGAACAGACACCTGGCTCAACCAAGGCTACCAGAAAAAGAAACGTCTGAAGATGTAAAATGTCAAAGGATAAAGACAGCTGGACATAAATGTAAGAGAAAAGCATAATGGAACCAGCAAAAGAAAAGTGTTGGAGGAAAAGGAAAACAGTCTCTCCTTACCTCACACTGATTGGTGAGCTTGGTGGATGTGATATCCAGTTGTTGGTACTGCTCTTTTAGTTTAGAAAACTCAGCCTCTAGCTTGGTTTGTTCCAGCTTTGCACTGTTCAACTGGCTCTTTATGTTCTTATGCTCCCCCTGGAGATTATCGTTGTCTTTCACCAGCTGGCGATAGTTATTGTTCAGTCTGCAAAGTGCCAACATTTCATTCAACACGGCTACAAATTCATATTATTCACTTCGTTAAGATGTAATTGGAATATGTAGGCAACATTTTGATAAAACTGGTTGATCTGACCTGTCGTTTTCTTCTTTGAGAAGTCTGCATTGGTCAGCTGTGGCTTGATGGGTCTGGTTCTCCTGGGCCATTTTTTCCTGCTGTTCTTTCAGGTTTTTCTCCAGCTCCTCCAGCTCCCCCTTTCTGTGCAGAAGCTGTTTGTACCTGCAGGCATAAACGCACAGACACAAATATACAATCAACATAACAGAAATTACTACAGATGCAAATGGCCAGCCTCTTCCTCTTGGTTTTATGATGGTTTGATAGAGACTGTAGAAATGTGCTGCCAGCTTCCAAAAATAGAAAAGGCTGTCTCACTTGTCCTCCAAGTCCCTGTGCTGCTGCTCCAGGCTTTTGTGGGACGTCTTAAGGCCACCGTGCTTCCCAATCAGGGCTTCATATTCAGCTGCCTGCCTCTCATGGAGTGCTGCCAGCTTTTCGTGATCTCGGAGCAACAGCTCATAAGTCCCTCTCAGCTCCTCTTTCTCCTTCATCACACCTTCTCGGTCTGCCTCTACGCAGCTCTGCTGGCTCTGCAGCTGAGCATGTTGGGCCATGAGGGCTGCGCTCTGTGAGCTCAGGGTGGAGTTCTCCACCTACACAGGAGCACATTAACATCATCAGCATGTTAATGATAAACATAAATGTCAAGAGAGTCAAAACCATTCATAATTCCCTTTAAAAACAAGTGTGTATATATATAAATATATATATACACACATATATAAATAAAAGGACTGCTCTGGTCTTCAGGGGGCACTGTGTCACTGTAGAGGGCAGTCTCCTGATCCAATAAACTATTTACGAAACATCTGCAGGAAAGATGTCTTTTTTATGCTTCCTTTATGAATAACCAGTCTTTAGGTCCTTCTACAGTCATCACTAGTTTTTTTACACTCTCACTGCCAATGTCCAAATAACCACAGAGAGTAAACACCAGCTTGCCTTACAAAAACAAATGCAGCACATTTAAGATTCTAAAAAAGTGAGAAAAACTCCAAAAGCAAGAACCTGGCAGGGGTATGACAACGTAGATAAAAGGCTGTAAAGCACAAGCATTAAAAGGGTTTAAATATGTCAATTTTACTGCATTACAATGTTTCTCAGTTATTAAATGCATAACTTGCATATACAGTACAAGCGCTAGTATAATATGGTATAAAGTTAAAACAATGGGTTCTTCTTTTTTATTTAAAGCCTTAATGTCTATACATTCCCTTGGTTTACTCATTCATTCCAGTTTAATATCTGGATAGGTAGGTGAAACTTGCTCTTTTGTGTAATAGAATTACCTGCAGCTTGGCATTCTGGGTCTGCAGAGTGGTATTGTTCTCCTGTAAGGAGGCGCTCTGTCTCTGCACAGCCACTATCTGAGCCTGCAGGTTGGAGCTTTGAGTTTCCAGCTGTTTGAGCTGGCTCCTAAGAGCCACCTTCTCAGCCTGCAGGGTGGCATTCTGGGATAAATTACATTAAAAAATATTAGATTAGAGTGAGGACAAAAACAGGAAATCTATGTCAACTATATTTAACTTACATTTCTCTCCACCTCAATGAGTCTGTCTTTAACTTTCAGCAATTCCCTGGTAGCTTCATGACTCTCCTTCTCCCATTTACTGACAGCCTGAGGCTCTTCCCCTGCTCGAGGGGGAGAGCTCTGAACCATCCTCTCTTCCTCCTCTCTCTGACGCAGTGCCTCATAGTTTTTCTTCACCTGAGACAAATAAGACAACAAAATAACATTGATACGACACAGTTTACTCGGTGCACTAGAAATGAATAAAGGTCAGGTTGAAAAAAAAGCGCCAGTGAATTTCCTCAGTCATTGCAGACGAGAGTCTGTGCCTAATAGAAAAAGTTTAAGCTCTGCATTAGTGCTGCCTGAGTGCAGGAATGCCAACACTGAACTCTTAACTCATACAGTCTCATGAATAGATAACTGGCAATCAGTGGGAGAGCACATGAATAAAAAATACATCAGACAGGGAAAACCCTCAAAGCCGTTAATGTTTATCATGTATTTTACTGTAGGAGGGACCTTATGACACACTGATCAAGTGGATTTTCTGCCTTTTTTTTGTGGGGTCAATAATTGAAGGTTTTATCTTTATGCAAAACGGTCTTCAACTGTAATAGAATTAAAACCAATTCCAAATCTAAGATATTCATATAACATTTTGCTTTGAGAGTCTGGCTTTTGTTTGAGTTCTTATCATCACTGACTGTCTTCAGCTCCTGGCGAAGTTGCTGGTTGAGGTTGGAGGACTCCTGCAGTCTGGCCTCTAGAGCAGCAATTTTCTCCTCTTTGATCTCCAAAGATGATTTCAAAGTTGACTCCAGTCTGGTTTCCAGAAGCTTAAACCTAAGGAAAAAAATGTATGTGTATAGAGTAGAAAGCACTGCAAAGGATGTGTAGCTTGTGGTTAAAAAGTAATGATACAAAATTAAAAAGAAATAAATAAAAGACACAACTTTCTCTAAAATGGGCCACTGACCTGGATTTTTAACAAAGCCCCAATGGTACTGATTGCTTTTAATCATCCTAAAACTACCATAGAATCAGACTAGAAAACAGTGCGACAGTTTTATTTTCAGAACTTGCACATTGATACCTGTCATCCGAGCTCTCATCGTGAAGGAGTCTCTCTTTGTTCAGTCCAATCTTCTCCAACTCATGGGTCAGTTTCTCCAGATCATTATTCATCTGCTGAGTGCGCAGCTTCTCACTCACAAGCTCCTGTTAAACAAAACAGCAACACTTTAATATAAACTTTTGGTACTGTTATATCACCAATAAAACGTTAATATCATTTTGAAACACAGATGTGAAAAACTGTAACACATCTGCACACCTCTCTGAGCGTCATTAGAGTTTTCTTATCGATATTAGCTTGTTTGACCAGATCCTTGTTCTCCCTCTCCAGGTCTTTGACTCGAGTGCAGGAGTCCCTGAAAAAGATCATCTCCTTGCCCATGGTCCGATTCTCTTTTTCCAGGGCAGAAATCCGCTGGTTGCCGTCATCAAGCTTAGAGTCGCGGATCTCAGCCTGCTGCCTCAAGCGCTTGTTCTCTTTCTCAAGGAGCTTTTTGTCCTTCTCTAGTTGGGAACTTTCCTGTTCAAGAGTCTTGTTCTGCGATAGTAAAGAAAGGAAATATGGAGTGGATAACATGTGACTTAAATACCTTGTAAATAAATCCAAGAAAGATTCATTTAAACTGCCAATAATTCATTTGACAAATATTCTGAGATCAGCTTTCTCTGCAGGGAAACACTGTAGAGTTTTTTTTTTTTTTTTTAAATCAGTTAAAAATAAATTGCATCACAAACCCAGCCTTCAGTTTGCCTTAGCGACATTTTATGGGCCAGTCTGACTGACCCCATTCTGTCCACAAGAATCAGTCACACAGGACTACAGGATGTGTTTGTAAAACACAAACAGCTATCCAACAAATACTTCTCCTCCTCAAGAGACGAGTGCAGAGCAAAAATTCCTACCTCTAAACACCGACATAAATTCAGCATTCTTCATGAGTGGCTGCTACAACCCACCTCCTGCTCCAGCTGCTCCAAGCGTTTACTTGAGATCTTCAGCTCCTCCAGGTTACGTTGCAGGGTCTGGTTCTCTGTTTCCACCTCTTGCAGCTCTGCCTCCAGCTGCTGGATCTTCTTGCTGCTGTTCTCTAAAGCCTTCTGCAGGCGCTGGTTCTCTGTATCTAGGCCCTGGTAGCTCACCTGGGAGAGGACAGACTAGATTAGGAAACTGAACTCATTCCTGAACTACTTGTGCCTGAAGTCCTGCTTTTACACCTGCTAAGTAACGCATATGTATATCAGGTGCATGTAATAGATAACAGAATGTAAACTTTAAATGCTTTTCAACACTACGGTAGCATAAAAGGCATCATGAAAAACTTAAGCTTCACAGATCTTCAGGGACAGAAGCACCCGCTGCTTTACCTCTAATCGCTCTGTCTTCTTAGATGAGGCTTTAAGCAGTTCGAGGCTACGCTTCAGCTGACACCTCTCACTCTCCAGCTCCCTGTTCTCAGCGTCCAGCTGAGCAGCCCTCGCTCCAGCTGACCGCAGACTCTCAGCAGAGCGCCGAAGCTCCAGGTTTTCCTGTTCCAGCTGAGAGTTTTCCTTTTCCAGAGCCTCCAACTGGAAGGCCGTGTTCTTCAGAGCATCGAGTTTCTTCTTCAGACGACGGCCCTCAGCCTCCAGGTCAGAGTTTTCCTTCTCCAAAGTTGACACCTAAACACAAATAAGCAAAACATTGGTGTGAAGTTAAGTGTGAAGGAATAAAAAAACCAGTCTGCTGACAGTCTTAATGAATACGGGGAAAGAATCATTGTAAATATTTCTTGGTTCTGAAATTAATGACGTAAAGAAGATCAAGTATTCCAAACTTAATGTAGATATAGATCAAATGAATCACAATGAACTGAGCCAAACCTTTTCACAGGTGATTCCAAGATTGGCAACTTTCTTCTGCAGACTCTCATTGTCCCTTTCCAGTTTCTGTATCTGAATCTCCAGCTCCTCTGCTCTCTCGCCTTTATCCTTCATCACTTCAAGCTCTTTACCTGTATTTAAAATATGACTCACTTTCACAAATAACCAAAATGCTTTTCTTATCAATTCAATGTGAAAAATTACAAACAAAAAAAAGAAAAAGGAAACTGTTAAAACCACCACTCACGGAGCTGATTCCTCTCAAACTCCATCTTATTCAGCTTGGCTGTTGTCTCGCAGATGGACTCGTGAAGAACACGATTTTCTTTCTCCACATCCTTCACCCGGGCCTCGGCTCCCACCTGGCAGCGCTGCCGCAGGGACGACACAGTCTGACTCAGGTGCTTGTTCTCCTGCTCCAGACCCTTAACCTGGAAAACAGAAAGCAGAGCCTTAAAGTCAGTGATAGTCTTTTGAAATCTTTTTGCAACAATACTTTATTAGTTTTTTCCTCATTAAGTTTGCACATTTCAAAGAGAGACTATGGTGTCTTGTTTTCTTTGCCTCTGAAGAAAATCAAAGCATGATTAAACAAATCGGATGGTTAAACTAATCAGAGGTGTCAGATTGGGGTCTAACAGCTACAAAGTCCCTGCAGACACACAATAGTCAATAAAACATTAGTGGTAGTTCCACTAACATTTTTTTAAGCCAAATACAAATCAATTGAATAAAGATTGCTCTGAAGAAAACTCTGCAAATATTGAATGATACTGTTCATCAAAATGAGAGTCCAAGCTGTAAAAAATAATAAATAGTTTATGTTGCTGAGCAAAGCACAAAATGGAATAAATCAACATGTTTTTCCAGTATAGGGATTGCAACACAATTTTTTTTAAGGGACCCGTATTCAGAGAGGGAAGCAGCATCAAAAATGGGTCACGACATCTCATGGTAACAATCAAACCATTTAAAAATCATGACTGCTGGTTTTTGGAATGCACATCTTAAATCTCTGAGTCATTGTGTTTACCTGTCTCTCTGAGTTTTCTCTGAGCGTTTCCAGAGTCTTCTCCAGTAAAGCCTTCTCCTTCATCAGGTCAGTGCTGAGGGACTCAGCGCTGCGGAGCGACTCTCTGTCGGCCGTCAGTTCGCTCTCCAGCTGCTCCAGCTGCACACAAAGATCAAAGCAGCACCTTGAAATCATGGACTGGTGATCAGAATGAAAACTGATGGTGGCTGAGCTATCCACTTCCTGCCAGGTCTTGGGATGTTTGTAGCAGCTTTTACTATTCATGGGATGGCTCACAAACAAACAAAGCTCATTTTTATTCACATCACAGAACGGATCAACATTTTGGGAAATAACTGCAGAAAGGCACACTTTAGTTTGAACACTCTCACACAAACATTTAATGAGGACTAACTCTGTGCAGCAAGGCTCCTGCTTTCCCACTTTAATGCTTTTTACCATAAGTCCTCAAGTCATTCAGAAATAAAGGCGCTGCTTTTTGTGTGAGAGGCACACAATTTCACGCCTTTTGTTCACAATGCACAAAAAGAGTTTTATGTCTGAAAATAGCTGAGACTTCAGTTAGCAAGGGGGGCTTCTGCCTGTGTTGGTCAGGGAAGAAAAGACAGTGCAGGATTGCAGGCTGCTGGATTTACAGCTTTGCTTTCATCCCCCTATCCATCCCTCTCTTTCCCCTTCCTGCTGTCTCTGCTTTTATTTCCTCATTGTCACTGAGTGAAAAGGTCTAAAGTCCAGAAGTAAGGCTGTAATTTATGGAAAAGTTCCAGTGCAGCACGCTAATCAGTGGAGTGACTCTGATGAGGTAGAACATTGAACATCTCTCCACATATAGAGTCAAACAGAGTCTACAGGAATAACCTTACAAAGATCAATTTATTTCCAACAGTCAGACCTTTATGGTTACAAAAGTAATGGCACTGCATCCGTCCAGGCGACTAAGTATTTTAGTAGCATCCCGTCAGGCTGATTTGCCAATTTCCCTGCATCGTGAAACATGATGCACAATTTAGTGGGTGAATGTATAATCGAAAGGTTGAAAAATCGTTCAAATTTCAGGTGTAAAGCTCTTTTCACAGTTAGTAAATGTGATTAAAGAAGACTTTAGTCTGCAAGATAAAAACAAAAAACAGCTCATGCTAACCAGACCCTAACACCCCACAACAAATGTACTAAAAATATAAAGACCACTCCTTACCTTTTGATTCAGTTTCTGGTTTTCTTGGCTGGCTTTGGTCAGTTTTGTTATTGTATCCTGACTGGCTGCTCCTCTGAGCTCTTCCACCGTCTTTAGCAGAGCCTGATTGTCTTTCTCCAGTTTCAACAGTCGACTTGAGGTCAGTTCATTCACCTCCTCCCCCAAAGACTTCTGAGGGGCTGTCAAAGACAGTAATACAATATTAAATATAGACAAATAATTTAATGAAATATATTTTAAAAAAGTTTTTCTATTGAGGTTTTTCAGATTTTTTTTTTTAGCAAAACCGAAAAGACATTTCGTATCATAAATAACTATACAATACCTCTTTTATCTCTAAAAAAAAAAAAATTACTATATAGTACTATGATCTAGCTTTCCATGTCATAAACCTTTAAGCACCTTTTCACAAACACGCACTAACACAAAGTCTTTATCCAGATCCCTGGCCAGTTAAACCTCTTAACAGCTCTTATTATCCAAACACACAGCTTATCTTTCAGGAGCCACTGAATATTAATTACAGCACAGTCCTTAACCAAGTGGAAAGGAAACCCAGTGGAGGCTGGCAAATACAGATGGAATTGTGGGGGACGACGCCAACAACCAAAGCCTGCTCTGTCAGCCACCTGTAGCCTTCCAACTGGTCAATTTAGGTGACAGTCAACTGCATAATAATCTAACTCAGAATTCTATTCCCTGACTTTAAACAGTTCTTCATTATCTTTTTTTATTAATTGCATTGTCCTTGATGCTATCTCACCTTCAGCGTGCTCTGGTGTTTTGGACAGCTGCTCCAGTTCCCAGCCCAGGTGCAGGGACTCATCCATGCTCTGCTTTTGGGCCATCTCCAGCACAAGATTCTCCTCCAGCAGATCCTCCATGCGCTTGCGGTCCAGGTCTCGCTCCTTAACATTAAAGTTTGGAAGGTTTGTGAAGATAAACCGATGCCAAATTGTAAATGAAATGGTTTATATGACATTTCCTGTGTACGTAAAAACAGCATCTCACCATCTCAAGGTCATGCATCTTGGACTTGAGCTGCAGATTCTCTTTCTCTAGGAGGTGAAGCTTGTCAGACCGGGTCCTGGTTGCATCCAGCTGCTCCTCCAGCATGGTCTTGGTCTCCAGCAGAATCTGATTGTCTTCCTTCAGCTCCTGCAAACACCAAAATACCAGAGAATACAAGTACAACAACATATAGACACTGGGACTGGAAAACATGATCTTGAATGTTGAAATACTTTAACTTTAAGACTTTTTCCAAAAGGTTAAACTGACGATTTTGATTCCCATACGTTTAAGTGTGTGTAATTATGTATTAAATTTAATTCAAATGACTATTCCATTTGATGGAATAGTTATGGCTTGACAGTGGTGTTTCTTCCTTTTGTGCAGTCGTGTACCTCAACTCTGGCCTTGTAAAACTCAATGTCATGAAGTTTCTCTTTGTATCGGCTCAGCTCACTCTCCAGTTTGTCGACACGTATGGCTTTCTCTCTGAGTGCGTCCAGCTCGTCACGGTAGGCCCGAGCTGACCGAGCATCTGATAGCAGCTGATAGCTCTGCAGGACAATCAGATAGCAAAACAAAAATGACTCAAAATAGCTATTACACTGGCAAAGACATTGCATGTTTTCAAACATAATTGCATATCTTACAGTTTGATTCTGTAGCAGTTCAGTAAATTATCTAGCACAATCCTGTATGTTGAATGAAATGGATCAAGAATGGAACAAATTCTCCAAGTTATCAATTCTCCATAGTCTTCCATGCCCCAAATGCACTTTAATCTACCAGTGAAGTCGCTGTCCACCTCAAACCAAAAGCCATCTGAGACGGTGACCACACCAAAAATAGCACTAATAGCCCCTAATGAGCTAAGTCACCTGTTGGTGATTAAAGCCTGGCAAAGTTACAGCCACCAAGTACTTACAGAGCGGAGAGAAGCATGTGGAGTTGGGATAAAGTCACCGTTTGAGTTGATGTTTGTGTCACTTAGAAGTGTGTGAAGGTTGTTCTGACTGATGGCATTACCTCTTGCTGAAGTCTCTTGAACTCCACCTCGATATTTTCAAGCTCCTGCCTGGTGTCCAGAAGCTGCTCACTCTTTTCCTCTCTGTAAAACCAACATGGACAGTTAAGAGGGAGAATTCTAAGCTATAAAATAAAGGTGAAGTGAGTGAACAGATAAAATGTATTGAAATGTCTTGATAATTGACATTTTTCTCTACTTAAATATATTAAACTTATGAGTACCACATAAGCCCCCAATTATACAGAAAAGACAGGCGACTTGTGGTCGATGAGCTTAAATACTACAGCACGATCTTGTTTGGTTAGAGCTAGAATCTTTGTATAACAGATTTATTTTAGGTTATTTTCACAAAAAGCCATGTAAATTAACCTCAACAATGACAAAACATATAAAAAGCTAACACAATAAGATAAAACTGTCAAACTAATTTAGAAAAAAATAACCTGTCTGTGCCACAGGATCAGCACACAATATTCCCCTGTGGCTAAATTTATATTGATTTGGCACGGAAAGAACATCTACAGGAGACAAAGGGTAAAGACAAATGGATTTAAAAAAGAATTACATTCATGACTTCCATCACTGTCAAGCTCACCATTTTCCTGTCATCTGTCTAACTCTTATCTCCACTTCTTAAATCGACTACACTGGAAAAAGGGCAGCTTGACATTTGCTGTCTGTGTGAGTCTCTGTGTGTGCAGACTCTGCGGGCTCCTGCCGTAAAGGGGGAATGTGTCACACTGCTTTGAAAGAAAACAACTGCATTCCTGAGACGCTGCTCTGTGTGTACGCGTTTGCACAACACCGCTCCACTGAACATCCGACGGCCTATTTGATTACTGCTCTCTGGAGGCCCTCAGTGCATCTCAATATGGAAAAGCATCCTTCTCTTTCAGTCTTTTTTCCCTCATTCATCTACTCCTTCCTCCCAACACTATTTTTGGACGTTAAACAATATTAAGGCAGGATGTTCTTTCATGCCTCTCTATTTAAGTTTAAACTTTGTGCAGATTCTCACTGTCCTCCTACAAACCCCTATCAAACTCCAGCACAGAGGATTAGCTGTGGCTCATATTTTGGAAGCCGTCGGCTCTGCTGCTTAAGCTGACGGAACACAACCCGAATCTGCAGCTTTCAAATACAAAAAATACAACACCAGCATATGAGATACAACAAACTAAATAAAATTAAACTCACAATAAACTTTGTGCAGTAGAAATGAACACACAAGGTATATCCACCTTCAAATATTAAGCAAAGACAGACTATAATTTGTCTGCCTGCCTGCCCCCCCCACGCACAAGGTATTAACAGATTTATCTACCCACATTGAATGATTATTTAATTCGTAACAAGCTCAGAAAGACTTCTTAAACAAGAAGTTGAACTTACAGCCTTTACAATAAGTCTTATAATAGCATTATAAAAGGTTGCTGCTTTAAAAAATTAAAAGAATATGTGTCATTTAAGCAAACAAGTTTATGCTTAAATAGTACAAATTGTTTTTACAAGTGACTGCATGACAGCTCTCTTTAAAATGACTAAATATCTTTTGAAGGAATAAAGTGTCATAGTTGCTTTAGCACAAACATTAACCAACAGGCCACTGTGGGAACAGTGGGCCATAGCCCCCGGCTCTGACCTGGTGTCTCTCACACACACAAGCATGAGACCACACAGCAGACGCACAGACCCACATCTGTATGCAGAGGCAGTATGTGTGCACAGGCACAAACATGGCCCCGCTCCTCAGAGAACAAACAGCCGTCATGTGACCAAGCTAAATAAATAAAAACAGTTGTTTTTATGTTTCTTGTCAGACACATCACATGGCAATAATTTAGTCACAGACTCCATGGCAACAAGTCAACACTACCATAACAACCAACAAACAGAAAAACTGATTTTCATGATGGCCGCTGTTCCTCAAAGTCCTCTTTGTGTAGTGAGGGAACAATCAGCGTACAGGACAACCCATCTACAGTCCTTCTCACACTCAGCCTAAACTAATGAATCAGTGTCAGTTTAGTTTAGACTCAAAGTGAGAATTCTTCATGTGGCCACACAGAGTGACCTGCGCTCCTGTTTGATTTACACTTGTTAAAAAGCTATAATTTAGGCCCTCTGACGGACTCGGGAACAGAGAGACCAGCACTGTGCATCCCTGAAACGTTCAAAATCCCCAAACTCCACTGCTTCAATCAAGACTTTCCACACTCATATGGTTTATCTGCTAAATAACACTAAGACGGAAAACAACATGGCCTTTTTTTAAAGAAATAACATAGATGGAGATTCGGCACGAAGTTCTTGTTTTATGTTCTTTGTTTCTTTGTGACACATTTGAATCTAAAAGCAGACCTACTCTGGTTTTTTGGCAGATCACTGCAGGGGGACCTGACACAGACCATCACTGATGTTAAACACACTGTAGTAGTGAAACAGGCACATTGTCTTGAAATTAACTCAATTTTTGGGAAAGTTTTAACCATCAACTTAAAAACATCATCTTGTCTCTAAAGTCGGAGTCAATACTAAAGTTCTTCAAGTTTAAAGTCTTCCTTCTGCTCACATTGATCCGATTCTGTCATTAGGTATTCTTCTGGGACATTAAGAAGGGAGTTCTATTGTTCACAATAGCTCAGCTATTTATCATAAACAACCTGTACAATATAAGGGAGTAATGTCAGGAGTTTTGTTTTATCTCAGTACTCCATCAGCTCCATCCAGCTAAAAAAAAGACATTTATGACCAAGTGTCATCTAAACGTCCCAGTCAGGTCAAATTAGGCAACAAGAGAGGCTGAAATAAAAAAATAAGATAACAGAAAATGACACAGAACAAGCAGCATTTCAGTCTAGCCAGCACTAATCTGACTCTGCTCACCAAGATCTCTACACAATTTTGGTTTCTCTCCAATTTCTGTTTCTTTTGCCCAATTTAAGTAATTGCTGATCTGGCTGATAATGTGGGGGCACTCACAGTTCCTGCCGAAGACGTCTGATTTTGGCCTTGGCATCAGCCAACTCCACAGAGAGGTGCTGTCGGCTTTCAGTTCTCCTCATACTGGGGGAGTCGCTGGGAGAGTGAGTCGCACAGGGAGCCATCGGCGACAGCTGCACACAGTCTCTTTCCTGGGTGAGTTCCACAATAGTCTGGATGGTGAAGGAGAAATGGTGAGATGTCACACTCCAGCTGATGAGACTGTGATTCACGCATGGACTTAAAAGCAAAGACTGAACAAACACAGATTCAGGCAAAGCTGTCTCACCACCTCTAAAGCAGAACGTGGGCATAATGATAAAGGGTGCACAGGGCCCCCCCACACATTGCCTATTTTGATCTATTGCCCTCAACAGGAAATGGGATTGTAATTGAGAGCGGCTGGACGGCTCAGTGATAATCTGGAGTCTATTAGAACCCCCCCAACCAAAAACAAAACAAAAAAAACTGCCATATCAGTAATGGGCATCTGCACCCCACAGGCTGGAAACTCATTTAATGACGCAAATAGTCAAGTAAAACGCACACCCTCCATCCATTACCAGTTTCATCCCTTCCTTCCTGAGGCTTGTCTTTTGTGGTAGGAACCAAAAAAAAAAGAAAATTTTCCACTTGAACAAGCTAAAAACAGCTCATGACTCTCATTTGGCAATCTCCATTAACAATTTTAAAAGATAAATGTAAACACACACACACACACTATGGATTCTGCATGCCTTTACCTCCAGCTGTGTGTCTCTTTCATCCACCAGGCGCTTGAGGTGGAAAGCCAGGTTTCTAGAGAGGCCGTCCAGATCCTCAGGAGGCACTTCTCCGCTTTCCAGCCACTGTAGGTCCACCACATTCTCCTGGTTATGTGTCACCTAAAATGAATACATGTCATCAATTAAACTAGTCTCAGTGACATACAGTTTACAGTTCACCAGTTCAGTATTAGTACAAATCAGTTTTGTTTACTACAGAAAAAAAAAAGAAAACCTCTTGGATGTGGGATGCTATGGCAGCCTTGGTGTGAAAATCCAGCGTCTGGATACGCTCAATGTACTCTTCCTTCTTATCGCACTGTAAACACAAGTAGAGACAGGGACTGCAGTTAAATGCACGACTCCTCAACATGCTGTGGGAAAGACAAGGAATTTTGAGCTGTTAAAAAGGTTGGGTATCAAGAGGAGGTTAGTGGACCAACACTGCACGCACAAAGCAGCAGATCAGATAGAGGGGTTTACGAGCAGAAAACCTTGAATGCTGATCATCTGTTGAGCGCGGCTGCATTCAGCCTCACAATAAAAGTGTGCGGTCTCACCTGGACAGCGCAGCCTAGTAGTAACAGCAGCAGCTTTTTCATCTCCTCCAGACCTTGTTCTGTTTGGGGAAACAAAGAGCAAAGAACATTACTAACACCAGAAAAACAAAACATTTACTCTTTTTCACAACGGTGAATTAAGTTGAGTGATCTTTTTTCCTTTTCTGTGGAAATATTACAGTCGCTGCTTTAAACTGATTGGGAAATCAATAAAAGAGAAATAATAAATATATTTAACCATTTATGCATTTTCTAAATAACAGACAAAGGATTGAAGCCATAATCAGCTTTGCCTCATAAGGCAGGAATACATTTTGAGTTTTCTTCCACATTTAATTCCAGTTAGTGAAATTCTTCGGCTGTTACAATTTCCTGTAATAAATCCCTTCTTCCTCTCGTTACAGGGCCCAATGTTTTCTTCAGAGTAACTGGCAGGGAGGATGAACTTCTGGGCTCTCGCACATGTCGGGACATATTGTCAGAAACTGCTGAAGCCCATAAACAGCTGTCTGCCTCCTCAACAGGCCTGAGCTCATCTGGGGGATTTGGGGCTGAACAACAACAAACCAGGTGGTGTGCGCGAGTGTATGTGTGCACGTGTTACACTGACTAAGTGGTACAGTCATTTATGTTCTTCTGGGTGTGTTCTTAGATGGCACGCTTTCTCTGTTTGAATCAGGGTGTGTGCCAGTGTGATAAGCCAGCTCATTGTGTGACCCTGGGAGCAGTGACTGCTAACACCGTCCATCTCTGACAATAATAAATCCAGATTAGTGAGAGCTTGTTTTCTGCTAGGGGAGGCCTGTTGCCTTTTGGTCTGATGGGCCAATCATCGGAGCAGGAACACCATTACACGCATACACATAAAATGATAATCCTGTGATACGGCTCAAGTATTTCAAGGCCGTCAAAATAAGATTTGATCAAGATTATCAGCATTCCAGCATTACTGGAAATACAGGACAACATCTGTTGGGAAAAAAGAATTACCAGTCTGCGTAAAAAATCTATTTAAACAGAAACAGACCAACAGTTGTTCCTTTGGGATTGTTTAATTTGCCAAAGTATGTACCACACTGACAAGCTCTATCCATCCATTTCACAGAATCCTTCACACAATTTAATCAATTTCCGCTCTCCCATTTCTCCCGAGTCAATAGAAAAAGTCGATATTATTGAGAACCACACACTGCCATTTGGCTCAGATGTAGCAGGCTGAATAATGACGTCTTAAAGAGGGAAACCTCTGATCATACAACTGATGTTGTAAACACCAATCCAACACAAATATGGAGTGAAACTTGCTGATGGGCTTTGTCTGTATGAATGGAAATGTTTTTTTCAGGGGCTTTTTGGAGAAAGCTAGCATAAATCCTGGAACTTTTCAGTAGTCTGTGTTCCGCCAACTATTTAAACACAGAAATTGGGTTGTAATTGCGTACATGCCGTACTGCAGCCAGGGAAAGATTTCCTTTTGTTTTTATATAGATCCAAGGGAGGTTTTCCAGCTCTTGGGTGAGCCACTGCAGCAAAACATATGAAAAGAAAACAGAAGCTCAAAACACCGGAATAGCTACTTCACCACAGCCCACTGATGACTTGGAATAGGGACATAAAGGGGGATCACCGTACGTTAGAACAGAGTAGCGGGGCGCTGGGAGCATATTTCTTTAGATTTTAAATTGAATAAAAAAATAAACACTGAGAAATATGTACCAACAATTGCAGCAGGTACATTTTAGAGAGTTAGGCGCCTGTCAGTAATGGAAAAAGATACAAATGTTCTGTTTGATAACTTCACCAGTGCCATTTAGATCATCACCGCCTATATTCAGGATATAAAATTAAATACGACACATATGTAACAGACTATGAGCGGATTTAAACCTTGAAGGGTGGTGGCAGATAAAAACTTAATTCTGTAGACTGCATAGCTTAACAATACTCTATTAAAGCCATAAGGACCTACCCTAGTCAGGAAAAGGATTTAGCTCAGCAAATCTAATGGAGCGGCCTAGGAAAGATAAGGAACCTCTCAGGATAAATAATTCATATGGCTAGAGAGGAAGAACAAGAGGGAGAAGCAGTAAGAGGGAGAGATGAAAAGAAAAAAGACCAGAATAAAAGACTAACAGGCAACACAAACAGAAAGGAAGAATACAGAGACAGGGAAACCGAGTGAACGACAGAACAGCAAAAGCAAGGCAAAGAAAAATGTGAAGAGAAGAAATTAATCTCCCTCCAGCAGCAGCAGCCTAAAAGGGGGTGCCACCCTTCTCACTGCTGGCCTCATCTTTTGTCCACCCCCCACACCCCACCCCCCCATTTATACACTCACTATCCATGTACTCCATGCAACCCACATCCACCCATCCTTCCTTCCTTCCTTTAACATTGTTACAAATCATCTGCACCACCAGTGTGAGCATCTGAATCACACATCTCAGCTGGCCCTTTTCACCCCCCTCCCTCCCTCTTTTATCCTTTTGGCAGGAAACAAGAGGTCAGAAGGACAGTGACTAACCCTTTTTCCTGCAGCGTCGTTGTTCATCTGTGTGTGAGGGTGTGATTGAACAAGGAGGGGAAATAATGTCCATGCTCAGGTGCGATCTCTTGCCACCCTTCTGCTGCTGCCATGATGACTAAATGCATTCGAGACCTGATGACTTCTGTGTCAGTGATGGGCCGGGCGCATGCAATCTGATATGTGCTGACAGGATGCCACAGCACATTCAGCCTCCCTCACAGGAAGAGGGGACAGGGCCGGCTGAGTCTTAGTTTCAGATTATTTTGGGACATTTGTGCTCTGTAAAGCAGGACACCTGCCTCGGGCTGATGTCTGTGAGGAAAGCATCCACACAGGAAGATGGTGATTAAAGCACGTCAGTTTTACTGGTATGGTTTAGTTTTGTCTATTGGGTTGTTTCTCTCAGAGATTATGCTAATTCCAACAGGTAAAAACAAACATAAGATCCAACATTTATGAGCCAGCTGTTGTCTCCACACAGCTGCCTGACCTGGTGTTACTACTTCATCCATTCCTACATAACAAACATATCTTTTAATATGAAGCTGTATCCATTTATCTAAGGGTACAGAGGAATTAACACGTTACACCAAAGAACTCTTCCTCTGTTTTTAATTGTAAGCAGATGTAGACAATGGCACAAAAAAATCCTTCAAATGGTTCGAGTTTGAGACTTTATCACTTCTAGCAGGAATAACATAATTCAAAAGTAAAATTTCAGAGGATCAAACCAGATCCCAGCTGACAAATTCAAATGTGCCACACTGTGCTTACAACTTTACTGCCATAATACTTTCATGTAGAGGAAATCAACATCTGTGCGCCTCACTGTGCATGTTTAGCAAACGCACACTGGGCTGGCTCAGAGCCTGGGGTGGTAATACAGTGCATTCCCACTGTTCACTGTCTTCAAGACTCCCCTCCCCCATTTGAAAACTAACCGTGCACATGCGTGCACTCACACACATGCAGAGTTGTCCCTCACCCCCAAAAGGGAGCATAATAAAAGCCACATGGATGATGACTTTCAGCTGACTGCCACTGAACCAGTGAGCCTCACTCCCCATCCATCGCTGCTTTGACCGACTGATTATCTGACAGGCTCGAGGTTAAAGGGCAAAACAGGACTTCAAAAATGCTGGCTAATGATTTCTACTCTGCCCCACCTGCCTCGCACCGCTGTCTGCACTGGGTGACTTTAATGTTCTCTCTAGCTGCGTCTGGGCTCTGTAGAGGAGGAATATCTTTGAAGAGCCAGACACTCTGAATTGTATTGCTGGAAAGAAAAGTTCAAACAGCAGATATTACTTTATTTTGTACGGTTCATGGAGGCTTGCACCTCTCGGCTTCACAGTGACTGGACAGAGCTATAAAGGGCAGCAACTCTGAGCGGAATTAATAAAACAAGAAAAAGCTGTGCAGAAGATCTGAAATATAGCACTGATGATTGCTTCATACAAATGTGTGTGCATTCCCTGCAGCTTGGATTGTTCCATGTATTTACTTTTCTTGTAGATGACAAATGAAAAAAGAGCAAACTGGAGCCATTGGAAAGTGATGAAAACCCCAAAATAACAGCGATGGTAGTGATGAAAGTGTGATAAAGCCAGCCGAGAGAGGATAGGGATTAAGGGGCCGTTTCATTTGCTTAAGGAGGTACAGACATCTTTCAACAAAGTCTGTGAGCTCAGCCTGGAAACAATTAACTTTGAAGAGCTGATGATTGTGCGACGTCTACGGAGGCAATGAACCTTTGTGTGGGTGGTTCTGCTGATCCGCACATACTGGTAAACAATTTTTCATTACACAGCTTTCCTATTGTCAAAATCGTGAATAATCATCTAGTGAGTGGAATAATCATGTCATAATACATTTCCAGTGGTTATAAAAATGGAGGCAGATTAAAAGTATGCACAAAGACCTTATTTTTTGACTCTCACTTAAAACTAAGCCAAAGCTAGCAACCCTAGCTGGAAACGGAGTAAAGGTAAAAGCATTCCCTCTGTACATGAATGTGTATTGATTTGAAGACTGATGAATGTGTGTGTGTCCTTGTTACGGAAAGGGAGAGAGGACATTAAACAAAGTGCTTCATCTAACCGACATTTGTGTGGAAAATTCTGAATATATTCATCATCAAAGCACAACAGATACTTGACTTTTGATGGCCCTTTATTCTCCTCCGTGGTTTTATACCGGGATATCAGGTAGCATATAGTGCTGCATGGGTCAAGCTGTTCAAAAGCGTTTTCATGACTCAAACACTTGACACTGCACCACTGTTGCTTTAATGCCCCTCAAACATATCAAATAGCGTGGACGGGTTCAGTAGGTCAAAGCTTTGCCGCAAAATGGTCGAATGAATTTTACACTTTGGGGGACGGAGCTCCATGTATTTGACAAGTGGCAGTTTCCCTTGTGGCAACATGACTAATGATAATAATTTACATCAACTCTTACACAGGGACGTCTTAATAAACAGTTCATTATGCAGCACCAGATGAAAAGGATAAAGAGTCTGTGGAATTAAATGGAAAAGTGAATGAAGCACTAAAGCACTGGCAACAGCTACATTCTGACCAAGAGAAAACATTTGGAAAAAGTTAAACCTGTACAGCACAGCCGAAATATGTTATCTGCTTTTGAACTTTTCCTCATAAAGTCTCTTACCAGAAAGGGGGTTTCGGCCCAGCACCAGCACATTTGGTAAAGGCATCATGACAAGCTGCTGGAGACTCTCCTGCAGAAGAAAGAACATGGAAGTAGTCAGTAAGATTTAATCATGTACAGTAAGCACCAACGCAAAAAAGAAATTATACAAATACCAAAACCATGATCTTTGAGGCATCGACAACAGCTTTTAACACGGAAATCATCTGTAGTGATGTAACTACTGATGATGGACACGCCTATGTGGACGTGTCCATCAGAGACACAAAATGACATACTGGGCTCTAACTCACAGAAATCAAACAGATACAAAACCAGTGTGCAAACATGTGCTGGCTGATACCAAGTGTGCATTGATGGGCAGGACAGAATTACTGTTCATGTGTTGGTCTTATTAAAGCCGTGTCACATTATGGTCCTGGCATTAATGCACAATCAAGGTGGCAACACCACTTCCCCTCTACATAAATATGAAGCCTAATCTTTCCCAAGCTGATTCACTGATAAAAACTCGAGTAGTATCACAGCTAATACTACATCTATTACATTAAATAAGGTTCATACAAGAAGAGACATTTATCACACATAAAGACTGAACTTTTAAAGCCAAACGAAGCAGCTCTAAACCAGAGGTGTGTTCTGAGGCGAGCCTGCTTTCGTTAAGCAGAACAGACATAAAGAGCTGCTACTTTGAGCATTTTATACCAACCTGATAGCAGTGAGCAGCTTGAACTCATCTGACCTGACAGTTCAACCGCTCTGTGCAGGTTACTGCTGAAGTCATGACAAAGAGGCTTATATAAGCAAGGGGTTTTCTGCCAGTCCCCCTCATGCAACAACCATCTGCCCTATACATATTGCATTACCTCATCATGGAGGTAAAGGGGGCTGGAAAAGTGGCAGCAGCTGGTGGTTTTGGTCAGGTAAAAACAGAACCAGCCATGCATGCTGCTGCTATACGTTCTCAGAACAACGAGCTTACAGAGACGTGATGAACCGCAAATGTCATTCAATCCAGTTTACCGTACAAAAATGGAAGGATGCGGGGCTAAATCATTCCATTTTTCTCAGTTGTGGTTTGTGATGCAGTCGTATACTTATTTTCAGATGGTTTTGTGTTATTGCAGCACTGGAAACTGAATCAGTGGTCAGCTAAATCTGTTTAGAATGTTTTATTTGATGCAGAGACATAAAGAGACCAATATAAAAATATAGAGAAATGGGTGATGGAGAATGGCTAACATCTGGGTTCAAGCAAACTACAGGACTGAGATCTATGAGCTGTGAGGAGATTAACTCCACTCATCTCCTTATCTTTATGGTAACTTCTTCAGTCAAAGTATGAATATAGTGTTATGTAAGATGATTGTACTTTAAAATTATTACATGGCTCACTAGGAGACTCATTTGACTATTTATTTTAAAAAAGAATAGACAACTTTCTGACTAAAAAGATCCAAGCTTCTCATGTGATGTTCACGCCCCTAAAAAAAATCCCAAAACACATCCATAACATCACGTGAAGGTCAGGGATACTGACTAAGTAATGTCCCAAAAAAATATCTCATCACTTAATATGATATACTGTAACACACGGCCTGTACAAAGGTTATACATTGATCCCAGAAATGTATGACGCTGATGACGATGACTAAGGGTGATTCGGACAATAATGATGACTTGCATCCTGCATTCCAGGTTCAAATGACCAAACAGACATTCTGTCTGAGAGCGAGACAGATTGACTCAACAAGCGTTAGACAGCCACAGTTGGTGTCTCACAGAGAGACATTTGGTGCGCCTGGCAGCCAGCTGACCATCAAGTCATGACGCTTTGAGCTAAATCAGTCAAGAAAGAAATATGTGCATCATCAAAGAAAACTGTGGAGCTGACAATCCCTCTGTGAAGCTTTGGGGTGGTTTGGGTGGCCTCCAGTGTTACCCGTTCAGCATTTAGAGGGGCTAGTCCCTTTTAGCATAAGACATATTTGGAGAAAAGGGAAGTCCAACTGGATCACAAGTGTGACAAAAGCACACTCCTCCTCCCAGTTGTCCACGTCTGAGCATGACTACCCTCGGTTCACACTCCCACCTGTCCGTTCAGAGGCAGCATGTGTTTGCGGTGCGAGTTAGAACAAGCTGGGCTTTCTGTCAACAACTCAACATAAAGACAGCAAAGCTGACTACCATACGCCCACAAACCATGCATATCTGTTAGGAAGTGAGAAGTCTGTTTAATAGAGGCATGCAACTCAAGCTTTAGCATAAAGCCATGTGATGCTACCCCAGTGCTCTAGTGGAGGGATGGGAGTAAGGACTTGCTTTAGGGATGAGCTGAAGGTCAATAACAAAGCTGAACAACAGTAGCATATTTCACCTCACTGGTAGCTGGTAATGCCTTAGTTTTCATATAAAACATGGTCTTCACACACCAAGTGTGTCCTGGCAATGTGTGACTGCGCGGTTGGCACGTGAACACACACCAAAAGCCTTCAAAAAGAAAGCTTTTGCAGCCCTATTGGGAGTGTGACAGCAGAAAATGACTTTGGCTCAGTTAGTATATCCTTCTCTCCTATCTTCTATCCATTTAATCATGTCTATTTTACACAAGGGAAATGTGGGGGAGAACAATATTCAGACAGTGAAAAGGGGACATGTGATGGAGAGAAATAAGAGGAAGATAGTCCAAACAGATGGGAGGAAATAAAAGAAAGATTTATAGTTTCAAATTCATCACTTCTCACTCCAGAGTTGAAGGATGGATCTGCCCTGTTCTCCACATCTCTCTGCTCCCCCCATCCCCCTACCCCGACACTTCATTGCTGTATTATTGATTCCAGCAAGACTCAAGGCTTCTCAACACTGGCTCCTCTTCCATCCCACAGTGATGTTTAGACAGGCTGAGTGAATGAAGTGCTGGTTAAAGGCGACTTTCCACAACTCTCTCTCTGATGCATGGCGTGAGCAATCTATGAGCTTTGTATGCAAACAGTGCAAAAAAAGTGCATATCATGCACGCAGAGCCACGCCATCTTCAAGCCAGCTCTGCAGGTCTGTTAAGAACTGATACCCGTCTACTTAGGAAAACATATTGATCTGAGTGATCCCCCATGGTGCTCAGACACCCCCCACAAAACATTCCTCAGGCATCCGTTATAACAGAGGAAATTGTGAGGCAAGTGACACCTAAATCATTCTGAGCTATGCATCCTGCTCAGTTATTTAATGTTAAATGTGATGGGATGGACGTCTGCTAACAAAGGAAACGGCACTCTGCCGATCCCCCACTCATCTAGCAGACAATGCTCACACACTTGGATGCAAGCACAGAGCTGCTAAATGTTCCCTTAGGCTTGAATGTGCATCCTGTGTGCAGGTTTAAATCGAAGTGATGTCAGTATGAAGGTTACGAGGCAGCCGTGTTTCTGTCAAACAAGAGCGCAGTCTGTTCAACTCGCCCTCCCCAACACACACCTCCCTTCAATTCCTTTCCATCTCTCCACCCAAAACCCAAGTTCCGTTAGCAGCAAACCTTTAACAGGGGACTAATTGTGTTAATACCAAGTGTGTGTGTGTGTGTGTGTGTGTGTGTGTGTGTGTGTGTGCGCCTGAACCCTGAAAGCCTGATTCACACCCATTCTGCAGACACAGAGGGTTACCATAGAAACCAGGAGATGGGTTTATTCTCCCCAAGCTGGAGAGCCTGATGCATGTTGCAGGAATTGTTCACGAGCTCTCCTGCACTCTGCGGACTTCCCTCCTGCTGAAAAACTGCAGATATTTAGAGCTGGATGAGGTTATTTACACCAGCAAGGGGAAGGAACAATCTTCTGCTTTCACTAAACACTCAAACCCAAACAGAAATATAACATAACATCATACTAGGGATGCTTTTATCTTATAAAAGAATCAAAGTCTGAATTATTTCCACATCATTTATATACATGTTAGTACATGTAAAAAAAAAAAAAAAAACCCTTTCTTAAACTGTCCTGAATAGAGTAGCAGTCGGCGTCCACTGCTGGCCAGATGGGCTGGTCATCTCGTAGGAGGAGGAAAAGCATCATTAGCAGCCTGTTTCTTTTGTTCCTTGCTGATATCTATCAGCTAAAGTGCTTTTTACAACAGAGCCCTGAGGCAGAACGAGTGGACTGGTTGGTTCCACTGCTCGTCTCAGAGAAGGAAGCAGGAGATCTGAGGAAATCTGACCTCTCCAACTTTAGCCCCATCACCCCCCTGAGTTCTTCCTCACAGAGGCTGAAAAAGTTCACACTAACGCACTCACTTTAAATGTAATCACATCTGTGTCAATTGTAACATTTACAACTTAAGACATCAGTTGTTTGCAATAATAGCTTAAAATAAGTGTTTAGCATTCAAACACTTCTTAAAACTATAAGAGGAAGTTCTTTTCTTTGCATTAGTAGGAAATGCAGCCATTTGCATTTCATAGAATTACTTTTACACTTTAAACCACAATTTCCAATTAGCATGAGAGAACTGGTTAAAACATTATTCATATAAACAGTTCTTACGGTCAGCCACAAAAAGATTAACGGTCCCACAATCAACCCCAGCACAGCCGACATGAGACGGCAATTACAACTAAATTTAAACCCAACTCTGCCTTCTGACCAAGTCACGACGTCATTCCTATCTGCGGTGTAAATGCAAAAAGAAAAGGGAAAAAAGATCAACGAAGGAATGTTTTCTTTAGGGGAGCTCCCAGTCATCATAACCCTGAAAGAGCCATTAAAACTGCCACATTCAGATTAACCTGGTGGGACTATTTCCCCCTTTCCGGATTAATTTAAAACATCACGGACACCTTAAAAAATGAAAGACTGAAATTTAAAGTGAGTGAACAGAGCAGTGTAAAAAACACACGTGCTGTAGTTCACTAATCAGAGATGGAAGTGAAAAACAAAGCTTCGAGTTTCCCTTTAAAGCTCTGCTCGGACCTAAAACGGTTCCCTTTCAGTACGAGAACCTTCTGTACATCATTACTTCCAGAAACTTTAGCTTACATGCGCTTTACTTAAAAAGCACACAAACTGTTTGCAGACATGTACGTGCAGAGGAATGAGTCTCACAAAAATCTGTTCCCACTACAGGCTGTGATTAAAATATATAATGGTGGAGTGTACAAGTCTCAAAGTAATTCTAAACATCATGATAAGCAGAAAATTGCTGTTAGCAATAAGGAACACTTGAATGGCAACAAGTCTAATACTTGCAGAAAGAATTCCATTTACTGTAGTCATGTCAAACTTCAAAAAGTTTAAGTGCTGCTTCCACTTATTCTGAATCAAACAAGAACATTTGTTCAATTAAGTTGATTACTTTATAATCACTTCAAGTTTAAAAGAAACAAGTGACATCCGTTTTAAGCAACTATTAAATGATATTTAAATAAACTCAGGTAGATGAAGAACAAGAAGAACGTGAGTCAGAGCGATATGATGCACCTGGGAAGTTAATTTTATTCCCTTAAGCGATGTCTTTCAGACTGCTAAACAAGTCATCGAACATCATCAAAAGGATATTCGGACCAGCAATCATGTGAGTCTGCATGACAACACACATTTAGCCGGCAGCTTCCAGCTCATGCCCTAATAAACTGATTTGACCGTGACTCTCACTGAAAGGAGCAAAAACACAAGGAGTCAAATTGGGAATTTCATGCTGATTTGAAACAGATAAGTTCTAGTAAAGGGAAAAAGATGTATTAGCAAAAGAGAAACCCTCTTCCATTTTTTTAAGGCTGAAGTTAAAGAGGATTGAGGTTAAAGAGGGACGTGCCAGATTTTGAGTGCTTGAGCGGGGGGGATCAACACAGTCAAGCCATAAGGAAAGTAACTACAAAGTAAGCTGAAATCTTGGCAGATATTCTGGACAAAGAGGTACAAAACATGATAAAAACTACTTTGGGGAAGAGCTTGCTCGAAAAAAGGGAAGATGGTGAGTGGGCCGTGGAAGTGCAAAGCTTTCCCCCTCCTTTTTCGAGCAGCATATTAACAGACTGATTACCTCTGAAACGTGGACCCATTTAAAAAAGAAAAAATGTGGAAGACAGAAGCTAAAATAATCTGTAAACTTTCTCAGTTTCCACAACGTGTGAGAATATTCTCCAGCTGCCCTCTAGCCAATGTAATAATTAGACAGGAGACACACAACAGAGTTTAGAGTTTGGTGTTATTCACAGAGACTGACTAAAGATGCTGGCCGTGTTGGGCCGAGGCACACTCTCAATGAATAGTGGTCTCTGTTACCCAACGTTTATACCCCACCCCAAACCAAAGCAGGGGCAAAGAGGACAGAAGTGCTCTTATTTTAAGAAGAAAAGTCCACAGCTTTAAGGATGAGACCCCAGGAAAGGTTACCATGCAGTTGGTAACATACATTAGATGTTTCAGCAAAAAACAACATGGATTTATCAACTTGGAATAAGCAGAAGCCAGAGCTTGTCTTGCTGGTGTGAATGATTTGTTTCGACACTGAATGACAGCAGATGCTCTCTGAGCAGATTTTCATAAACCAGGCCAAGGGGATTCCCTTAGCAATCTCTGAGAAAGGCCAGCAAAGGCAGAGGGATTTTTAGCTCTTTTGGCTGAGGCTCCATGTTACCTCCCGCCTAAGAATGCCAAACCAAGGCCACCAAATTAAAAAGAGGCCCAGCATATATTTGGGCTAACCACCAGAGCTATGAACTCGTCCAAAGAGGGAAATGACTGCGCAACCAAGAAGTTAATGTCCAAACAGAATTCAGTAATCATCTATATACAGATACATCCCAATTTTACATTTAGAAAGTATAAGATCAAAGGTTTGGACAGTTTCAGTCACACCGAAGACACACAAAAACGTTTACAAAAGCAAGTGCTTCCAGCCCCTCTGGCTCCATCGCCACCAGACTCTAAAATCAAAGCCTATCTGGATATAAGTAAGGAAGGAGTTAGGAATCCAGGAGGTAAAGCACAGGGGGGAAAGTTATAGCAAAGCTTCTCATCTGTGGGCTTTTAATGGTTCAACAAGCTTAACGCATTAGATTCTCTTGATACCACAGGATCCATTAGAGTGAACAATAGCACCGATTGACATGAAGCCCTGCTTCTACCAAAATTTATGTTTTGGCAATTCGGATCAAAGGTCGAAGCAAAAACTTTGGGCATCTAATTCAGAGAATGAGAGATCTCGGATTACTGAATAACCAGAAGGAACCAACCATAAAAGGCTCCAGCTTGTTTTAGTTCCTTTTCACAGAGATGAGTAACACAGTAACCAGTCCACTAGTCTAAATCTAGCTGATGAAAATATGCAAACCTTGGCTGTGCCTGACCATTGATCAGCTGTGTGAGAGGGGAGGTGGGTGTGTGTGACAGCAAAAGGGATGGGGGGTTATTCTGTAGACAACATTATGTATACATAAACTGCTTCCTGTCCTTATGTGATTGACTAACCAGGCTATTTTATAATACCGTCTTTCTCCAAATCTTTAATAGCCATACATCACTGAAATTGCTTCATATAATTTTTATCTGATTTAGCGTCTTTAATTACAGGCATATTATTAGCTTTTGGCACAAAGCTTTCCTTCAACACTGTTACAACCATCTCTACACATCAGACATAAGTAGAAGAAGTCAATCACCCCACGCTACAAGGCTCCCAGCCAAAAAAGATGACTTTTTATGCCCTTTAAGCATTAGCACTTTATCAAACAATCTTTTTTGGTGGCTGGATAAGACCTTAAAAGGCCATCGTGGGGGCAGCAAGTGAGGGATATAAACCCCTTGGTGGTCTCTGTGGGGCTGAGCCTGCAGACACAAGTGGCTGAACAATAGTGTGACAAAAAGGTCAATGGGGCGATGCACAGACGAACGGGGAGGATTAATCAAACACCACAGAAGAACAACTGAGGCATTGTGGCTGAACAATCTCCACATCAATGTAACACCACAGTTAAAAGGTACCCCAAAGAGTTCCCCAGTTTACTCACACAATGACTGGAATCTGTATCACTGCGTTGGTTTGTGAAATTTAACTCACCATCCTAAAGCCATCAGGAAAGGGGGGTAGAGTTTTCTATTTTAAAGGATGAGCACATTCTTAAAAATATCAGTCGACAAAGTTTCAGCATATGTGGATTGGACACTATGACAATCTGAACTTTTATTTTTTCCTCTAAAAAGATGGAGCACATCATGAATCTGAACATCCTAAATGGTGATGTCAAAGCCGTGCGTGTTCCGTATCAGAGTCACGATGAGGCACCTGGATAAAGCCCTTAATCGCTCCTGTCATCTCAACATCAACCGACTTTGCTCATGACCACTTAACCCTCAGTAGCCACTGATAGCAGATAATTCTGCCAGCTTTTTCAAGCGGCCAAGTAGAGCTTTTGTAGGCTTAACGTCAAAGGCTGGACGATGGCACAATTGTTTAAATAACATGACCCAGAAGAGATCAACTGGGTGTACAAAACTCGGCCCAATGCTGACCTGACAACAGAATTAACTAATGCCCAGGAACACTCTGTTAGATTCAAAGACAAAACAGCAGCTTGACAAATTAAGCTCATAAAACAACAAGCTGAAGAAATTTCATGGACAAATTCCAATTTTAAAATAAAAATTTAATTTTAGTTAAAGGCACAAGTTTGACAGTGACCCACTTATTCCAGTTTTATAGATAAAATTATACAAGTTATAAGTTATTTTTATGTGGACAGAGATAAAGTTTATCACAAACAGCTGACCCAGTGCAATCCAAAATCTCTCTGTAGTAGCTTTTTTTGCTAAAATGAGCAGGTTTTACAGTTAGCATTTTTGCACGATAAGGAAATTGTACGGCTTTAAATGCTTAATACCACAAACACACCACAGTAGTCCGTATGAACAAATGAAAGAAAAAACATTACAACTAGTTCAGCCTGTAATACAACTTAAAACACTCAGCGTTCCACAGAACTGTGAATCTGACTGTGATATCATGTTAATCTCCCCTCTTCCGTTTGTTTATTTAGTTCATCAGATTAATGGTAAATTGCTGTCATTTTCTTTTGGTCCCATCAACACTCAGCTGTGTTGATAATGGAAGCAACAGTGTTTTGGAGCTCGATGAGCTGATAGCGAGTCACACCAATTTAAAAAGAGATAAAACTTGTGGACACATATCTGATTAAAAAGAAGTCTGTCTTGTGGGATATATGTAATGCTGCATGGTTCTTTCACTGTTTTTTCTCAAAACATATACCCAATAAGCTATTTATCAGTCCTTGACGATGATCCTTAGTATCAAGAACATTGACAGAGGGAATCCTGCTGAGTGAGCAGAACTGGGATCCATCTTAAAACACCAGACATTCAGCGTAAGACGGAGGCACATTACCACATCTTTGTGTTTTACATTCCTGATGTCTCTTTAAATTTACTGAGCCCTCTGCCATCTGGATGATGGTCATGATACCACATCACACAGATGCACATCTGAAAATATATCTCTGTTTATACAGCCAAGTCTTTAAGAGGCATGTGCTGGTGTGGACACATTAAATTATATGTGCAGGATAAGAGAAGGCCTGGAGGGAAGTGTTGTCTGGTTGTATTTTTCCACTGTAACCACAACTATATAAACCTATCATTTGAATGAAGACCACACCAGCTCAGAAGAGATCACAGAGAGGTTAGCAAGTGTGATGTTTGTCCTACCAGATCCATTTCTTTATCTTCAATAAGAGCGCTCTACGATACAATATGTGACTTTCTTTCAAAGATGGACGCAATTACTCCTAATCGCACATAGGTAAAACTCTTACCTGATAGTAGGCCTTAATCTGCCTGATAAGAATAGACAGGTTCTGGATGCGCAGTGTGGGGTCATTGTTCACTTTCTTGTTGGTCCTCTGCACAGTGGCTTTAGGATTTCTGTAACAGAATAGAGATGATGTCAGTAAATGATCACCACCAGATCAAATGCAAATGTCAGTGAAAAAGTTATACAAACAATTTAAATTCACTGGATTGCTTAAAGACAGATACAACAAATACAACAAATCAGAGAATGTTTCGATGCTTTCAGGCTCCACTGAAGTGAGGCACCTCTAATTCTGTGACCACAAAGTGTGATCGCTTTTTCTATGAATCAGTCTGAAGCAAACAGAAGGATATTCCTCATGCCTACATAACACAGAGGCTGTGTTTCACACAGAATACTGCCCCAGGGTTTCAAGAGGAGCATGCATGACAAGTTATATCATCACAGGTGTCAACAAGTATGAAATGCTCTGACATTCCACACACTCTTTACTACCTGACGAGAAATTATGAATTACATGTCTATGAAAAATGTTTTAACATTAAAGAGTCCCAGAATTAATTTAAATTCAACCCTTCCCTTTGAAACCCTGTGGGCTTCATGAGATAAAGATAATGCTCTGATTCCAAGAGGGAAGGTCAGGGGGCAGGGGCAGGGGCCGTGTAACCAACTGGGATTTGGATTTATTGCCATGGCTAGACTGCTTAAAATTGGTTCTACCCGAGTGATGCTTTAAATGCTTACAGGTAAAAGACAATCCTCATCAATTTCTCTTTATTATTTGAGAATTCTTTATATAGATTAAATGTAAAATACAGATTTGATGGTGGGTAATAGATTTCACTTCACTGCATATTTATGTGCAGACAGACTGCTTAGTCAGTCTGTGAAAACCATTTTCCTAATTGGACAACAAGAAAGAAAAAAAAAAACATCCCATCCTCTATAAAGAAAATTTAGGAAATCAACATTGCGCATGAACTTAATTTGTATTTTTACAGCAACAAGGTAAATGAGCAGCTCTTTTTACTTATATTCACTTAAAAAATTAGGAGCACATACAGGCAATGACCCGTATATGGATGTATGTAAGGGTCAATAGTAAGGACCCTCCTCCACCCTGAGAAGGAAGGAGGGAGGGTCCTAGCTGCTTATGAATGTATGCATGCATGCACTGTGTGTGCATGTGAAGTCATGCATGCATGTGCATAGCATGCGTCTCGAATGTTGAAATCAAGAGCAAAATGACAAATCCCAATAAAGAAATGTTTATTCCAAGCAGACACACTAGATAAAAACAGATATCTAATAGGAATTCTAAAAAAGCTGGAGTCTAATGGCCATTTGGAGGTTAAAGGTGAAGCTTTCCAAGGACGTTTAGCTTTATTCATGCAGACAGTCACAGGGGACTTTTGGTTTGAAGGAATTTTTCGAATCATGAAAACATGCAGCTGGTCCGATTCTGCAAAGACCATACAGATATTACCAACATGAAACCATTTAAGCCCTGTTCTTACATAGGAATATAAAATCTAGCAATACTCCAATGAGCCAAATTATCAGTTTAGCCAAACTGAAATGTGTCTATATACAAAAGACAAAGGAAAACAGCTTAACGAAAATAATTATTCAAATAGCCTCATTGCTTAACCCTGAAATCCCAAATAGACACAAATTATGATTTTATTCCAAAAAAGAGAGCCAAAACACTGTTTTTCATTTTAAAAAAGCAATTTCTTAAGTCAACCGGCTGCAGTGCTGATGTGCTCAGTCCTTTGATCAGCCTCCGCCCAAACACACACATTTATGCTAATCAGAAGGACACAGGGCTCTTTAATACTGGTCTAAATGAACAACCGTGTGCCCTCCCCATCTCCCCCCTCCACACACATAGCCCTTTTCGATCCATTGTGGGGGGTCTATTAACCCATTAATTAAAAAGCACAGAGGAGTCTGTAATCCTATCAGGGCTCGCAGGGTGATGGGGGGAGTGAAGTATGCGGGAGGGCACACAAAAATCTGAAGATTTTCCCATTCACACATTCCATCATCATCCCCACAGTGTACCGAAAACATGGCGAGCACAAAAAAGGACTCACAAAACACACACACAAGCAGACAGACACCCTTGTGGATTAGCCAGCAAACAAATACCAGGATTTAACACAGGAACAGCTGTAAATTAATACACTTATTACCTCCCCCTCCTTGATCCTGCTGATACAGTAAATCTAGCACTTTAAATACACAACTAGATTAAGGATAGACAGATAAAGCCAGTTAAACAGCTAGCAAGACAGACAGCTAGTCAGCAAGTCAGTCAGACGGGCAGTCAATAAGCCGGTCTGTTGGCTGTGTCGATGGGCACCGCAGCCTCAGAGCCTGGGGCCACTGGGCTTCCTCCTCCCATCGCCCAGCTTTGATTGGCTGACTTGGTTATGGAGTAGTGTTAACCTATATATGACAGGCTAAATTACGCTCAGCTTGGGCAGCCAGGCACATGCCCATGCAGAGAAACACACAGAAAAAAATAGAAAATGTAAGCTGCGTTTGGCCACGTGTTGGCCGTGTTTTCCAGACACAGCGGGGGAGCGTGGACTTCGGTGAGCTGTGCTCAGGTTAACAGTTCAGCTGTGGATAACTGTAAGTCTGCCTAACAAATCAAAGCTGACACAGAAGTGTTTGTTCAAAACAAACTGAAATGCCGTCTTAGAAATGCTACAACGTGACTACCACCCATTAGCAGACTTACAATGCCATTTCAAAACAGTAAAAGATCAGAAAATGGTGACCAATTATAGAACTAAATTACTTTAACTTACATGACACCATCATGTCAGTTTTGTTTCAAGTTACCACAATAGCCTTTTTCAGATGGCAGTTACACAAGGTCAACACACAAAAAGTCATCATGGAAACACCAATGCTGTTCCCCCTTTTGCAATTCATACAGACAAAAACAAAAGGGACTCTGCACCATATCATTAATGACAAGAGCGTCAACTTCCACTTAATACACCCTCGTCACTTTGGCTCATTGACCTGTTTCAGAGGCACTTGAAATATGGCCTCTATTGACCCTGAAAAACAGGCAAATAGAAGGTGTGTCTGTCATTGAGCATGCTGTGTGAAGAGGGATGTCTGCAAGTATGGGGAACACTAACAGGAGCCCCCCCCCCAAAGCATCCACACAAATAGAATTCACCTCAAATGACAAAAAAAAAATAACACAATAACTGCACAGCTGTCGTAAACATGAAAGCTGTCAGCAGGTATGTCAAATATTTGACGGTTGCAGACAAGGCTTCAGGATACGTCCTTCTTTCTCATGGGAACCTCTACACAAACAGGCCAGTGTCGATCTAGTCGTTTCTATGTGGTTCCAAGCTCCCACCAACCCTTTTCCTTGTCAAAGGCAGGAGACATTTCTCTCCTGCCTTTGTCTCTCTGTTTCAATGGGGCCACTTCCCTTCCCATTCCTCTTCTCTGCCCCCCACGCCCCCCAAAAAGCTCTGAAGCACTACTAGTGCACTTTTTTTCCCCTAGAAAACCCCCCAATATTTTAAAATTTAGGTTGTTTTTCTCGTTTTATAATCTCATAACGGAAAATCTAGAGCAGTGAACAATTCTCTCCCCACACTGCGATAATCTCCCTCCCTAACAAGCCTGCTGCTCAGAGTTTCTCTCTGGGGCAGGAATATTGGGCCTGGTCAATGATTACAACCAGTCTGGTTTTAATTCTTAATGTTAAGCTGCAGTTAATGGAACTACACAATTCCTGCTGATGTCTCACAGCGAAAGTCTTTCAGGGAACAGAGGGGATTAAATCCTTGGAGCCACTGAAGGGCCAAAAACAGATGGAAATGTTGAGTTTGCATTAACTGTAGTAAAGCAGCACCAGCTAATAAAACTCGGGAAATGGGAAAAGGTGAACAAAGGCAATACATCCAAGCACAATTTTCATCTGATATGTGCAGCTATTCGTTCATGGTCAAATGATATTCAACCTGAAATTGGCTGAATCGTTTACTGAAAAATGCTGAGCACAGAGTTGCATTAAAACTCAAGCTTTGTATCTCAAAATAAAGAGCATGAGCAATGCTGCCTGCATTTCTAACAAGACCCTAGCTCTATGATTTTAGGAGCTTGCAGTAATGCTGCCTTGCTGTTATTTTCTTCCGTCAAGGTCACAGCTGCCGTTTCCTCCCTGGCATGAGACTCGCCCTCCGACTACCGAGGCACACAGGGACCGCCATGAAGCAAAGATGATTATGAGACTTGCAAGATTAATGTCCAACTTCCCGCTTTGATGAAGAAGCACCCCCCCCCCCCTCCCTCCTACCCAACGCAGCACAGCGAGGAGAGTGGCAGTCAAACAGGCTGACACCTCAGCAGCAGACTCTCAGTCCAGCTGGAATCTCAACTATGTCTGCAGTAAGCAGCCCAGAGAAAGCCAACAAAGGCTCCAGGCTTACTGCTGAAGATAAAACAGAAGAGACAAAGGAGAGAGCGGGCCGGATGACACATGGACAGAAAAGGGAGATCAGCAATGATGAAGACCATCAGTAAGATGGGAGAAAGTCGGGGGATCAGTGTCAACACAAGAGCAGTTGGTGCTACTTAGTTGGTGTTTTATGTGAATATTCACAGGAAATTAATTGTTCAAGTGTGCTCACATCCTTAAAAGATTAAAACCCTATATTTCTATTTTCCTATTTATTATATTCCTTTTTTTTTTTTTACAAAAAACAAAGAAAGCCTTTTTCTGACCATCCAAGGTTGAAAAGTGTATGTACAAAGCACATCAGTTAGGTTCTGACTCACAACATGATGGCCATTGGAGTAAAGACTGCGACAGCCTACACACTCAATTTCCTGAAGTGTGGCCCTGAGAGAAAATAAACAAACAGATTTCGGACTCTAAATCAGATCTGTAATCACTGCCTCGTTGGTTTGCCTCGTCTGCACGGAGCCACCAGTAAAAAGCATGCAGATGTAAAAGCTGACAGGTGGTTATATTCTCTTTACTCATGCGCTGCTGCTCCATGCGAGCACAGATTTACAGATGCATCTGGGATATTCAGGCCAATTAACAGATTAACCTGAAGAACATGTGTCGCTGCATTCTCTGCATAATTCACAATGAGCCAATGTGCTCCACACTTTTCCAAACAAGTTAGGACGCCATCCACATTATGGCCGAGTTCAAGTTGGGTTACGCAACCAGTGCAAGCAGATTTTTTTTAAACGATAAACCTATTCATTTTCAGATAAATCATTCCAGGAAATTTGACAGGCGCTTAACTCCACTCCATAAACACGTCAATTTCTTCACTTTTCTTTCCCCACTGATTTATAAAACTCCTTCCCAGCACTCTGAAGAGGATTGGCTGACCAGTTGATCAAGAGGGCCAGTGGGCCAGCACGTGGCTACACAATTGACAGGAAAACAGAGATTTCAAATGGACAGTTGTCACAAGAAAATACATCTAATTGGCGCCTTCTTGCTGAGCGGGAAAGCTAATTGGTTTGACAACGCTGTGGAGGCAAGCTAATTGGCTGGATAATGTCAGTCACACTAGGGCAGGGGGAGGGGACACGGTGCCATCTGGATTTGATGGACCGTTGGATAATCCCGGGTCTCTCCTCTCTTTTTCTTCTCCCCCACGTTGTCCCGATGACAACTGCTGCCAGCCGATCTGCCATGTCTCCTGCTCAGTGACAATCACACAGCAACCCCAAAGCTTAAACCGCAACAGCTGACACCTCCAGGTAAAATATCCCAAAGTTTCCAAATCAGTGAGAGGACACAGATCATTGTGATATTTGAATTGGGGAATATGCACAGTGTTCAGCTTTGTGGAAACATTGTAGCAGATTTAATCTACTGAAATCGAACCACTTCTGGATCATTTGCCATAAAAGTTATGGCAGCTCGCTTTCACTCAAATACATTCTGAGCTCCGAAAGCAGAGAGCCTGAGTTGGTCTGTGATTATTTCCCACAGTTCTTCAAGCATGTTGGGTAATTCACCTGTGGCCTCTAAGCTACTTTTAATGAAAGGGGAGAGAAGGAGGTGTTGCTAAACGCCACCGTCTCATTTCCACTTTTGTTTTAAAACTTTACATACCTTGGACAATTGAAAAAGAAAAAGCATATATCTTTCATCATGGCATCATCAAAAAAGTCTCTGCAGCAGCTGCATAGTTTATAATCATGAGCTTCTGACATCGCTGTTAACCGAGCCTGCAGGAGTCCAGACGCAGCACTCGTAAAGCCAGCCGAGCAGACAAAGAGCAGCTTCAACCACATAAGATCTGACCAGTACAGTAGGCCTTCTGTGTGGGAGGGTGGCAGGGCAAGATGACTACCAACAGCTGCCTAAGTCCCAAAAGTAAATGTACAGGGGAAAGAAAAAAAAAACACACAAATACACACACTCCCACGCAGACACAGGAGCCCTGCAGGAAAGCACAGGCTGCTGGATGTGGCTGGCAATCCCCAACATCCTGTCAGGCAATCAATGAGCCAGTCACAGTTCATTTTAGCTCAGCGCCGGCCGTGTTCTCCAGGAGAGCTAAAGCAGCCGAAGAAATGCACTCCTCCACCTCGTTTCATTTCCAGGTAGAAATCTCCCAGAGCACTGAGGTCTCTGTCTTAGAATGCAGAGCTAAGGAACAGCCATGCAGCCTAGCAAACCCAGACATTAATATGTCCCTTATCATGTCACTGGTTTTTATTCATTACTTTTTGTCAATCATTTTCTGCTTCATGCTTCCCTCCAACCCTTCCCCCTATATCCTTCCAGCTGCTTTCCCACTATTCTACGTCCCAGAGGGGGAAATGGCTCTCAAAATACCACCGACTTTTAAACTGTTTTGAAAAGGCCATGTGTGGATGAGGAAAGATGGCCCAAAACAGCTTCCCTAAACCTATTTCTATGACCAAACCAACGATTGAAAACAAGTAGCCTGGAGGAGGACAAGGACGTAAACAAGTGGGAGAGTGGGACGGAAGAGATTGTTAAAACTGGAGGATAGGCAGCTTAGCAGCAGGAGGGAGTGGGCAGGAGAGGAAGGACGACACCTTTAAAGTCAGTGGGTTTAATAAGAGTGAAATGGCGAGTGCGGAGACGTGATAAAATAGTTTCCATTTGTTAATAAGGTAATATCTGCAAAGAGGAAAAGACAGTAAAGTGAGGTTTGTTCTCCTATTCGGTACATTTCTGCAGATCTGCAATTTGGATGCAAGGCAATGATGGGAGCAGGCACGCGCAGTGCCAAAGATAATCTCCTCAAAAGGGGCAATCCACTCCCAAAGGGAGTAGGCACGGCTGAACCCTCCTAAGACAGGCAAGCAGGGTAAAAGCTGACAGTGTAGAGAGCAGTATTAGTGGAAAATATGAAAAACTGTCTTGCTAGCAGGAAGTAGCAGAGTGGAGCCAGACAAAGGAATGGAAATCTGTCTCGTGCCATGCCATATATATTACTCAGTCAATGGAAACAGACATATGACATGAAACGCCTCTTCATCCTCCCTCAACTCAAATTTCTCCCCATGAAAAGCTTCGACAAAGCACCTTCTTCCCTTTTTTGGATAAAAACAAAGCAATAAAAAGTGCTTCTGTGTGTGATTGAACCACTGGAGTTTGATCCACATCGAGATTTTGTGCTGCAGTCAGTGTTTGTCAGCTTAAGGCTACAGTGTCTGGATTAATCTACAGCACAGCAGGATGCAGCTCTCCGAATCGGGGATGTAGCTTTCCGAATCAGGGTGTCTTCCAGACGGCTGCAGATGACAGTAGAGTCTGTATGTGAAAATCAAACTCGGAGAGCCGGATTTCTGCATCGTGGATGTGTGCAGACAATCTGCACAGCTCAGAAGGGTCCTAATAATAAGAGGGACTGCAAAGACTTGTAACCGTGATGGTTGCCCCCAATACAAGGTCCCTTTGTGAGTAGCCTACATTCACTTCAGCAGACAATTTGAAGAGCTAGACAGAGGTTTTGGTTGTTTAATTTGCTAATGTAGAAACGGCCAGCCTCAATGCCTTAGGATGCATGCCATTCCCCCCCTTTTTCCTCAATGCATATAGTGCCATGCAACAGTAAACACGACTGCTACATCTTGCACAAATTATCTGATGTTAATATCTGCATGCCCTCATTTGCAAAAAAAAATAAATGGAGGAGGGAGGGGGGGGGGTGCAATGCAGGGGACAAATGTAAATGTTATTCCCAAAATGTGTCGTACTACTCACATCTCCAGCATGATCTCGTTCAGGTAAATCCCATCCACTAATTCAACATATTCGGATAATTTGGAGCCATCGGTCACCGTGGGCTGCCCGACTGTCTTCACCTGATAATGAATGGGACAGAGCAAATACGTGTTAACATGATCAATAGGCATCTGAAACACCCATAAGTGAGTCATTAGTGAGCTTAAGTCCCATTTGAATTTTTAATAAGGTGCCTTACCCAGCAGACCAAAGGCGTGAGCATAAACTGCTCCAGCAAAGGGGTGAAAACCTCGTTTTCCATATTGTCCTGGCGCCCTGGTGCAGTTTTTCTTAAGCCGATATGTGAGAAAATCCTTAGGTGAAATGTGGGGTTTGCTTAGCCTCCACTCATGTAGTTAATTTAATTAAAGCCATGCTCATTTGGGCTAAAAGGCCACTGGAATGAGACGGGGGTTTTCTTGAGGGGAAAAAAAAAACGTTAATCCACAATCTTCTCGACGCGACCCAGCTGTTTCAGATGCCAATGACTGGGCTTGGCAACCTCCTGGGAAAGAAAGGGAGTCACATTTTTTGGGTGAAGATCATTAACTGGTTATATTCTGATATTTGGGGTCAGCCGGCTCAGCTATCGAAAAAAAGGGCTATCAAAAAGGCAGACCTGTGCAGGTATGAAGGACCGTTAGAGGCTGAAAATGTCAGCAGTGACTGGAAAATATTCCTCCACCACAATTAGGTTCAAGAAAATATCCACCAGTGAATTGCAAAAAAAGGACGTAAAAATCCACAGCTTTAAGGTCCTGCTTCAAACAAATGTAGGTTCCTCCTCATATCTATTACAAAGTCGCATCCGGGCGCTGAGTGTCGCGTGTGCCTCCGTCCACGCGCCGCACTCTGCCGGGCTCGCGCGTTGAGAGGATGAGTGGAGGACACGTAGTACCGCCTCCCTCCCTGCGCATCTCCCTCCGCCTCCCCTCCTCAAGAAAAAGTAGGGCATCGATCAAAGCATCCTTCCCAGCACGGATTTCCTCTGAGTCATAGTCAGGGATGTTTCTTAGTCAACGTTTAGTCGTAAGGCACAGTTTCAATCGGGGGTTATGCGAGGAGAAGTGCAGATGAGGAAAAACACGCTTTTGATAAAATTGTCTGCTTACAGCTCTAGTGCTGTGATATATTTCCATTTTTTTGGCATGAGTAATACTTATTCTGGTTTATTAGGCTGACTATCAGGCATATTTACTAACGATCCATGCATGCCCTTTGTCTTTATTCCCTGTCTGCAGTGCATTAGACAGCAAGGGATGCATGCTGCTGACACCTGGTGGGTAGTGTAAGGAGATAAGTGAAAATCTCCAGCAACTTACGTTTCAAAGTTAGACACCAAATAATTATCAGATAACTCAAATGTTCCTGCCGACTTTCTGAATGGCTAACTGGAAATTGATCAGCAATTTCCAATCCTTTTCATGATGACCTAATCTCTCACTTATTGTTTATTTGATCCATAAGCACAAATTAACCATCCTTTTCTATCTTATGCGTATGTACAATGGAGCATTTCTAAATGGAAAACATATCCAATAAAGTAAGACTTCCAGAGTCAGGAAAACCTTACATCAATCAACAAAGTAGCTGATGGCAAGGCAGAAATGGCCTTAGCAATTCTTAGATGTCCATCAATCTGTTAGATGTTATGTGACCATGTCTATCTCTAAGTCTAATTCTACATTTTAAGGTTATTTGTATTTGGAAAGCATCCAGGTAGATGTTACAGGCCTCATTATCATGGTAAATGTTAAAGTTCATGATAGTACACTTAGAAAAATAGTCTAAGTGTGGCTAGTTTAGAAGGGTTGCAGATGAGTAAACCCAATTTTCTCTCAAAGCCGCATGGCAGCACAACTTGGGTTTGCAAAGCTGCCTCTGAACAATTCACGAGACCTCTAGAAAAATGTCCTTGTGACAGACAAGACCCAATTGGAGGAGAAAAAATATGGCGAATCGGCACAAATGCCAAACAGCTGTTTCCCCTAGCTGTGGAGGGATAGTAATCTGGACTTCTTTTGTTGATGTTTATCTAAAACTGCATTTGCCTCACTTTATTACAAATGAGACCCATTTTGTATTTAAATACCTCCCCTAAACATGTAACATGTTTTTGGTTTTATTCATGTTTTACAGTTCTATTTATATTTTTTGGACTAATTACCAAAACAATTACCCCAAAAAATCATTAGAAAAAAAAGTTAATGTGTGGAAGAAGCCAACCTTAAAATCAATCATCAAAATATCTAATTGGCTGACTCTGAAGGTGTGAAAAGAACAGAAATCATGAGAGTAAACAGCTAATTTAAAAAATAACAATAACTGATTTGGGAACCGGGGACCTGACACCTTGGATGAGCTCAGTTTCTAATGAATGGATAATTGTAGGATCAGCTAAAACTTTCAATTGTTTTATAGTAGCATTTTTGTAAAAGCAGAGGATTTTCAGCCCTCTTTGGCAGTAGCTGGTGTTTTGCTTGAGGCTCAGCTGTATGTGAAATCGTTGAACAGACTTGTTTCGGCTTGTTTCCTGCTAAACGCGTTTGACTCTGAGCATGTTAGCCAAGTGAAAGCAGCTTGTTAAGAATGCTGGAAGTGCAGCCAAATTCTAACTGTTTAGAACAGACCTTTACTTAGCAGGAGCAGATGAGAGTAGAAAGAAGAGAGCATAAATCAATTGGAAGATCCTATTTCTCTATGAAATTATTGATACATTTTTTTCAAATAATAAGTCTCTATTAAGAGATGTAGCAATGTGACATCTTAATTGAGTAAACGGATGAGCATCCATTGAAACAAATAATGGAGGGTCCTTAAACCTTGGGTGCCAATCAGCCCACACAGTTTATGTTCTTTAGGTTCAAGATTAGATAAGAAATTCCTTTATTCAGCCCACGAAGGGAAAATGGTCAGATTTCATTTTCTGTAATGATATAAGGAATACAAGTGATAATGAGTTTCAGTCTTAGTGCATTCACATCGAAACTTGAGCTCATTCACAGGAGAAACACTCAGTAAAAGTGTCTTGTGTAGTTAAAGGTATAAAAAATTATTTACTGGACAGGTTTGGGTTAGTCCTTCTACTTCTGGAGATAATGTGGGAGTGTTCAGAATGCCAAATCAAAAACAAAATCCACCTCAATAGTAGATGGAACATTTGGAGCTGACAAATCAGCATACTGATGTATTCTGGGAAAAAAAACAATGGACATGTGATATCGGAAACATAAAAAGGCGCCCACAACAGACTGTGCTGGTGGGTGATTGCAGGATTTTTCCATGAAACAAAAATAATCTTCACAGTATCCAGCCAACCAATATATGGTCATATTTTGGCATTTATGGCTTCCAGTTGTGACTAGAGTTTATTAATACACACAAAATATTGAATTGAAAGGAAATGAATGATTCAGCTATGTGCACCAAAGTTGTTTGAACAACATTTAACTGTATCAACACACAAAGACTCAATACAAGCAGCAAAAGTGCCTCTCAAGCTTTTGAGGGTAATAATATTTGCAATGTTCAGTGAGGCAGAGATCCAAAAATAAATCTTCCTATGATCAAACTGTATCTCATGAGATCATAACAAATCCGATAACAAAAGTTATGCACTAAAACCAAAGAGCAGCTGGTCCTGAGAAAGCGCCATGGAAGAAAGACCCATCCATTTGTCCATTTGCTGTGCTGCTTATTCCTGGTAGGGTCATGGAGGGACTGGAGCCTATCACAGCTGTCATGTGGCACAAGGCGGGGAACACCCTGGACAGGTCGCCAGTTCATCACAGGGCCACACACACAGGAACAACCACACACACAGTCTCCAGTTAACAAAAAAAAATTGGTTTGTCATTTATTCACTTTCTATGAACATCAAGAAAGAATATTTCTGAAAGCCTTTATTCCAGTTTTCATGTAAACCCTCTTTATGTCCTTAGTGATATAATAGAACTTTTCTTTTTTCTGAGGCAACCTACTCACATTTCCACTGGCTCCATCACCTCAGCAGACAATTAAACACTGACGTAGATAATGAGAACCTTTCACGGCGAGCGCGCTTATCCACGCAGCAACCCGAGCACATCATTTTCTACGGAGGCGTATTTGGATCTTTTGTGAAGCTCAGTGTGTTTGTGATTCATTTGCATCAGTGTGAGGTCCATTTGTCTTGGACGAAGCTGGGAGTTACAAAGTGTTTTCAGTAAAATCTTTTATATTCTTAAGGGGTTTTGTCATAAAGCAGGGTCGACTTCATGACTCAGAGTGTGTGGACCCACCACAGCATTCCTAACTCAAACTCAGATGAAACTTCAGCAAATCTACAGCCTGCAGTGCACACATGGAAACATATTTTCCCCTGGAAAGTGTTAATTTAGGCAATAATACTAATTATGAAGGAGTGCAGCTCTCCGAAACCAGCTCTGAGAAACCAGATGACCTGCAGCTCCTCTTACAGATAAAATGTTCTGCAGTTTCCTGTGTGTTATTTTATAGTACTCTGCAAACCACAAGTATTTTGATTTGGTGCTCTTCCTGCAGCTCATGCTGACTAATACTAAAGTATAGACACATTTATTCTGTAAAGGTTTTCCCATCTAAGGAAATATCTAAGATACTGAGGGATGGACGTCATGGAGAAAAAGAGTACACTTCTAAATATAAGTGTCTGTTCAAGTTCAATTTAATAATGTTAAATGAAAATGTGTGTATCATTTGAATAATGAATTCTGAAAAGAACATTCAAATCAATGCGTAAACCTTTTTGTTATGTGTTTTTCCCTTCAGTTTGTTTAATCCATCCTTTAAATGTTCCCAGTTAGGATCAGCTTGATTTCTATTGTTAAATCATTCTGCATTTGAATTGTCTGATCTTCTGCATGAACTTGATTTGACTCTGGGTTTTGCACTCATTTCACATATAAAACATTGTGAAATGTGGAAGAAAAGGCAGTTTCTCAGCAGAGACTGCGACTCTCACTCTGACTAACCACACTGTCTCCTTCCTTTTGAGCCCTTCCATCTCCCAGATGTCCAATACAGATGACCCCTGGGACTCACTGAATGCCAAGTTATTCAAGATCACAGGGCAATAAAGTCTAATCGTGACAACTCATTGACTTCGGAAAATATTGTATGAAATAATTATACATACCCTAATTCAGAGATATAATATATGTATTTTTCATCATTTCAATTAAATGACCAAAGTGTGGTTGTTCTTTAATGGACAAATCAACTGGACACTGATTTAATTCCTTTTCGTTTTGTATTTCTATATCAGGAATCACTCTCATCACTCACCTTTGAATTTTCTGGTGAATAAATGAATGACTGAGACTATTAAAACGTCTCCATCCTCAGTATGAAGAAGCTAAATCTTATTTAGATTTACCTTGTAGCTGTTCATTATAAGCGTTTAGTACGTATGAAGTATCTTAAGAGTTCTACTTTAAAGGAAGAATCAAACCCATCTCTACCCTTTATATGAGAGCCAGGCGCCTTGCAGTTCCGTTGCACTGTGTCCTGTGAGTGAAGTGTTATTATGTGGAAGTTTGCCATGTGACATAATGCCACCGTCATGCTTGTGACAAAGAAAATTTCGTCTCACCAGTTCAGGCTGCCAAGAGTTGTCTTTAGAGTGGTTCCACTCAGCTCACGATGTGAGTCACAGCCGTCACAAGCTTTTAATTGATGGAAAGATGGATTTTTTTCTAACCACAGGAAGCAATGAAAGCAAGCTATTTCTACATTGCTGGTGATTAAACCCAGTGAACCTCAGAGGCATGCTTTTGAGTAATGAATCTAAATGAGTCACAATAAATTTGTCTTACAGTTCTCCACATGTGAGCGCTGCATTCTGTGAAGACGTCACTAAATGTCTGGGCTCAGAGATAATCTTCTTATAAAAACCTCAGTTCTCACCCCTGCTGAAAACCCAGCGGTTTCTGCATGCGCGTGTTTGTGTTCATGTGTGTGCAACAAAGATCAAAGCTGAGCTCACATAGACTCTTCAGTTGTCACCTCCCAAAGCATCGCAGCATGAAAATACAACAATCACTTGAAGCTTTGGAGCCTTGTAGAGATCAGGCCACACACACACTCACACACACTTATTCTGTTAGAGATTCACAAACATATCATCAACAACAACCAGTTTTTCCTAGTTGTGTTTACGTCCTCTGCAATTACAGATGCTATAAATCTAGGAGAACAGAGCTCTAGATCATGGTTTATAAACGCATAATCTTTGACAGATTTCTATCCTATGTGCTATTCAAATAACATTTTTATTCAATCTATGTTCATTGTTATTCAAATCAAAGCAGTACTGGATCCTCCACAGGGCTGTTTATGGGGCTTTTAGTCCTCCACTAAACACTGGCTGGCCCATTACACACTAATATTCCACAGCTCTGCTTGGCATTAATGAGAACCCAGTGTTTCCCCGAGCCATGGAAACAAGATAATGCTGCTGGAGGTCTGGGTAATAATGGGAATGTACGCTTGTGTATTTCATTGTGCGTGTGTTTGTGTCAGACCCTGCCATTCTCCCCTGCAATTAGCTGTTGTGTGTTTATGCCTGAAAGTAATCCAGAGAGCTTTTGAGATGCGGCTAACTCTCATCTGTTGCCATAACAACTGTAGATACAGTCCACTGTTACCTAACTTCTACAGTGGCTGTATGACCCATGTAAAAGCAAGCTCACATAAATACTGATACAGAGACAGTTGAATTAATTGTGAATTTTGTTAAGTGATCCCTAAAGGTACTGATTGACACAATGCAAGGATCCCACAGCATATTGTTCTTCATGTGCTGTAAGACTTAAGAAGCTAATGTTTTTACCAGGTGTGTTAGTATCTTAGGCTGTGGTTTACTAAGATCACTTCTAAATCACATCTAATTATACAAATTGATAAGTAAACCTTGGTACCGTGGTGAAATACTACTGTTGGTGGCAATATGCTTAATCCAGACACCTAGTGGTGACAGTGTCAAACAGCACATTTCAGTCTGCAACAAAAACAGCTTGCTCACATTTGTACCACCATGTTCCACCATTCTTTTTTCTTTTTATCAAGCCAGTGTTGATTATATAAATATTTGTAGATTACATTTGATGTCTTAATTTTGTATTTGTCTGATGCCCAGAACAGAATTGAGTGAGGTTATTATTATATCAGGAATAATTATAGAAAAATTAAACTGTGATAAGGTAATGTCCATGACAAGACATCCGGTATCGTTCAAAATTGTTCCTTATTTATTTCCAAAATATATCTTAAAGATAAAAAGTGGAACCTTTTGTGTAGGATGGCGGAACATTTTTTATGTTACACATAATTTGCAATCCGCCCAATCAGAGGAGGCTTGCTTACGTACTTCCGTACATGTGATGAACTGTCATGGAGGTCTACATGCGCATATGTAAACCGTAACGGTGGGGACAGGTCCGCACTGTACAATTCTTCGGGTTTCGTGTCGTTGCTCTGTAAATATGAGGTATTTGCTCCGACTGAGCCGCTCTTTTGCTCGTCTCCATGTCCGTCTGTGTCACGAGAGTGTTTACAGAAGACATGCAAACCAACGAAGTGTGGGAGTGGACCTTGGAGAGAAGTGAGTGACTTTCCCAGCTTCCATTATCTTTCGTTTTGAATTATGTGGGGTTGACAGGGTTTTTATTATTGTTGTGGTATGTGCCTTTGTGAGCACATAATCAGTTCCTGCTCGTATTGTTGTTTTGATTCTCAGATGTATTTCTGTTTTTGAAGGAAACTTGAAATCTCCTCAGGGAAGTTTGCCAGATTTGCTGATGGATCTGCTGTCGTACAGGTCGAAAAATGTTAAATATTTCCGAATTATCGGCCCATTTTCTGTCTTAGTGTTGTAGTTTTTCTTGTCTTTCCATGTTTATATTGTTTCATTTTATATAAACATTAATGACAGTTAATGATAGTTTTCCCCATTTCTTTCACTGAGATTTTTTCTCAACAACTTAAAGGATATCACATATGCTTTTGCATGCTTTTAGCTCTCTTGTCTCTGAGACCAGATTAATATTATGTTATTATACAGTAACTATAGTAAGTTTTGTTTTCTCCTTTTTCTATTGAACTCTCTTGTTTTGGGAAAATTAAATCCTGATTAATTTTGCTTGAAAATGACTGCAATAGTGTACTGTATCCTTCAATTCCATTTTTTCCTCTGCTCACAGCTGGGAGATACCTCTGTGATGGTGACCGCTGTGAGCAAAACCAAACCCTCACCGTCTCAGTTCATGCCACTCGTGGTATGTTGTCCAGCAGCACTAAAATTCGCAGTTTAAAAGAGCTCAGATGGAGACAATGCATGTTTTATCCAATGAGTTAATGCTCACTTTGACTGACAGGTGGACTACAAACAGAAAGCAGCGGCAGCGGGTCGCATCCCCACCAACTATCTGAGGCGAGAGCTGGGAACCACAGACAATGAGATCCTCACCAGCAGACTCATTGGTGAGCCGATAGCTGAGGTATTTGTTTTTGTCTTTGTGCTGTAATAAGTATTTTTTAAAAACTCACTCTTCCTTCTTTCAGATCGATCTATTAGACCACTTTTCCCTCCTGGCTATTTTTATGACACTCAGGTGAGTTAAACGTAGCTTTTTTTAACTCATTGACTGCCAGTCATTTTCAGAACAGAGAGTCGCTCACTGCCAGAGTTTTTTGAGAATTTTGACTGATTTTTCAAGAGCCACAAAATAGTTTGTGCTATGACTATGTAAACACCGAACACACCAAAAGAAAGAGTAGACTCTCTTCTTTCATCAGAAAAAAAGATTTTGTTTCTACCTCATTCCGTTCTTCTTCGACGTGCGTCTCACTGGCGCCATTTCTCTCATAGCGAACTATTGCGTTTGTTTTTATTTGCTTACAATCTATGCTAATCTCCCATCAAAAGTGGCACAGCTACCTAGAGGGTAAATTTGTTAGTCCATACTCTGTCTAGAAGCCGATATTTACGGGAAAACTTTCGCCGATCGTCCCCCAAGCCACTCGCATTGAAAAACATAAAAGACGTCTATAGACGTCTTTGGCAGTCAGCGGTTGGATTTGAAAAGACGTCTATAGACGTCTTTGGCAGCGAATGAGTTAATATGTGAATAGTGTTGCATTTGTTTGCTGTTTAAACTAAAAACAGGATGACATTCGTGTGCATCTTTCTCCTGAAGATCCTTTGTAACCTGCTTGCAGTTGATGGTGTCAATGATCCAGATGTGCTGGCTATTAATGCAGGTGTGGTGACATCTCAGACCCGCATATTTTCCACAGAACTCATTATTTTTCTCTCTGAATACTTGGCTGATGGACTTTTATATTTTGTTAAAGCCTCTGCTGCCCTGGCCCTGTCCGACATTCCCTGGAATGGACCCATTGGTGAGAAACACACAACCGATGTTGTTATGTTTTTATTGTTATGTTTTTATTTATTCTCTTGAAGTTTAATTTTGTAGATTGTTGTCGAGCTGTTTTATATCCAACACAGGACTACTTCTGTATCTACAGGTGCTGTGCGAGTGGGCATGGTTAATGGGGAGCTACTGGTCAACCCCACAAGGACAGAGATGACCTCTAGCAGTTTGAACCTGATCGTGGCCGGAGCTCCCAGCAGCCAAGTGGGTGAGTTGGCAGAAAGCGTCACACTCCCAGTAGTGGCTGTATCTTTCTTTTTTAAATAAACATGTGTTGTTTGCAAGCGTTTTATGAGGTGACAGCAACGTCAGACAACCATATCACAACAATTCATGAGATCGAATGTGTTTTTATGACATTTTTTATTCACCATAAAACAGAAAGCGTCTGCAGTTTGTGGTGTCCAAAGTTTCTAATCGGCCTCTGTGCCTCATTCATGTCATGTGACCCTGTGTCTGCCAGTGATGATCGAGGCCTCGGCGGAGAACATACTGCAGCAGGATTTCTGCCATGCGGTGAAGGTGGGAGTGAAACACACCCAGCAAATCATCCTGGCCATCCAGCAGCTGGCGCGGGAGCAGAAGATTACCAAGCGGACGCCGGGCAGGATATTCTCCGCCCCGGCTAACATGGTGCAACATGTTCGGAAGTAAGATCAGCGATGGAGCTGCAAGTGTGGAGCGGCTTTGGTTATTTCTCGAAGCTTTGGGGGATTTGAAATGATTGTGCTTGACAGTGGTGACTAAGTGACTGGGAGAGGTACTTAGTTTATTCAATTTTCTGAGTATGTCAGTGAGAACCTGTTTTTCTTTGCTTCAGATTTGCCTCTGAGAGGATTTATGCTGTTTTCACAGATTTCACCCATGATAAGGTACAGCCTGACTTCTTTCCACGTATTGTTTTTGTTTTTCTTAAAACTCAGATTGCTTCCACATATTTGTGAATATCTTTGCTCCAGAGGCTACACTTAACCTCTGCTTAAAATAAACAGAAATTACTCTGTCATAATCTCTTTTTTTAGATTTCAAGAGATGAATCAATTAACAAAATCCGACTTGAAACTGAGGAGGACCTAAAAGGTGAGCGATGTCCATCATTTGATTTGCATGGCCACCTTTTTTCCTGTGTCTTTTACTGCATTATTTTCTGAATTAGTCTATCTGAAAGTGTTAATTGACGGCTTTGTGTGCAGAGAAATTCCCTCAGGCTGAACCCTTTGAAGTAATCGAGTCCTTTAACACTGTGAGCAAAGAAGTCTTCCGTAATTTAGTGCTCAATGAGTACAGGAGGTAAGCCCAGTTTGGACTGAATGACACGATATTCACAGATTGGGGAATGCGATAAATGATACTCTCTCATGTGTGACAAAGGTGTGATGGAAGGGAGCTGACTGCTTTAAGGAACATATCCTGCGGCGTCGACCTCTTTAGGCCGCTCCATGGCTCAGCCCTGTTCCAGAGAGGACAAACACAGGTGTGTGTGGAAAGAGCATAAAGAGGAATGACAGGCATTTTATAAGCTTTTAGCAAAAAGAATCCCACTGCCATCAGTTTTCACCGACAGATGAAGGCAGAAGTGTTTTAAAAAGATAAAGCATCACAGTTTTATAGGGGGGTATTTTTCTTTTTGTGGAAAAAATGGTGATGCAGTAAAAAAACAAAAGTACAGTATATTTCTGTATGTGTTTGTCTGCTGAAAGCCTAACCATTGGTGTTCCCTGCTCTTGTAGGTTCTGTGCAGTGTCACCTTTGATTCTCTGGAGTCCAGCGTCAAAACAGACATCATCACCACAGCTTTGAGGTAATGCGATCACCAAGTCAATGTAGATGTTTTCAATTTATTTTAATGGACGAGAAAATGAATATTTATTATGATACAAACACTGAATAGTAGACATTACAAAAAAAATCAAACACTTTATTTTTTTAAGTGCGTAAAAGACTTTTTTTTTAAAAAAGACTCACATTTTGAATACAAGCAAAAAAGAAAAGTTATGAGAAATGCTGCAAAATTTATTTTAGAAAGCACTTCATATGGCTTTCCGACACCAGGGTGATGTAATTTTATTACTAATGAACCCATAAGGGAGCTCAACTTTGGCCTTCTGTATTTTCTCTGCAGTGGCATCAAAGACAAAAACTTCATGCTTCATTATGAAGTGAGTAAAATGGTGCCTTGGTTCCAAAATTTGATGAAGATTGTTAGAGAAGTAATACATACTCACAATCTTTGCCAACATTACATTTCATTTTAGTTCCCTCCATATGCAACCAATGAGACTGGAAAGATCGGAGGCCTCAACAGGAGAGAGTTGGGACACGGTTTGTTTACACGTTACATCCTCTTTCTGTCTGCTGCTGTAGCCGTGCATTGTTTTGAGTCTTAAGTGGATTGTTTCTGTGTTTGCAGGGGCTCTGGCTGAGAAGTCTCTGAGGCCAGTTGTTCCAAAAGACTTCCCTTTTACAATCAGGGTAACAGCTGAGGTGCTGGAGTCAAACGGTGGGTTTGTACGGTTGGAAAAGAGAAGCCGGACATTTCTGTATTAGCTGATGAGGTTTCGTGTGGCTGCTTGGCCTGACTTTTCTTTGTCTCCTCTCAGGATCCTCCTCCATGGCTTCAGCCTGTGCAGGAAGCCTTGCTCTTATGGATGCAGGTACCACAGTGGGGATGCTCTAAAGTGCACATCCCCCTTCAATTTTCAGGCAAAACAGTCATTTCCATAAAACGGAAATGAATTATTGCATTCATTTTGCAATAATGCAAGTGCATTCCATGAGGTTTCATAAAAGTTGGTTTTACTTTAGATTTCTCACTCATGATGGTAACGTGTAGAAAAATGTGTTGCCAGGTGTGCCGATCTCCTCAGCCGTGGCAGGTGTCGCTGTCGGCCTCATCTCAAAGGCTAACCCAGAGAAACCTGCTGACATAGAAGACTACAGATTACTAACAGATATTCTGGTACACAATTTTTTACTAGGAAACATAAATGTAAATCATATTAGAGATACTGATCATGGGCCAAAAATGTCTTTGTAAAAGGGAATAGAGGATTATCTCGGAGACATGGACTTCAAGCTGGCAGGAACAAACAAAGGCATCACTGCTTTGCAGGTACTGTGATGGCTATAACTGAGCATCTTTCTGCCACTGTCTTCAGCTAATCTCATCTGGAAGAGTAAATGCACACACCTTTTACACACTTCTATCATCTCACTTCCAGGCTGATGTTAAGATCCCAGGTTTACCTCTGAAAGTGGTTATGGAGGCTATCCAGCAAGCCACAGGTAGTGTTATCTCACAGCTGCGATGATCTATGCATTTAGCACCTCTGGGGCGGTTTGATTGCTTTACTTTGAATGTTTTCGTGTTTCAGTGGCAAAGAAGGAAATCTTGGGCATCATGAACAAATGCATAGCAAAACCCAGAGAGGGCAGGAAAGAAAACGGGCCTGTTGTTGGTAGGTTTTTTGCATGAATATACACGAACGTGTGTTTGGAACCTATTGAACAAGTTGTTTGTTGAGGTGGGTTTAATCTTTCCATAGAAAACGTGCGGGTACCCGTGTCCAGAAGAGCTCGCTTTGTTGGGCCAGGAGGATATAACCTCCGTAAACTCCAAGCTCAGACAGGTAAGAGTAGATATCTCTTATTTAATGAGAAATTTGTGTCTTTGAGATATAAAGCTGAAAAACAGCATCAGAGGAACTTTTTCTGTTGCAGGTGTGACGATCAGTCAGGTGGACGAGGAGACCTTTTCTGTGTTCGCTCCGACTCCAGGAGCCATGAATGAGGCTCAACAGTTCATCAGCGAGGTCTGCAAAGATGATGTGAGTCTTCCCCACTTGTCGGAATTTGAGACCAGATACATATATTCAGGCTTTTTTTAAGAACATCCCATGAACATCTGGTTTCCTGTTAAATATGCATACAGGCTTTGTGTTAGTTCTTAGCTGGAGTTTAGCATTACTCGGAAGAACATCTGAACGGGCAAATATCCAAACAAAGTCAATACAACCCGACTGCCTAAAAGCAAAGAATAAAGAAATGATGAGCTGCTTGAGAGTTTGATTTTTTTTCTGTGCTGTTGCTAATTCATGTCTGCCTCCATTCTCTGTGTGATTCCTCAGTGTGAACAGTTTATGAACAACCATGTGTGTATTTCTCTACCTTGTTTCAGCAAGAACAGCAGCTGGAATTTGGTGCTATCTACACTGCCACCATCACAGAAATAAGGTCTGTTCAGTTATGACACTCTAATAAACATTTTTTGTGGTTTGTTGGCACATTTAATGAGTCTAGATTAAAATATGTTTTAGTATTAATTCGGCCACTATGGGCTTTTCTCCTCTGCTTTAGGGACATTGGTGTGATGGTGAAGCTTTATCCAAACATGAGCGCTGTCCTGCTACACAACTCACAGCTGGACCACAAACGGGTCAGCTACTTTTTCAATTGTCGCTTTTGCTGGAGTGCATATGTTTGATTAGGCAGCTCAGGAAAATAAATTGTCATTAAAGTAGATTTTCCTCTCTCAGATCAAGCATCCCAGTGCTTTGGGTTTAGAGGTGGGCCAGGAGATACAGGTATGTCAGTTAATACGAGTTTCTGTTATAAGCAGTCACCCGTGTTTCTATTCTGGGCCGCTTGTCTCTAACTTGTGCTTTTCCAACAGGTGAAGTACTTTGGACGAGATCCAACAGATGGCAGAATGAGGCTTTCGCGGAAAGTGCTGCAGTCACCTGCTGCAACAGTTGTAAAGACACTAAGTGACAAACAGAGCATTTCCATGGGTTCAAACGGCAGTCCCAAAACTGGCACTGATACCTCAGCAGCAGGATAACTTCTGACTTACATGCCAAAGTGGATTTGGGAAATCCATCGGAACTAGGAGTATAAAATGCATTCATATGCTAAAAGATTTTGTGAACAAAGGACACCGAGGATAAAGGCACAGCCAGATGAAGAAAGACGCTGACGTTGTGCATCAGAGTGTGCAGGAACTGAGAGTCCAACTATATTGATTATAAAAATAGCAACAAATTCAAGTTTGATTTTACATGTTGTGTTTTCTACCTGGTTAAACCATTCAACAGATCATCACAGCAAAACATTGCCCCTCTTATTCACACTTAACAATTGTCGTACTTCTGCTTTGGCAATTCCATATTGTAATGGACTGTTGCAGTGAGGCTGATATGTTATGATCAAGGTACGGACAAAGTAAATAGGGGGGTGCACACTGCATGTGTTACATGCTTGCCTTCTTTTTTGGTGGTATTTATAGTCTTTGTTAGTCATTTTTAAATAAAACAAAAAAATACGATCCATTCTGTTTGTTATTGCCATATTTTTTGTGGACATTTTTGTATAACCACTATTTAGTCAGTGCTCCACAGGTGCACTTACCCTGGAACATGCCTAGTTACTTGCACCACAGTGATAAAATATTCCTTTTGCAGAGCTTTATTCAGCCAATGTTCTCACAAATTATCACCTTGTGAAGTGACCAATCCACACACACATACTAATAGAAATTTGTATTAGAAATTAGGATTTTGTATCAGTAAAGCTGAAATATATTCAGTGTTGAAGCCTAAGATCCATGTACATGCCATATAAACGATTCACGGCCATTATGCGCCGTAACGAATCGTTTAGGTGCTTTTAAACACATCTGAGTTTCACGTTGATCATACTGCTATAACTTTTCTGTCCGCTAGGTGGCGCGTTGAACTTCTGACTCTGTGGTTCTGCCATTGGATGATACTGCCTGAAGGAGTAAACCCCGCCCACCCCGCGGCAGTAAGCGCTTGATTGACGTCGACGAAGAAAAAGAACACAAGATCGGATTACAAGATGGCGGTCTGTGGACGTTAGCAAGGAGGCCGTTACAGTTGTTGTGCTCTCTTTGAATTTTACTGTTTATCTCCAGGTGTTCTGTTAGTTGTTGAGGGTTGCAAACGGAATATGTTTATGAAGTAAAAACAAAAACATATCACTGCTACTATTAACTTCGCTTAGACGTGCATGGTTTGTAACATGCAGGTGGGAACAAAGTTAACAGGTCGAGGAAAACGCTAGACGGGGTGAGGTGATAGCTTGTTAGCAGCCAGCTAGCCTGGTAGCTCCGCTCTGGTAGCCATGTCGGACACTCGGCGGAGAGTGAAGGTATATACTCTGAATGAAGACCGGCAATGGGACGATCGGGGCACAGGACACGTTTCGTCTACATTTGTAGAACGATTGAAGGGAATTTCACTATTAGTACGGGCCGAATCGGACGGTAAGTTCCTTGTTAGCATAGCTGGCTCTGCGTAACGTTGGCTAACGATAGCATGCTAGCTCCTGTTTGTTCAGGCATAGAGCATAGTTGGTCACTATTCACTAATAAGTGTTCCTTTTGTAAATTTGAGCAAGTATTTGGAAGTAACGGTTAGCGACTGCTATTAGGTTAATCGTTAGCCTCAGAAGTCATTCTATATGAAAAGTGACCTGATCGTTGGGGCTTAGCATGCTCGTTTTTTTAACAGAAGACGTGATCACGGTAGCATGGGGGCCCCTTAAAGTCTCGTCACACACGTACAAAGTTGTTACTATTTGTTATAATCGACTTACAGCTGTGAGCTTACTTATAAATAAAATATAACACTGAACAATCTACTGTTGAAAAAGTTTTTTGTGTTACTCATGAATACTTGTTTTCAACTTAGCTTCCCAGGCTACAGTCTGAATACCCTTTTTCAAGTTTGATTTATACATGTAAAATAAGTTTAATTATTGTCTTTCAGGCTCATTGCTTTTGGAGTCAAAAATAAGCCCGAACACTGCATATCAGAAACAGCAGGTAAATACGAAACTCATTCATTTATATTGGCTAGATTTCTACAGCAGCTCATTCTTTTAAACATAAGTGTTATTTTAACATTTGAGCACCATAGGTAGACTCTCCTACTTTGATCAGAGGCCAATAGTTGCTCTCATTGCCTTGCGTGGCAATAAACTTCACAAACAAAGTTACTGTTACCTTTTTCCAAGATGTGTGAATTGAATTTGAAATAAACTTGAATGGGTCTAGTGTGTTTTCTTCTCTTTCTTTTTGGATGTTATGCATTCAAGGCAATTGCAGTCTTGAGTTTTGCACATGTAGAGTTAAAAAAAAGAAGTTTGTGGATGTGAAGTTATCAAGAGGTTTTCTCTTTGTTCCAGGACACGCTGATTGTCTGGTCAGAGGCAGATAATTACGACCTTGCCCTCAGTTTCCAGGAGAAGGCTGGATGCGATGAGATTTGGGAGAAGATTTGCCAGGTAATATTGCGCGTTTCCTACCACTGATATTTTAATGACAAATGTTAAGTGATTTAAGTTAGTTGTTTTACTCTCCATTTAGATATTCTAACCATTTATTTTACAGGTTCAAGGCAAGGACCCTGCTCTGGACATCACCCAGGACCCAATTGATGAATCTGAAGAAGACCACTTTGATGAGATTCCAGAGACCGGTCATTTAGTGGAGCTCCCTCCCTGCGAATTAAGCCGACTTGAGGAGATCGCTGACCTGGTCACCTCTGTCCTGTCTTCGCCCATCCGCAGGGAAAAACTTGCCCTGGCTCTTATGAGCGAGGGCTACATCAAGAAACTGCTGGGCCTCTTCAGAGTATGTGAGGACCTGGACAACAGGGAAGGCCTGCATCACCTCTATGAGATTGTGCGGGGTGTCTTATTCCTCAACAAAGCAGCTCTCTTTGAGGTGATGTTTTCTGACGACTGTATTATGGACGTGGTGGGTTGTCTGGAGTATGACCCAGCACTGGTCCAGCCAAAGCGACATCGGGAATTCTTGACCAAGACGGCAAAGTTCAAAGAGGTGATTCCTATCACAGACTCTGAGCTGCGGCAGAAAATCCACCAGACCTACCGGGTTCAGTACATCCAGGACATAATCCTGCCTACACCCTCAGTATTTGAGGAGAACTTCCTGTCCACTCTCACCTCCTTCATCTTTTTCAACAAAGTGGAGATTGTCAGTATGCTGCAGGTAAGAATAACCGGGCCAAATTCTCAGGAGTTGTAGCTTTCTGGGGATCAGCCTCTGACGGAGCCGTGTTTGCCTGAGCAGCTAGTGTGGTGGTGCCTTGTTGTGTTTGGTAATGTGCCCGTGCTGTTCCTGGCTGCAATAAAATGACTGGATGAGAAGCCAATACATTTATTCTGTCATCAGACTATGTCATATTAAACTGCATGTTTTTTCTAAACCAAATGACATGGGTTAAATGAGTTTTAACTAGTTTATTTGAAATGCCAACGAGGGAATTTTCTGTCTGTGAGAAGTATTTTTTAAGTGTGTCATTAATTTAGTATTTAAAAGAGCAATTTCATAGAAGCGCTGTCCTGTCTTTGGGACCTAGAAGTTAGTCTTTTAAATTCTTCTTGCACTAGTGCTTTGAATTCAGAGACACTGTCCGGAGTGATGGCAGTAAAAGCTTTTTTTTTTTCCATTTCTGTCATTGTGTAACAGTGTTGTATTTATTGTGTTTGTGTTGCTTCTACCGTAATTTCCTTTAAATTTGTCAAAGCTTTTAATATAGTCTTTTCTTAATTCTTTTATCCATCTCAAAGTCTAAACTTGCTCAAATCAGATTCGTAAAACTAACCTGTTCCTTCTGCTGTTCATAAGTCTTCATTAAAAGCTTGTAATGGAAGGTTCTGTGTATTGAGATGGAAAGCTTTAGGTTAATGGTGTTAAATAAGGTTGATGGCGTTACATCTGAAATTTCTGTTTCTTTCTTCCTGCTGGTTTTATGAGAGTAAAGGGAGGCAGATAAAGGTTGTGTGAAATGATTGTGGTACACTCGGATCGTGTTCTGGTGTGTATTCAGGAACATGTTTTCTTCCTCCTTCATTTGACTTGTTAAGTCTAATTTCCTGAATTGTCTTTTTTTTGCTTCTAAACACTGTTTTCACTATGCTGCAGGAGGATGAGAAGTTCCTCACTGAAGTCTTTGCACAGCTCACAGACGAAGCCACAGAGGACAGTAAAAGGAGAGAGCTGGTGAGTTTACACAAATATTCTGTTTGCTAGAACATGTAAAAAATTACTCTAGTTGCTATAACAGTGAAATAATCATGTATTGATTCTGTTGTATCAATTGGCTTCTGGGATCTTATTAATTAATCTGTCATAAAGACAAAACTTTATATTTTCTTTAGGATTAAAAGCTTTTTCATCAAAGCTTAGTTTTTGTGGTGTCCATTTTCCGGCTGTTCTCTGCTTTGTGCTGACCAGTTATTCGTTTTTTCCCCTCTTCACTCCGCAGGTAAACTTCGTAAAGGAATTCTGTGCTTTTTCACAAACGCTTCAGCCACAAAACAGGGACGCCTTCTTCAAAACTCTGGCCAATTTAGGAATTTTACCGGCTCTGGAAATTGTCATGGTGCGTTCTGATCCTTGTATGACTGTGAATTGTTGACAAAACAGTTCACGTTTTAACCTGCCTCGAACTTTCAATTGGTCCCTTTGAGTGTTTCAGTGGGGGGTTTGTTTGCGCTTTTTTTTTCTCCATCTCATGTGGTCTCCTCCTGTCTGTTTTTCTGATCAGGGCATGGATGACCTGCAGGTGAGAGCAGCAGCTACTGACATCTTCTCTTACCTGGTGGAGTTCAGCCCCTCCATGGTCAGGGAGTTCGTCATGCAGGAGCCACAGCAGACCGACGACGTAAGCATCTAAAGGGCACAGCAGAGGCTCGCGTTTCTTATGAGATCCGAGCTCAGGCACTCTGTGTGGTTTGAAGAATGAGTTGTAAAGGATATTAGAAATAAATATTCACATTTTGTAAGTTGGTGGAACCACTGTGTTATAAGATGGGCATATTTTGGTTTTGTCCTCATTGAAAAACGGCATTGTTTGGTATAAATGTGTTGTGACATGTGTGATTGTCATAACTAAGAATTGTTAGCTGAAAGTCTGTCCTTAATTGTCTTTGATTCAGTGCATCTAGTTTTCAAATGCTTGTTATTCCAGTAGTGTAAAGTTTCTGTATTTTTGCAGTATTCTTTGTCTTTTGCAATGTTTTTAGGGTTCCTTTAAAAAGTTTCTAAATCCACTTTTTCCAAGGTGTTCCAAAATCTTTTGTGTGTGTGTTCCAGGACGTTCTGCTGATAAACGTTGTGATAAAGCAGATGATTTGTGACTCGGACCCAGAGTTAGGAGGTGCGGTCCAGCTCATGGGTCTGCTCAGGACGCTCATTGACCCTGAGAACATGTTGGCATCCACCAACGTAAGCAAAACCACCTTTTGTGCCAGTTGTTGTCATAATGTCTTATTTTTTGTCATTCTGACTGCTGTGGTGATGTAGGTTTGTCCGTTGCCTTTCTGGCCCCCTGAAACGTCCTGTTCCACATGCGTTTTCCCGTCTAAACTTTTTCATGTTCCCTGTGCTCTGCAGGTTGATCGCAGACTTATTAGCTCTTTCCAACATCAGTAACACTTCCCCGTCATGTGATTTCTCTTAGAAAACCGAGAAGACGGAGTTCTTGGGTTTTTTCTACAAATACTGCATGCATGTGCTGACCGCTCCTCTACTGGCCAACACTGCACACGACAAGAACTGCAAAGGTACGCTGGGCACATTTAGGCTAAAAGTTTTTTCCGCCATGATTTAAGAAAATATGTTTATTGGCTGTTCTCTTCGTGGTTGTTCAGATCAGCCAGAGGGATCAACCAAGGTCAACCCCGTCTGTCCAGGTGGGCGCCCTTTAACCCTCAACTGTAACCACACAGCCTCATGTTTGGTTTGGTCAAAGTTTGCGGAGAATTGTTTCGGTAGAAGTTTAGTTTTCGTTTTACCCGTTACCTAGATGTTTAGCCTCGAGAAGCTAAGTTGTTTGATGACTGTAATGTAAAGAAATGTGTATTTTGTGTTTGCAAAAGAACAAAAGCTGTAGACTGAGTGGGAATGGTGTTTTTGTTTGTGTAGACAACTTCCAGACAGCTCAGCTGCTGGCGCTGATCCTGGAGCTCCTGACCTTCTGTGTGGAGCACCACACCTACCACATCAAGACTTACATCATGAACAAAGACCTGCTCAGGAGAGTGCTGGTGCTCATGAACTCGAAGCACACCTTCCTTGCTCTTTGTAAGTCCTTTTATGCACACGCTTACAGTGGTCCTGTCCTCTGAGCCACACTGGTGGAAAAAAATTGTGTTGTTTTTTTAGCCACACCTGGTGCCTTCTGTGTCTTTACACGATTCATTTTAAAATGAAGGCCACCGTGTGTCTTTGTCCAAGGTGCCCTGCGTTTCATGCGGAGGATCATTGGTCTAAAAGATGAGTACTACAACCGCTACATCATCAAAGGGAACCTGTTTGAGCCGGTGATTAATGCCCTGCTGGACAACGGCACCCGATACAACCTCCTCAACTCGGCCATCATCGAGCTCTTTGAGTTCATTAAAGTGGTGCGTGAATAGCCAGCGGGCGGAGAAAAGGGGCTCATCCGTGTGTCTGTTTGTTTGCATAACGTCTCACATGCCCCCTCTTCCCCCAGGAGGACATCAAATCGCTCATCGCTCACATTGTGGATAACTTCTACAAAGCACTTGAATCCATCGAGTATGTCCAGACGTTCAAGGGCCTGAAAGGCCGGTACGAGCAGGAGAAAGACCGGCAGAGCCAGAAACTCAACAGGTCCGCTGTCTGACGCAAAACCGGCCGTAACGGGCCAGCGACGCCAGCCTCACGCCGGCCTCTGTCCTCTTAGGTATCGCAGAGACGCGCGGTCAGTGGACGAGGACGAGGAGCTGTGGTTCAACGACGACGATGAAGACGAAGACGGCGAGGCGGTGGAGAAGAGGATGGAGGAGGACTTCTCCGACAGCTACGGCAAATACATGGAGGTGAAAAAAGGTGAGCTGCCTCGGCCCGAACGTGTCCCCGCCACTCTTGTTTAGTTTTTTTTCCCCTGATGGCCGTCTCTCTGTCGCTGCAGGAGCCGCCAACGGAGCAAGTGTAGCCAACAACGGGAAAGCCGCCCCGATCCCCGCCGCCCCCCCGGCCGCCACTCCAAACAACAGCTCCTCTTCCTCGGTCAAAACGGTGGCTCTCCCGGCCACGCCCGTCGTCAAGGTAACCGGCTCTCAGCCAATGGGGAGCTGGCACCTCAGTTGTCTGAGGTTTTTACAGCCCGTCCGTTGCATCTCTGTGTGTTTCAGCCGGCCCTGGTCGGCCTGGTGGACTACCCCGACGATGAGGACGAGGACGACGAAGACGAGGAGGAGGAGCAGTCTCCAAGGAAGCGACCCCGTTTGAGCTCTTAAGACTAAAGGTCCTCTGCTGTTCAGTTGCGGTGGACGGACGCGGAGTCCCTCCCATCCCCCCTCCTCTGGTCGTCTCATTGGTCCTCGGCCTGTCGGTGCCACCTGCCAGTCTCACTGAGGAGATGAGGAAGATGAGCTCCTGCCTCACTCCGTCCCTCCTGAACTCTGCTCCTCTTTTCTCCCTCAGTGGAAGGAGAGTAAGAGCTTCTCCTCTGGAAAGACGAGTCAGATCAGTCTGGTCATTCAGACTGTTTTTTGTCTGTTTGTTTTTCTTTTTAACAAAATAGTTTTTCATTTTACCATCAGCCTCCACTGTGAGGTCCCCAGATCTTATTTCTTCCCTCTGTGGAGGACATCATCGAACTTTGCCAACTCCTGCCTGCTCTTATTCTCACCCGCGTTCTTTAAACCAACAACAGGCTCCAGTGGGACAGAAAGTGACCATGGCGGGTCACAAATCCGCCGTGTTGCCGTCGCAGTCGTAGCAAAGAAGCCCTGGATCCTCAGCTTTTTCTTATTTCTCTCCTTTACGTCACTTTTCACCCCGAACCAATGAGCTCCAGAGGCAGAGGAGGCCAGAACACAACCAGCCAGTGTGTGGACTGTCCAGCTGGCCAGTCAGGCTAGCAGGACTAGCCGTCGTAGTAATAGAAAGCTTGACTGGCTGAAGCCACGTGTGGGCCGCCTGGCACAGAACCACTTAGTTTTGTCGGGAGACCGAGGGGATCCGGGCAGTCCAGAAGAATAAAGGAAAATCTTGAAAAGACGAGGTGACGTCTCAACCAGGAAGAAATGCAGCTCTAACGCTGGTTAGATCCAGAGGAGCAGGACTCAATCCTTAAAAGCCATGACGCCAATTTGGTCAAGGCACACACTCACACACAGACACACACACGCACACACATAGTACCCACAGTGTCTGACAAGACTGCATTAGCCAGAAGTCCTGTATTTCATGATTTTGTTTCAGTACTGTACAGATGTTTTTATTTTTTTTTCCTTTTTAATCATTTTCCTTCAATGTGGTTTTGAAAGTGGAGACAGATGCCCACCTTCTTGTGTATATTTTTTCTTTTTTGTTGCAAGTTGCGCAGAAGGTGGGCATCCCTGCCACCCCTTTCAGTCCAGTTCATTTGATTCAATGTAAAATTCAGAAAAGTTGCAAATGTTGGTTTTAAAAGATAACATTAAAACTGCAGTAAAGTCACTTTTGCAGCCGACACCTGGAGGATGTGTGGAGTTTTGTACTTTTAGTGGATTTAAAAACTTAGCCCTCTCACTGGAATATCCACATCTGACGATCATCCCCGATTTAGGTCTAACTGGACGGCAGGCACGGTTTAATTTAGGACCCAGGCTTATCTCAGGAGGTCAAAGTTCAGCCATCCTCGCAGGTTCAGTCGAGGGTCCAGTTGCTTTTTGTCCCCAGTTTGAAGGTCTCCAGTCCCAGCTGGTCCAGCAAAGGTCAGCTTTGTCTCTTTTGGTTTAAAAAAAAAAACATTAAAAAAACTAAGCAAATGGAAGGAAAAAGTGTTTTACAGTGAAAAGAATGATGAGCAGCTTTTATTAAATGTGAGACGAGTGATTGAAGTGCTGCGTTTGAGGCAGTGGGACGTTTCAATGTCGGGTTGATTGATTTCACGTGTTGCATCTTCTCCTGGTCTCCCCACAAAGTTAGATGAAGGGATTCAATACTTGATTTAAAAAAAAAAAAAGAAGCCAGATCACAGACTTTCTGACATCTGATTCACACAAGCAGCAACCTTGGAGTGGAAGTAGAGAAGTAGAGGGGTCATTACCGCCGTCTGCTGACCGCATCCAGCAACGACTGTTTCTGCTCTCCTTTGATGAATTTGTACCAAGTGCATTTACTACCACTATCCACTCTTACCATTTGTATGAATTTATTTGATAAGTTTTGAAATTAAATGTGACCCTGACATTGAACTTGTGAATCTAGATTTGTTTGAATACTTTACTGATTGGCAACTTGTTTCAAATCTATGGGATTCAATCTAAAAAAGCCAAACTGACTTTTTATCTGAAAGTTAATATGTTTTGTTTAACTATACTGGCAGCTCTAGTTTTCATAATCTGATTAGTATGTTTTTAGGTGGCATTACTGCTATTCCACCTGCAGGGAGCGACTTGAAAGTTGGTCACACACTGAGGAGTTCGGAGTCCAGCTTGTTTCTATAAAATGTGATTTTATTAAACAACATTCAGAACAATAATTCATATATTTATATAAACCGGTGCATCTTGATTGCTTTAAGTGAAGACTGTCAATTGCTTTGAAGATAAATACTGCGCTCCTCGTGGAAAGCAACACACAGTTCTCTTGGCCCCTTTACAAACACGTTTAGTTTTTTTTCTTTAGAATACATCTTCCTCTAAACAAGTGTGAGGTGCTACAGTGAGAGAGGTACCAGTGTCTTCCCTTTGGGATTGCAAATAACAGTAAAAAGCAAGACGTGCATATATCCCAGCTAAGAGTACTCCGCCGTAACATTAGACCCCTTCAGTCAAACCACTGAGACCCGGACTAGCTGCTCCTCACACATTTCTGTCTTCAGAGAAATGCCGCCCTGGCTGTCCCCAAACTCCAGTACATATGAAACGGTTGATCTAAGCACTTTTTATTTTTTATCTTTTCTCTTTCGATTATGTGAGTGAGTTTGAGTGAAACATTATTACCTGGAATTGAAAAACTCCATATTTGCCACTAAAATTAATGTGTAGTGAACACTTTTGCCCTCGTGAAAAGCTGATGCTGAGACATAAACTGGAAGTATAACAGCGTCAGACGTAAACCCATCTAATCCCCAGACTCATCTATGGGCTTTCAATACACTTGATCTTTTCTGAATGTTTTGTCAGCCACCGGATCCAAAAAAGCCTCAATGGTGTTCACATCCAAGTGCTAAAAGATGTGCCTCTTCTTATTTGTGGTATGAGTAAAGGAAGCATGCCTTTGATTATGGGAATAGAGAGGGAGTAACAGGAATGTTCAGTTCGGAGGGGAAGTTATTTCTTGATCACTTCTTCTTTCAGCTTGTCGGCTAGGTGTTTTCTCTTCTCCAGCCTCTTCTTCTCCTCAGCTGATATCTCCTGTGTGAAAACGCCACACCAGGCCGAGGGATTAATCCACAATTTTGGGATAAAAAGCAGCAGGCAAGTCTACCAGGATTAAACTGTGCACGTGTATTTATGCATTAGCAAAAAAACAAAAAAAAAAAAACAACACAAACATCTCCATGTTAAAAGCTGAAGACGGAGAGTTAGTTTATGGGGATCAGAAAGAGACAGAGCACCACACAGCACGACCCGATGAGCACACAAAGCTGGACTGAGTGTTCACATCAGGCAGCTGATGGATCACCTTTGGTTTGGAGGGGTTAGCAGGAGGAGGGGGGCAGGCCCCGTTCCTCTGGGACTGCCTGACTGCCTCCTGTCAGGTCAGAGCAGACAGGCAGATGAAATGAAGAACAAAAACAAAGAAACGGAAGCAATGGAGAGGTGAATGTGAGTTACAGATAATGAAGCTGAGAAAAAAAAAAAAAAAAAAGATGAAACCGTAATGCTCAATATACAATACTGGGATGAATGACTTCCCGTGGGGACGGGGTGATTTACCTGGGTGGTGGAGGGTGCTGGAGCGGGGTTGGCTGGAACCTCCTCTGGTGCCGGCGTCTGCTTGCTTTTCTGCTCCTTCCTCAGAGCGTGCAGCTTGTCGCGCTGCTCCCGGAGATACGCCGCCCTCTGCTGGAGCTGCTCCTGCTGTGAGGCCGACAAATGCTGCAGAGGAGGGAGGGTTAACATCACATGCTGCGAGGAGGAACAACTGAAAACATCCTTTTTTTTTTTTTTCTCCCACACACAGAAGACGAGTTCGAGAACAGCCCGATTCATCCGGTGTGGACGCTGCGCGTGGGGATTTTCAGACTCACGGTGTACGGCTCGGAGAAGCCCGCCTCCCTGTGCGCCTCCTCCAGATCGGCCTGAGCTGCAGCCCGGCCGCCGCTCTGCTCCCTCAGGTGAGAGCTGGGCTCGCCGGACCTAGCTGGAGGCCTCACGGCCGGAAGAACGCTGTTTTTGCCAGAGTCTGTACACACGTGTGCAAAGCGTTTGAAATAAAACCTTTGACGTGTAAACGTAACCCTGCAGAGTGTCTGGTTTACCTGGTTTGGGTGTGGGGGCGTCGCCGCTCTTCGCTGCACTCTTCTCTTTCCCCCCCCCTGTGGAAGCTGCTTTGCTGTCCTCGTTTCTGCCCGGGCTGCTTTTGACCTGGACAAGAGGAAGCAGAAACATTTACACATGCAGCCCAGATGACACGAGTACTCCATCAAAAGATCTCCTTTGGATAATAAGTTAGGATAATAAAGATTGCCCCAGAAAATTTTTGTTGGAGCTTTTCACCTTAAGTGAATGTTGCAAAGATTTAGGAGTTTGACTGGTCAACAGGATTTTGCTTTTAGAACTCAGGACTACCTTGGGAGTGCTAATGGGCGCCGGTGTGGTGTTCTGGGCTTTTTCACTTTCTGCCACCGGCTTATCAGAGCAGCAGCTGGAGGTGGAACCCACCTCCTCCTCGAAGAGCAGCCTCCGGGACATTTCTTCATCATATTCCATTTTTGACTTTCTGAGGATAAATGAGATAAAAAAAGACAAAGTGCAAGAGGAGAAGAGCTGAAATGCAGCAGTATGTTTGAAATATTTGGTTCAATCATGTTACTAACAGTTCAAAGGCCCTGACAGAAAGGATGATCAAACCACTTTGTCAGCTCTCTATTTGAACTTGCTCACAGGAAACAGCTAACAGATCCTTTAACTGGACTTAATCAATTTAAAAAGCTTAAATAGAGACTTGCACTCAAAGGTACAACGATGGAGAAAGAGACAAGTATTCACTGGAGCTGACCCCTGTAAGAAATCCTGTTAAGAGTTTTCTAGCAACCTGGCTGGACTCAGGATGTCCAACTCGGTCAGTTTACAGAGGTGCAGCTAGCTAAAGATGAGCTATTCAAAGCTAATTTAACATTTCATTTACCTCAAATTTAAAATATTACATTGTGGTTAAGCAGGAATCAGAATAAAGGAAAGCCAGCTGAACATCTAAAAGCAGCTAATATTAGAAACTGTGGGAAGACAGCAGAGAAAAAAAAGGCTACATTTTTTCCTTTAAACCTGTCAGAGTTGTGCAAACATTGGACTCCCATCTAGATGACAGTCAGATCATACTGAGGTGAGCCTAAAGGGCACAGATGTAGGATAAGGCAGTGCTGGTGTGCACCCAGCGTGGCCTGGTAGGACAGAGGGGATAGATTTCTCTGTCGCTCGGTGAGTATCTGTCCTTCCTAACCGAAATTAGCTGATACCTAAAGAGATTAACTGTAGTCTCTCTGGATACCCTGTGTTACATTAGGCCCGGCTTTCACTGGGAAAATCCCATTAGAGCTGGGATAGCAGCTCCGGGATGCCTGGGTTGATCATAGTCAGAGTGTTCCTGGTACGAATCCCAACGGGCCATCAAACGTGGAGTTTACGTGTTATCTCCATGTTGGCTCGGTTCTCCAGCTTCCTTTTAAGGTCATCAATCATGCCTCCCAGCGTGAATGAGGAGTGAGAGTGAGTGTGCATGCTGTGTGGCCCGCCATGAACCGGACACTTGTCCAGGGTGCCCCGCCTCCCTCCGCATGACGTGCCCCGAATAGGAAGGAGCAGGTATAGAGAATAGATGCATGTTTTGGCCATGTGGGAGCAAACTGGAACACCCACAGAAAACCCTGTAAAGGCATTCCAAACAATTGAGAGCAAGTTTTAAAATATTCGTTTTAGACCGTTTTTTTGGGCTGTGGCCACCACAAAGTTTAGAATAAACTTGAGAAACACTTTTGTCTTGATTCTAATTTCTGAGTCGGTAACAAGGGTCAACAAGTGATGGTGTCAGATGCAGTCAAAAGGGACCTTGTCTTGATGGTGATCGATGACGCCGGGTTTTTCCAGCAGATACACGCAGCTCACTTTGAATATTTTAGAAAATCAGTAAAAGGCATGAAGTGTCGAAGGACAACCCTGCTTGAAATAAAGAGGAAGTTATTGGGCTTATAGCTGTAGTGAGAACCTGCTGATTTAAACTAAGATCATATGTTTTTAAAGCATGAATGTATTTGTGTTTAAGAAAGAAAATGTGATCATGAGACAGATAAAAACTAAAGCAGGAGAGCGCCGACTTACCTGAGAACCTCCTCCAGGATTTTCATCTCTTGCTGCTGTAGCTCCGTCATCATGTCAACTCCATCAGTCAGACACTCTGGGAGGGATCCTGCACACAGACACCACCTCACTCACAACCCTCACCCCTCCTCACCCCTCAGGTGCTCAGACATGGTGCATGTTTGCTCAGCCTACCATTACTTTCTTTCATGACCCTGAGGGCTTGAAGCTGTAGCTCCATGTTCTTCTGAACCATCAGCGAGCGAAACATCTGGAAGTCATCCGTTGCCAGAACTGGCTGGAACACAGACTGAGCAACAGGAATATAAAGGAAAGCTGAAGCACTCTGAAGTTAAGAGTAAATGTCCAAAGTAAAGTGCTAAAAAGTCGACTGATTATCTGTAAATCTGATTATCTGTTAATCTTTACTATGCTTTTAGTTTGTACACATGGACACTATCATAGAAAGATCAGTTAAGTAATCATTTGTAGATTCAAGCTTTCAAGGCTTAAAGATTGCAGTTTTTTCAAATGTATCCATACTTTTCATAGCTGCATGTTTTCGTGTCTCAGAAAGCGTGCTAACTGAGCTGAATAATAGATATACAGTACTTGTCCACAAGCATAGTTCTTGCTTGAAATTGTAACACTTTTTGAAGGGCTCCTACCTTTAAAATAGCTTAGTAGAGGGTTTTACAGAAATATAACAAGGATCCTGGCAGATTTGAAACCCTAGTTATTAATCATTATTTTTTTGTGCCAGGCAAATGGGAACGTTATGTACAGTGAGCACCATGTTCAACCCTGACACACAGGTAAACTGAGCTATTAGTTTAAAACTTAGGGATACTTAGAGCTAATCTTTTACACTAGCTTCCTGTTTCTATTAAAGGTCAATCCCACATCTTAGCTACTGCTTGACTTAAATGCTGTGCTCCTGGAGCTTAGCTTCTCTTTCACCTACTCCCTCAGTATCTCTCTTCTCCCATCTTGTTTCTGCCTAAAGCCCGCTCTTGCATACAATATCCTCTTTCTTTAACTGGATCACATACAATGAAGTCAACCAGATGGCCACTTTCACCTTCTACTACCCAAGCTTTGTCTTATCATGCCCACTTTTAATGAATAAAAATCTAAGTCTTATTTTTAATTGGGAAAAGAAAAAATACAAAAATTTAATTATGTTATCAGAATAAAAATTGTGTTAAAATATGTTCTAAAAGGACTACTAATGCTGTTATTCAATGATTTAATATGGATGCTTCAGTTATGATGAATCCAAATGATGTATCCACTCCCATAAGGAGGGTTTTTGTCTAAAATTACCATGTCTGCACAGAAACTGTGAACCTTTATCTCAGCTACGTTTGCTATGGATGAACCTGACCCTGGTTGAAGACAGTAATTGTAATTATTTACCTTAGAGGTAATTAATGAGATTTAAGTCTTCAGAGGATTGAAACCAAATCCAGACCTCAGGCTCTGCCAATCTGGCACCATTTCAACTTTATTTTTAGTGCCAATTAAAAAGAAATGTTTGGACAGACTGTTAAATCTAAAATTACCCAAAGATTTAATTCAGGAAATATAAATGCCTTTAATTTCTGGATGAAATACAAAAACAACAACAGCCAGGTTTTGTCTTCCTTTTCAGAAACCTCTGCAAGCAATCTGCATCAACAACATCTGGCATAAAGAAAACTAAGTACTGGCTTTTGGTTCTGTCCCATGCACACTGAGACTCATTCATTTTCCATTGATATTGATAAAAGTTCATGAATTTCCCTAAGTTTGTGATTTTTTTTTAATGTATTTTGTCAAATGATAGAAATACCTTCTAAAATTTTAAACCTTCCAAAATTTCCAAAGAAGATACCAAACCTGTAAAAGCAGGTTAAAAAAACAAGAAAAATCAACTGGCAGTCTGCTTTGAGATGCCGGGGGTGAATTAGCCATTGGCCTATAGCCACGGTCACTGACTGACAGATCTAAGGCCAGGTCAAATGATCCAGGAAGGAGAAGATTGACTTGAACCAAACTGCTTACATATGACGCCAAACTTCATGATGCAGACATATGAAATATGGATTACATTCCCTGCACTCTCAAACTAGTAGGAGAGGCTCGGATAAACCTTGGCACATTGCATTGTTGACTTTCTATCAACTGTCCAGGGTGTACCCCGCCTCTGGCCCATTGACCACTGGGATAGGCTCCAGTTCTCCCCTATCACTATGGCATTTCTAAATAGGCGTGAAATCCCCTGACCTTCATGGTGCAACTCTGACTCTTCATAAAATGAATCCACATGTCTAACTCCATTATGTCCACATGATCATTAACCTGACTGTTTTAACCAACGAACAGGATTCTGATTCTTTAAACTGTTGAGTAGCTTCTGCAGTTGCATACCTTCGCTCTTCGAAAACACAACCAGATCACGCCAACATATCGTGGCAGTCACGTCTAAGGTCATAGTTCATAGTGGAGTAAGGGGCTTAGTGGGCTCTTGCTCTCCTTAAATACTCACACTGTGTTAAGGAGATGAGATTTGAGACTTGCATACTATGAACAGAAAAACTGTTCAACTCCAAAATGCAGCACAACACAACTCTCAGATGGTTTAATCAACACACATTTCCCTGGACACCTCTAAGCTAGCTTCAGTGGGACATCAGGAAACACCTCAGCTGAACTACTTGTACACAGTCGTACACTGAAGTCTCTAAACAATGCTTTACATCATTCATATTTTTGACCATTTTCACACAATAGAAAACTATTTTTGGAGCATTTGAAACAGATTCCAATATTTTTGGAAGGATGGCTTAATATGTTGCAAACTGGACTGTTATATCTTTTATATGATAAACATCTGTGCCAAGAGGAGAGAAGACCAATCAAGTTTGGCACCATGTAAAAAGTGGAATTAATGGGGTTATGTAAGCAAATCCCAGCCTTGATTCTCTAGTCTGGTTAGCTGGCAGGCTGACAGGGTTGTGCACAACAGAGTGAGTTTAAAATACCTGCAGAGTTTGGGACTTGGCAAAGGGAGATGTGCATGCATCTAGAAACTGCTGCTCGTTAATCCCAACATCCTGCATGTAATTCTCTAACAGCTTCTCCACCTGCAAAGACAAAGTAGATTTTAGTAGTTCAACGTGGTGACTCAGCAATCCCAAAAGCCATTCATGAATAATGGGGAGGTACAGCAGAAAAATATAAATATCTAAACATCTGGTCTCTTGGCTTGTACTCACCAGTTTCTTATACTGCTGGTGGATCTCCGTGTACGACAATTTATTTTCATCTTCCTCGTCAAAAACTGAAAAATGAATGGGTTACTAATCATAATTCAGCATCTACACGAAGTCCACGCCAATGTATCTCCCCATTCTATTTTGGCAACACTATTTTCCGTATGGTATGGTTTGATCTCTTTATCCTTGGCTGCATAGACAAGACATTAAATAATTTCTAGGCTAAAACAGCCTACAAAACAACCTACAAAAAACAAACAAATGCAGCTGTCTACGACAACATGACACTTAGAGGTTAGCATTAGCTTAGCCGCCGCCCTAACGGTGCGCAGCCCACGAAGCGTTTTTTGCTCTCGGTGGAAAAAAAGCTGAAACTGAAGGAGTTCTTTCACCTGTGCATTTATTTTCCATAAAGTCCGTGACGGGAATGACCCATTCAGGACTTCCCAGGTAGCCAACAATGCTCTCTACAATCCACTCGCTGTCATCCTCAGCCATGTTGGCCGACGCTGGGTAACAACAGGGACACCGCGCTGGTTTTCAGCTCCAGCTCCGCGACAGCTCCGACACGCAGGACTCGGCCAGACGGTAAAATACATGTGGTAAACTGTCCCTTCATAAACACACTCCCATGAGTAAACGGTGGCTGTTTCCCCACTCTTGACCAGACGAGACCGTCTTCGGGAAGAAACGCGGAGTCATGAATTCGAGAGTGGAGGGTGGTGACGCCAAATCGGTTTCTACGGCAACCATTACGTCAGCACGCTGCTCTCGGGACCAAGTCAGATGTCAGCTGCATCTTCATTTTTTACTGTCATGTTTCCACACGTTTCACAGCAAAGATTGGACCTCAATAGGCATTTCGCTCGACAAAAAAAATCTGCTAACTCAACACCTATAAAGGCTTATTTAACTTGAAGTAGGCTAGTGGGTCGCTCGTGAAAACCCCAAAGATTAAAACCAGGATTAACAGGACTGTTCTTCCTGTATGGATGAAGAGGCTGTTCAGACCTAAGGCCAAGGTACTTCAGCAGCAGCTTCATAAGATATTTAACTATGAAACATCCACACCCAGAATAAAATCTGAGATGCAAAAATAACAGGATCAGTTCTAAAAATGGCACAAATGTCATAAATGGTTAATCAGCTTTATGAAAGGCACTGAAGAAGCAGCATTTATTTTGGCACACACACACGCTTCCAACAATCAGGTGCACTACAAGAAACGTAGGTTATTGGCCTGTGATTGACAGTACAAATCTTGCCATATTATCAAATGAATCAAATCCAGACGTTGATAGCTTTTGATATGGTCAATCAAACCTGTGGTTGTTAAGAGTGGCTGAGGAAGCATAACACAAATTAGAGAACAATAAATCCACTTTTCTAAAACATTTAGATGAATACTGCTTTTCTCCAAGACTTTGAATTCTGGACTAGAATATAGTCTGCCACTCACAGACTGTGAGCTCGTAATGACCTGATGGTGGGAACATGTGAGGGAATAACACAAATCTTCACTGTTAGGGACAAACACACACACACAAAATGGTAAGATACTTCAACTTTATTAAGAGTAAAAAATGGGTGATCATTAGCTGTTATCAGTAGTGTGCATTAACAAGAAAATTTGATAAATATACATTCCATCTGTATCTTCAAAACGTATACAAGATTCTCATTAGCATAATTAGAATAAAGGCTCAAAGCTACTGTGCACAGTTTATTATAAAGGCAAGGCATGCAAGCAGCAGTCAAGCCAAGAAACTTTCAACAGAGTAAAGGTAGGCGACATTAAAAAGCTTTGATAAATAAATATCCCTTTCTGAGCTTGATGCTTCATTCTGCTCCTAGAACACCTTTTCAGTCATCTAATTTCTCAGTCTCCATTAAATGTTTCCTACTATTCTTCAGTCGCACAGAGAAGATTGGAGACATAAAACACATAATAAGTGATACAGGTACATTCCTTTCTCTCTTTTTTGCTTAAAATAAATCATTTGCATGTTGCAAATTGTAAAAGAAAGGCTGATTTCAGATGTGAGGGCTCTGTTTTTCAGAGTAAAAATAATCTACAGCGCCATGCATAATTTGCAGAATCCAACCCTGCCAGAGGAAATCATTCTTTCATTATCTTTAAAAAAAAAAATCTGGATTAAGTCAGCTATAAAAAGAAAGACAAGTGAAATAGCAATATGACACACAAACACAAGGCTCGGTTTTTTAAGCAGCATTCCATTCCATCCCCACATTTTACGATCGACTGACAATAGCAGCGTAAAATCTTGAACCTGGCTTCATATTTCTTGTCAGATTACCAACATTACAGAATTGTAACGCAATGCTGTGCAAAGGAAGGGAAGCAGCTCTGTACACATAAAGCAATAAAGGGTTTTCATTTTTTGCATGTTAGAACATTTAAATGATATTCTCTCTTTTATAGTTTGTAAACTGTGATAGAATGATGTAATAGGTGTTATTGGTCGTTGTGGTGGAGCAGTACACATGCACTGATTGAAACTGATGTCTTCAAATGATCAAATAAATATGAAAATCCCATTTTCCCCTTTTCTTCACTAGATGGCACACGTTCATGTTTATGAAACATATGACAGAACTGAGTCCGTAGAGCTGCTTCAATGTAGTTGTGGCACAATGTGAGCAGTCTGTTTTCAGGCCGGTTTCGCCCTAAGTGTATGGCAGCAGCTTAAGATAGTTTTCAGTATCAATCCATTTGTTTATGCACTGGCTGCTTAATTAATGTAAATTCCACTATATTCCACTAATTTACATTTTCTGCACCAGCTCATGGCTGGTGATATCATGTGTGATATAACATCTAGAAAAACCAGGAGGATCATGTTGATCAGCATCTTTTTAAGTTAATTTACAGTGCTTGTGAACAGCACAAATGGAGTTTTGTGTTTCTGTTTCAGTTTATTGTTTTCTTCATCCAGCCAAATGAATCATGAGCTTTTTATTCATTAAACCACTGACAATGACAACATGTGCATCGTTTAAAAAAAACAACCTGATTGTTTAGAATTTTCTTGTAATGTTTTCATGTTTGCTTAATTAACAGGTTTGGGAATGGGGTTGGGGTGGCATGCTTTGACATCAGAAAAAAACTCTCTAGCATTGCTGCTTAAAGTTTTGTAGACACAGGCAACATGCTGACATTTGTAATGCAAACTAAAATTGCTACAAGCTTTTATTCAAGTATTCATTAGTTTTTCTTCACTGACAATCGTACAAGGTATGCTTAAGCTTTTAAAAGCGTTTAAAAGAAACTTAAGCTAGACTCAATGACATTACAGGCCGACATGTCCTTGAGGATAAATTGCAGCTACTGCAACTGTCAGGCTCTTTTAAAAATTCATTGTATTGATTTGCCTGACAGCAAAAGACCCTTTCACACTGCTCACTTAGTATTACCTCAGTCCACCACAATTTGGAAACACTGGACCAATATACATTAAATTCTTCTTTTTTATGTGAATATAAAGACATAGATATTCTTTAGTAGCAACTCACAAAGGAGATATCATTAAAATCAAACAAGTTGATTTAAACAAACCAGTGATAGAATTATGTATCATACCACACTTCTCTGTATTGGATGTTGGATAGTGATTCAATGAGTGCTTTTAGATACTGAGTTAATCATTTTTGGGAAAGAAGAAATAGAAATGGAAAATAAGGTGGGGAATTGAGTACATGTATAATCTATCAGGGCCATATAAGGCTGTTTATTTCCATTGATTGTCCATCCATCCATCCATCCATTTTCGTAACCGCTTATTCCCTAATGGGGTCGCAGGGGGACTGGAGCCTATCCCACTAGTCAAAGGGAGAGAGGCAGGATACACCCTGGACAGTCCGCCAGTCCATTGCAGGGCCACACAGAGACACACAAGGACGAACAACCACCCAAACTCATAATCACTCCTAAGGGACATTTGGAATGTCCAGTCAACTAACATGCAGGTTTTCGGACGGTGGGAGGAAGCCGGAGAACCTGGAGAGAACCCACGCAGACACAGGGAGAGCATGCAAAACTCCATGCAAACTCCACACAGAAAGGTCCTGGTTCCCAGAACCCCCTTGCTGAGAGGCGATGGTGCTAACCACCACACCACCGCCTCTTCCTTTAATTGTATTAGAACAAATTTACACCTTATAAACCGGTGCCTTCATATTGAATAATTACACCAGAGCACAAAGAGAGAAAGTCGACAATAAATAAAGTTGTCCAATACATTCTCTGATGATTTGGTGTTATTTTGTATGCCTGATGTAGCTACACATACTGTATAGCCTCCTTTCTCTGCATAGGTATGGGTCTATTATTCTACCTTTTAAAGGGGATCAAGATTCAGGCAATCAAAAGCATTTCATTCGTTTGATTGAGAACCCTCATTAAAAAGAGAAAAAAACTATTAGCAGTTGTGTAATATATATTTGTGTGCAAAGCTAACCATATATTGTTTTGGTTTTCCTGTCCAAAGTGTCAGACCGCAGTTGTGGGTTTGCTTTTTCCATCTAAGCTCTTCCTGGACTAGAGTCTTGCAAACCAGATAAGATTTCAATCTTTAGAGCTTGTTTATGACAGAATTAAAGCAGTAAAATGCTACAAACACCCAATGGTAGAAGTCCAGAGACACTGGAAGAGAGCATTTCTCCAAACAAAATGAAATGGCAGTCACTGAGATCCATAGGGCATATCCCTGAATCCACTGCTCTCAGCTGAATGACTGGATGGATCCGTGGGACTCCCATGATTCTCTTTGATTTGAACCAGTCTCTCATCCGAGGGATTTCTTTTTATTTGAGCTTTCTCTTGGTAATTGTCTGTATTTGGCACATTTCCATTGGCAATACTTTGGTGACTAACTGTTCTTAGCCTGTCTTCGTTGTGATTTGCTCTATCGGGTGACAGTCCATCCACTTTATGAGGGCTTCTCAGGGTTGCAGGTCTGCTGTCATGCTGGCCTTTTCTGAGAGGCACTGGCCCTGTGTCTATGTGGCTTGCTTTGACTGTTACCATCTTGTTAAACTGGCGCTTGCTGCACACTGGGATTTTATTACTCTGCACCGCACGGGTGTAACGTGAAAACCAATCCCTCTCGAAAACAGCTTGTAACTGCTCCACAACTGTGACGTTTCTCTCCTCGAGGCCTTCTGGATGAACGATCACAAGGCCTGCTCCTGCATTAAAGGCAAACTCATTCCCCACCCAATCAAGGTTACCTGCCGGGATACAGATCAATGTGAGAGATGTGATACAGTCGGGATAACCGGTATGAGCAAGAATGACACATTTGCTCAAACATTTCTTTGCATGTGAGTACATACATTAAACACACATTAAACAAATGCAAATACAACATTCTTTAGTAATGGGAGTATTGATCATTCCATTTTTTGAAACCAGAAAAATTCCAAATTCCCCATTCAAAACTGCCAAAAAATTAGATCTGTTTTAGCAAAGAGTTATAATCCACATTTAGAAAATCTCGTTTGTGAGCTTACCCAAATAAATGGCTCTGTCTGTGACCATAAACCTGTTATGGTTTATTCCATAGTGACTGCCATCCCTCTGCACTCTGGGGTTGAAGAACTTCTACACAACAGATAAGGACACACAGTAGTGCTTTGAGCATAAAGCACTACCCTCATCCGTACAGTTAAAAATAGTACACAGTGGCCTTGAACCTACTGCTTCCAGCGAACAGTTAGCCTGCTCCATGCACAGACTCCTCAGGGACCAGATGAAGTTGAAGGTAAGTGGATGAGTGTTTTCCCAGCAACTTATCAGCAGGCGGACCCGCACCTTCCTCAAGATCAGAGCCTCTCTTATAAGACCGTCAATACGGGACCAGTATCTTGGCACAGGCACACACAAGAACATGGGCATACGGCCAGACGGAAACAGAGGCATACACAGAGTTTAATCACTTCAATCAAAGCGATGCACCCAGCCTCTTGATGCTAAATGCATGCCAAATCAGTGTACAGTGTCTGCTCTAACCTTTGAGTACTGCTGCTGAGGAGAGGCAGATAATCAATAATGGAGATGTATATGAAATGGCGAGCCTCTTGTATGACCCTGGAAATGGCCTCCAGATCACTGCTGCGATTTTTGGGGATGAAAACGTCTGGCGAACTCTTTTGACAGAGGAGGGAAAGCAAACGCTGTTAGAAATGTGGCGATGGTGTGACAGAGAAAGTGGATTCAGAGCACCGTGTGCATCCATTAAAACAGACACTCGTGTAGTAATGCTGCTAACATCCAGAATTACCAGTGTAATTGTTTATACTAAGAAACATCACACCAACTTCAGTCCCATTATCATTTAGCCAAATGAGCATCGGAGTTCAATGTATTCCTTAATGGAGTTTTAAAAAGCCTTGAAGGTTCGGTTTTAACTTTCTCTTGACAGGCAGTGAGTAATTAACACAGGGAGTGCTCCAGTGTGCTGTTTGTGTTCATATTAATCTTGTGGAAACAGACAGCACAGCCAAATCAACCGGGGCAGGTTGGACGGCATCCCTATCACTCATGACCAGGGAGAGAATGACACTGAAAGATGTGACTCTCTGCACACTCAGATGGCCTTTACATCACACAGCTCAGTACACAATAACAGAACACCGAAATAAAGCTAAAACTGGATATGAAGCCCCTTCTAAGCTGAAGTGCACCTGCACAAGTGTAATAGCTTTTTTTCATTGGACTTCTTGTTTGGGCTCTGGATGACCTTAAAAATGCATTAATGTAACGTTAACCATTTAAATGTCACTCACCGAGACAAAGGCAAGAGCTTTTGTGTTGTTGATCTCAAGTTCCAGCGGACTGTCTCTGCTGGAGACTGCAAAGAGGCGCTTTGACCAGAAAGAAGGGATGAACTCTTTATACTGGAGCCCCCAGTAGAGGCTGAACACTTTGTGGAGGTCCAGAGCCAGACAGCTGCAGTTGAACACCAACACGCCCAGCTCCTTCCTCTACAGGACAAACAGAAAAGATTTACAACACTAGAAAACCAACTTTTCCAAGTCAATGAAATATCTTGTGTACCAAATCACTGCATTTCACAGAAAATTTGTGGACGTCAACCTACCTAAACCATCTCCACGAGAGGAGTTGGCCTAAATCTTACTCCAAGGAAATTGAAATATGCTAAGACATGTTTCTCCATTCTTTATTGTCAGTATAGACCTTTAAGGGTTACATCAAGGGATACATTTTTCCTCTTGTTGGTCCGTTTTGTCCCCAAGTCTCATCTCATCATCGCAACAACAGTAAGGAGTGGAAAAGCCTTTTAATGGATCTGTTTCTCTTCTAATTTGCATGTGCTCCATTCTCTGCAGAATTTCCACTTCAAAGTGTTGCCAGCTAGATTCAGTTTCTAAGATTTTCTTTCTTAATATGCCTTTTCTGTACTCCCCTCCTCACATTGGGTCTGCCACTGTTTAAATGAAAATAATATTTCCAACATATGGATAGTACCTGTCTATCGACATATACTTTATTTGTCCAGAAGGAAATTTTGCATAGTTTGACACTGCAGATTACTTCCCCCTTATGAAGATTTACTGGGTCCCACAGTAGACTAAAAGCTGCTTTCTGTAATTTTGGTTGTCATTTGCACAACTGGAAGAGGCTCTTAGACATAAGGAAGATCACAGCTTAGTATGGTTTAAATAGATCTTTGGACAAAAATACAGACACACTAGTTTTATAATGTCTTAAGTGTGATGGCTGCTCAAGACTATAAAGGTAAAATTCTTCATGGAAGTTATCTTCTGAAAGAAAGATTCTTCCTCCTTGGAGGTCTAAAAATAGATGAGGACATCTAACAAAAAGGTTTCAATGAACCACACAAAATGTCCTACTTTGAATAAAGAGATTAAAGACTTTGCACTTTCTACTTTTGGAAAATAATGTCTGCCCGAAGTGAATGCCCCCAACACATCAAGTAAACATAAAAATGAGTCCTTATGGGTCACTGTAATGAATCTAATCGTTCTAAACACAGCCTCATGTGGGAATGATTGTGTCTTGGTGTGTGTTTTAGTGTGTGTATGGTGCAGTACTGTGGCCAGAGATCTCCAGTCCATGCTGGCGCTGCCGATGTAGATATGTGTCCGGTCGACCACCCAAAAGGATGAGTGCAGGTTGCCTTTTGTCAGTATGGACATGTTAATGTAGTGGACCTCGGCATCTACAAAAGGCGAGTGAAAGAGAAAATAGAAGAGGATAACTAACAGGAAAAAGGCAGCGAGGAAAAGGTTGTGAGAGACGGCTCAATCAGAACATTTACTGAAGTAAAAACTGGATCAGAAAACAAAATCAAGTGCAGGGGTGTGCGAGAGAGGGATGGAAAGAAATAAATTGTCTTCATCTTAGCTTAAAAATTGTTGCACCATGTTTTACAAAGAGAAAACAAAACAAAAAACAGGCTGACTATTTCAAACAGAGGAGGAAAGCTGACAGTGTTTGGCGAGTACATCCAGCTCAGTTGAGTTGATTATTCCGCTTGAGATCTTTAGCTGGACTCCTCTCTTTGTCAGCCCCTGTAGTCTGGACAGCAGAGCCCTGCCCTGAGAGGGAAACATACAAGCATGGCAGGCATTCAGGTTATGTGTATCCACATCACTGGTAATAATTGTGTTACCATCGACAATCATAGTAAACAAAGCTGTTTGACCCAGAGTGTGTCTGTGTGCGCACCTGCTGTGATTGTCTATTTCTTATGTTTGAAATTTAAAAAAGAAATTGGCTTTACATATTAGGTGTAGTTTACTCATCACAGAGGGCATCACTCTCAGCCCTGTCAGACGCAGAGTAATGAGGCTCTTACTCGTTCTTGACTCTAAAAATATTCTGAAAGTATAACCTTGATGATTTCATCATCAGCATGTTCTATGTTACCAGATATCTGGAGGCTGAAAGACGTGCAAGGAAGTATTATATACTATAAGTTTAAGTGGCAACAGCAAATGTTGTATTCAGCACTTCTGAGATACCAAACACTCAGAACAGCTCAACATCTCAATAATTTAATGTTGATAATGCATTCTTTATATGTGTTTGTTTGAGTTGCACCTTATTCCTCAGCTTCTTTATCCTAACAAACCTCCTATGATTTTTATTTTTCTGTCCCAGCATGTTCCGTGTTATGTGTTGTTGTTTCTGACAAAGCTGGGCTGTAAACACATTAAATAAATGTATTATTGGAGAATGGTCTCCTGAAATTAACCATCATTTATGGGTAATGTGCACAGAAGCCATTCAAACAACAGCAAAAACAAAAAAACAAACAAAAAAAAGAAATAAAAAAAAAAGAAAATGTCACCACTTTCTTAAGGTGAGGTTTTGTTGGGTTGCTCTGGTTTTACCTGTCTGGCGGCAGGATGGAAGCTGGATTCATAGTCCGAGGAGTTGAGAGACCACAGCGGGGAAACTATTTCTACACTCCGAGTAGCTCGGTCCAATAAGTTGTAAAGCCCCACTGAGAGAGGGAGGTGGGAGGTGTCATTCTCGAAGAAGGAGATGTCCTCTGGGATGTTCTCCACGAGCACTACACTGTGGAAAATAACAAGAACAAAACTGCCTTAAAAAGGGTGCAAAAGCCACAAAAGCGTCATTAATCTCGGTCGTGGAGAGCCTTCAGTGGAGGGACAGAAGGAATTTATATGATTTTTATGGTCTTTCCCAAAGCAATTACAGATTTACATTACGCCGTAATTATCATAACATCTTGTGCCTGTGAGTTAAATCTATATTCAACCCGTTTACAACTATATGACAAATCAGCTAACCATATTCGTCTCACTTTTTTTCTAAGGACCATTTACTTAATGAAAGAAATCAAGTTTCCACATCCACATACAGTATATGCTTAGATTCCATCAAGCATCATTAAATCTTGCACCCCAGGCATTGGCTGTGAAGAACAAACTGCTGTATGGGGAGCATTGCAAATTCAGTTGTATCTATTCAGGAAGCAGTGGAACATTTCTCATTTCTCCTTTGTGTTTCAGCAACTCTTCTCCTAACACGGACACACGGTGCATTTTCATGTAACATTCAGCTGTCTGGACTGATATATTTGAAGCCAGGAACGCAATATGAAATCAAATACATACGCAATTAAAAAACTGCTATGCATCTGCTCTGTCAGATTAATTGGATTGCAAAGTGAACATTATGAATCCATCTATAAACTGTTCTGTACGATGTTCAGTGTCTTCGGGTATTGGTTTTATGATACACTTAACTACTTAGATTCAAGTTAGATGAAGAAGAAAATGTTGTCTTCATAGTTGTTTTGACATTTATTTTCAAAATTAAATTCGCATTTTACCAGGAACGCTGACACTTACAGGGGACTTTGCAGATGATTCAAAGAGCTCAGTTAGACCTACATCTGCAGCCACTCAGAACCACACTGTCATCACGCCCTGATGCACAGCACATCCTCTCTGCATCCGCTTCCACATTGATTTCTGCCAACTGGATTTTCAGCAGTTTGGTGAGTGAGTCTGCCTCTTTTAAGGAGGTGTTTTATATTTTGTGTCCACAAGAGTCAGGGTACACGACCTCAATGCCTAATGGCATTAAACGGTGTTCATTTAACTTCTTTTTAAACACTGGGATGAATTCATGGCTCACCTCTTGTTGTAAAAGCAAATTCCATGCATATATAAATCACGTCTTTGAAGAAATTTATGTTCCGTTGGACTTAATTGGGTTAAAATGAGTAGGACTTGGCTGGTTTATGACTCAACAGGGCAACTGGATCTTTTTACCTTCTCTATTGTGCCCAAAATAACAGTATTGTATAAATGAACTGAATTCAATTAAATTCACTGGTAATAGTTGTGAGCTAAATCAAATGTAGAAGTTCATGATACATTTGCTGTGACTGGATTATCTGAACGTCCCTCATTGCAAATAAAACCTAATCTTGATTTAGAAGCTGGCACAGAATCTGTCTTTATTTGTGACGCTCTCTTTCTGCCTCAGCTTGATTTATTCACTTATGCTTCACTTGGTTCTGCTCCCTATTTTTCCTACCTTATTGAAAGCTCCATCTTCTGAGGTTATTCAGTAATTTCCCTTTCCTTAATATATCTTAGAAAATTCATCCATACCTGATTTAGTTTTTGAATTGCTTACTTCTTGGATTTTATCTCAATCTTGTCCCAAAACTCTGAAATTCTAAAACAGTCAGCCGGAGGGGGACACAGTGGGGTCTAAGTAGTGCGTAATTTAAAGGGCTACGGGTGGGAGTGTGTTCTGTGTGCGATAATGTGGTGGAATCCCTCTGAGAGTCCAGTTGCTTCCCACAGCTTGTTGAAGCATTCCTGGCTCAAGTAAAGCCAAGTCAGATTTTGGAAAGAGGCCCATGGTCAAACCAGTGGGCTCATGCCCTCTGTGAGCATGTAGATACCTCCTCATACAGTGACAGTGTGTTTAGGAGGCAAAGTTTGGAGGAAAGAAAATGCTTTGTGCCATCTGTCCATCACAGAGCTGAGGACACAACTGTATGAGTCAATGAAAAGCAAAAGCACATAGAAGCCACTATTAGGAGATGAGATTAAATTACTGTCTGGTAACAACAGTCAGTGCAGACTATTATTTGCTGTGTATGGGCAGAAAAAACAGGGCAGACCTCACAATAAGAGCAAGGATTGATAGAAAATGAAAAGAAAAAGAGGATGGTGTAATCTTATTATGATGATAATCCGCTATGTCTCCTCTAATGGTTCAGGGTATGATGAATAATGCTTTGGACTGGTTCAAACAACCAGACAAGCCTTGATATCGCAATTGGAGAAAGCCGGAAGGCGTGCAGGATGTTTATTCCTGCATAGATTCATTGATTTTCACAGTCTGTGTTGTTTGTGCCTATTTTCCTCCCTTGTAACCCATCTGCACATTCAAAGGTGTGTTTCAGCCACAGTAGCCAATAAACCAGCTGTGTAAACTTTATGGTGTGTTTGTAGGCACGAGGCAAACAAAATGAGTCACTCTCACTATGAATGGTAACATATTCCCATCATCTGTGAGCACAGTTGGATAATTTAAGTTTATTCTGTTATGTGCTCTTAAGAGAATATGTTATAAGGTATATCCCATCACAGAGATGTGATGGCTAATATTTGAAAAACAAAAGGAAAAAACTATATAAAAACAGAGTAGCACGTCAGTGTTATGCATGTATTGATGGCAAATGACACCTTGCACCTCTTCAGAACATGTAGAGTAACAGCGTGGGATCACAGCGAAAATCAAAGTCTACCTGAGTCAGCTCCTGACACCAGATATTAATTATCTGCTCTCTCATGAGCTACCCAGAGCTCTGGCTGTGCATCTGCGAGCACATCACTACACATGGTACAGGAGCTGCTGCCACTGTGCGCTCTCCATTCCGGTTTACCCAGGGAGGAAAAGGCTGTTGTCACGGCAAAAACACAAATGTGTCATTTGACAGGCATTGATAAAACTGTTCATCAGATTATAAAGTATGTATTGATTAAATGTTTGATTTATTGTAACGTAGACACGTGGAACAGAGTTTTTGCTTGTTTTGCCACAGATTCAGTCTAAAATTTTTTAATCATGAATACATTGCACTGGCCACAAAGGAGAGGGGCTCTCTGCAATTTCATGTAAAAAGAAATTGCCACAGTGGGGAGTGTGTTTTGACCCAGATGCAAAAAATATACAACAGACTTAGGAAAAACTGAAAAATTGCAAAAGGGACCAGATTACAAAAAAAAAAAAAAAATCTTTAAAGAACTGAACAAAACCAAAAACAATGCAGCAAAGAGAAAATGGGCAAAAGAATGATGGAGCATTTTAAAGCTGCCAAGAAAAGATGTACGGACCAGGATCTACTATGAGAAGACACCAGAAAGGACAGGAAACAGGAAAGCGACAACATTACATGAACATGAAACAACAGAGAGAAAGAAAATAAGGAAACTCAGACACACTAAAAACATAGAGATCCGAGAGTTAGCAAGAAGGAAGAAAAAGCCAGAAAGCAAAACAGCCCCCTGCCCCCCAAAAAGACCCAAAAATCACAACACCAGAAATAGAAACTACAACAAACCAGAAAAAAAGTCCACAAAATCCAAAGTGCGGATATCATGACAAATGAAGGAGGTTAACAATTAGTCACGGTGTGAACAGGGAAATACCACGACAGGGCTCCGAAGGCATTTACTTTAATGAACTAGCCTACATGTGCCTTCAGGCATTCAAGGTGTGTGAGAACGGGCTAGTCTCCGCACACCCCCACTATTAATGGGTTCTGCTCTCAGTAATATATCAGCTCTTGTAGTTTGCAACAAACATGCTTCAAGCAATTTGGGGCAGAATTTCTGGCTACAAGCATTAAAGTTAATTCGAATGGCAGGTAATTCCACACTAATTTAATCACTGAGCATGTAAACAGCAGCACATGCATATAAATCGGACAGCACGCTTTCGGTAATGTGTTTGGGTTCTTTCATCAGCTGTAAAGACTATCAATGACAGCCGGTGAATCTATTCCTCATCACCGCACACCCCCAGTTTAAGGGTTCAGGGGGTTGCTATTTAGCTTTAAAATGTAGGATTAATCTTTCAAATTTAAGAGGTAGGGAGGGAAGCCTGATGCAGTTCCCTGAAAGGATGTTAATGGATAATTTGAGGAAGAAGAGGAAAAGACACAGAAGAGCAAATGGGAAGCAATCCAAGGCTTAATTATAAATAATGATACGGGTCTGATGTTGGGAAACCACGGGGAAGAGTTGGGAAGGAAAAAAAGCACTGCTGTATCAGCGCTACCCCTGCTGATTACCTGCTTTCACTCTGAAACACCCAGGCCCAGCAGTTGCACTGGTTTAAAGTATTTTTTAGAATAGTACAGCAGTCATTTCGGTAGGAGACCTTAGGCTTGGGACAAACGAACACTGATACAGTAATATTTCACTTCCCGTAACGTGAGAGGAGCCCCACAGAGACATGTTATTAGGCGTGCAAAAACGAGCAGTCCATAATTTGAAAGCAACAGCAGACATTAATTCTGGGGCTTTGAAAACAAGATAATGCTTTACGGTTTAAGCTTGTGTTAGAGACCCATTTTATCTTTATTTTTTCTGTAAATTGTTACCAATTGTGGATAAACATTTCACCAGTGAATATGGCAGTTAATGTCTCCTCTATGCTGTCAGGTTTAGGAGTTGAAGTGTTTTTCTTCCTCTATGTTTGCCTTAAATGGTGTATGATACTGCATCAAGCAACTGTCAGAAAGTCCACACAAAGTTTGAACAGTGCTATTAATTAAATTCAGTCATCTGCTGGATCCTTCCGGAGAGCTGTTCTAAGTTTCTATTTTTTATCATCACTGCACACAACTGAGACTTGTTTCCTGCTATGTAAGAATTCTTCTGACTTTGACCAAGTATAATAGTTGTCCTCGACCTTTTAAAGGAACACTAAAGGATGTTTCTTAGACGTGAAACCAACTACCTTTCGATTAAGGAAGGGATAAAAAGGGAAACAGTTTGATTTAGTGCATACAGCTTACTTTCCATTTGGCCATTTTGTTTTTATGGCTTGGTTTTAAGATTTTGGAGGGAATCATTTCAGAATATGTTCTCATTATAACAAGGATGCATTCTGGTTATTTTCCATGATTTTGTGAGGACAGGTACATTTTAAAAGAGAAGAAATGAAATGGATGCTATTTCAATTACTGGGTATGAGAAGCAATTGTGTTTGCAATGCTTTTGTTCTTACCTGCAGTTCTTGCTGCAGTTCTCCTCCGTAATCCCATCCTCGTCTTCACCCCAAACATCCACAGCCGAGAAAATCAGCGCCACCAGCACAGCGAAGCAGCACACCAAAGCAAAGATCACAATGCACTTCTGCTGAGACTGCAAAACAGAGAAAGAAACCAACATTGATTACAAAGGTGTATTTTCTGCTCTTCAACACTAATGTAAAAAAACAAAGCCAAAGTTCCCTAACCTTGGCCTCCATCAGTTGGCAGGCTGACAAAACAGATTTAGTGCTCTGCTCAGCAGGTCATAATATGATGGAGGAGAATTTAACACAAACACGTAGGTTCATGTACGACCTTGTAAGTTCAGGCTCACATTTAGAAAATAAACCAGGAGGGAGAGTCCCAGACAAAAGCAAAGAACAATCGGAGATGGGGGGAACAGAAAGCACAGATTAAGCAAATGGATAAGATATAATTTACAAACTTTGCTGTTATTTTTTGACCAATTCTAAATGAATGAGTATGGATGAGGGGGAAGAAGGGGATGTGAAGGAGAAAGAGTTCCAGATGTAACCTCCCACAACAGCTGTGATCCACACACGTGACTTTTAATGACCTAACACCCTCCTTGTTGGTGTTTTAACTGACGCATTGCACTTTTCTTCCAAGAGACTGTGGCATATATGATATTTTACTAAATGCAGCTTACTTAACACATCTATCTTTAATGTATGAAAATTTAATACAATTATGCTAAAATTATGAGATCAGATTAATCAGCAGTTGGCAAATCATTTTTTCCTCGAGAAACTTCCAAGTGGAAAGGCATGTAAATGTGCTCCTTCTCAAAATGACCATATTCTCGGTGACCAATTACATGGAAGAAGTTGAAATATTTAGATTTGAAACAGGACCTTTGCAAGAGAGAACCCTATTCATTATTGTTGACAGGAGCTGCAAAAGTGAACAATTTTCCTCTTTAGAATCAAGTCTGAGGGGAATTGTAGACTATTGGAGTGTGTGGTTGCAGGCAAAAAATATAACAGTGCAGCGGTCTTTATAGCACAATGAAGTGTACCGACAAAATAATACCGAAGATACAAAACGCTAGAGCTGCACTATAGAGCAGATGTTATGTAATTAAAACAGTTTACACCGGAGAACAATGACAATACAGGACAATCAGTTATTAAAAATGTCATATTTGTAAGATAACTGTCTTACTGGCTGCTGCTGTACCACATTTGTCTTGTGTTGCTGTTAGTGACCTGTACAGGAAAAGTTAATCACTGTTTCAGGATCATCTGTAAAACCTGTGTCTTAAAAGTGAACTCAGGCAATTTGATTCTTAACAAATTTCCCTTTGGGGATGAGTAAAGTAACCTATCTGTCTCTCTATGATCTGTGCAAATCTCAAATTAGACTAAAACAAATGTAACTAATTTTATGAATGATAGTTTTGCGAAACTTGTTAGTGAAGAATTAGATGGAGAATGGCAAAAAGAATTCAAAAAATCACAACAGCTGTCATTTTCTGTGAAATATTACTTTTCATTTTTTTTACATTCATTTAATGATTTTTTACTATTTTTATTGTTTTTTCATTTTATTTATTTTTGATTCTTAAATCATTATTTATTTTATTTTTATTCTTTATTTCTGTATCTTTTTAATATTATTTCTTTAATTTTATTTCTTTATTTTTTTAACTTTTTTACATTTTGTTTATTTTTTATATATTTTTACAAAATTAAAAAAGAAAAAAATGTTTTCCAAACATTTTATTTTATTGTGCAGTGGTTTAAGGAAGCGTGTTTCTGGGTAACTGACTGTGTGTGTATGTGTGTGAGTGACCATGGTGTGCCCGTTGGTTGGCTCAGCAGTGGGGAAAGTCGGTATTACTTTTTTATGATGTTTTGTCCAATATTCCGCTCTCTTAGCACATTAGTTCTGGAGTTAGTGAGCCATTTAGAAAACCTTATTTTCCTCCTACTTGGGGCCTATTTTCACTTCACAATATCAAAGACAGCAGCAGCTGTGCCTTTAACAGGAGTGTGTTGCTTCACCTGCTGCTGAGGTCATTTACAGACTTGTGATGCTGCGGTGCAATTTAGAGTCCTCTGGGGAGGCTGATGCTGCTCTTTTCACTTGTTTCTCCTGGAAAATTGGTTTGTATTTCTCTGGCTTCTTTTCCAGATATATATCGAGAGCCACTTCTTCACTCCCTCACAGCGTGAGTCCAGAATGATTTAGTTTAGTACGGTGCCAGATGCTTTATTTACCTACAGTGAGGCAGAGTGGACAAAATAAAACTGACAAACTTGCATAGGAAAGCCATAAATGAAGAAATACCTCGGTTCTATTCAACTGCATACCCTGTGTGTCTAGGGTATTGTTATAATTCGCAACCCACCATGTACCATCTGCTCTGTAGACCAATCCTCTGCATGCAGGTCTAGAAATCAGATCAGTCATCCTGCTGCCAGAGGCCCATTCGCCAGAGGACTGAGGTATGAGCCATTGAGAAGGGTGGAGGGACCACTGCACCACTGCATTAGCCAAGCTTGGCTAATGCACCTTAGCATCATATGCAGGATGCAATAGACTTTCATCTACATAAATGGTAGTTTAAATAGGTTTTAGTCAGGAGATCTCAATATCAATTTTTTCCCCCACATCATCTAAATACACTAAATAGGTTTTACTGTGTTGGCTGAGAGGAATCTTCACAGCCGACACACTTTTACTCAGACTTTCACTCAACAAATTTGTTGGAAAACTTGTTGATTTTCAGTTGAAAATCTGTGGTTATTATTACAATGAATTAGAATGAAATAATATACTTTTTTAGGTTTAAGGAATCAAACACTTGCACATCACTAACAAGTAATAGATGCTTATAGATGTTATTCGACTTCATCATGTGTCATGTTTAGTTGTAGTTTTGTAGCCCCATAGTACTTTAAAACTTTCTTTCCGTTCAGAGAGGTGCTGATCTACAGTTGATTTGACCCAGTTACTTGGAAACACCCCAAGTATTTTCTAATCAGAAATAAATGCATCCTGATCCCTTTGAAATCTGCTACAAGAGCCAAAACAAATTATCTATGAGCACTGCAGATCATTAGCACAGTCAGCTAAACTCATTACACTCTGAAACAAATCTCCCATCATTCACAATGACCTCTGTGAGTTACAAACACAGTGCTTTGGATATTGTTCTACATTGTAGCTGCAAAGATTAATGCTCATGTGTCCACATATGAGAATTAAATTAATCTAGAAAGCACCCATGAAGTGTTCGAAGTGAACTAAAGAGGAGGCAGCAGGGAGGATGCAGAGATCCCATAGCCCACATAATCATTTCTCAGAGCTGATGTCTGATAGGTGGATTTGCATTACCAGGTTCTGTATCTAAAGCTTACTGCAAGGCTACCGGTTTAAAGTGAAAGACCTCCTAAAAGCCGATTCACATCCACTCACCTGGTTGGGAAAATGAAGGCCACAATAAATAAAAAAAGGCACTTAACTGAAGCCCACACTCAATGGGCTTGTGGAGATGAAATCACAACTGTCAATCACCCCCCATGCTACAAACCAGACATACTGGAACAAGGGCAATTATATATGAAGGTCCACTTGTGGAAGAAGCCTCCCACAAGTGGACCTTCATATAGTGGACCTCATTTCCAGTCTTTGTGAGCAGCTGCTTTAGCATTTACTTGGAGGCATTTTTGCATAAACAGCAGATATAGGACGAGGTCAGAGTCTGAGTGCACACAGGGGACAGTGTTTACTGACACTGCAACACAGTTGTGGATCAACACTTCTTCAATTACAGGAAGCAGTGTGCAACATGATAACTGTTTCAAAAAGAATGAAATAATGTGAACAGCAAATTAAAAAGTGAAGGCCTCAAGCTGTCATGATTGGTCTTATTGTACGGATATTATGTTAAAAATAGAGCACAATCTAATATCTATAGTAGTCCTATTTGTCTTACCTATAACCTAATATGTGCAGACTTTAATATAAGAAACCCTAATGGCTGTCTATTTAAAGAGCCCATTAGGCTGGCTTCGAGAATCTGAATCTCTAAAACTCCTGAAGAAACAAGAATTCTAAAGATATATGGTTTAATAAATTTTCCTTTACATCTATTTTCCCACCGTCATAAGAAAACAAAATATGCAAGTCTTTCTGTCATTTTGATCCAACATCTGTTAAACCACTGACATTTCAGCATACAGTGGCTTCCCCAAATGTTTCGCTTTGATCTCTTCAAAGCAGAAGTAAAGTGATTCAGGCTATTTGAATTTGCATCCACTTTTGGTGGCATGCTTAAAAAAAAAGTCTTTATTTTGGACAACCTTGCAAAAAAAAAAAGGCACAAATAATATAATTGAGTGAAATTGCTTGCTAATTCCTTTAAAAGCTCCCCAGTGTACTTTGGAAAAAGATGGGCAAGCTGGATGGCACAGTGCCAGACACACGCTGAAACAGTTTCTTGGCAGATAAGCGGACCCTGACAGGGGTTAGGGCTGGAGCAGAGACAGTGGATGTCTATGTAGCCTACTGTTTATGTACTGTATGTTTTCTCATGGTAGAAGAAAACATAACAAACCAAAGTTGTGTTCTGTTGCCTGTGCTCTGCCAAAGCTCTGTTAATCTTTTGCTGTCAGTTCAAGGTCTTTATCATTCCACTAGCCAATCAATAAAAAAACAACAACAACAATCTGCTCTGGTGTTTTCAGGGGGAAAATGATTAGATTTAGTGTTGAAGTACAGCAGAAGAATATCAAAAACAATGCAGAGAGGTGAATGTTGGGGAAGATGATGCAGAAGTCATGTCAACTCCCCGGCTTTCGAGGGTTATTAAAGGAAATCTTGAAGACCTCCTACTATGGAACAGGATGAGTTTCTCACTCACAGACAGAGAAAGGTATCAGTGCACCAATTATCCTCACCCAGGATGACACAGACAAATTACAGAACACCATCTGTACAATAGGATCCCCTACCTACAGCATATCCAACCCCAGAGTTTTCATTGAGAGCAGCAGATGCGGAACCTGAGGAACGATGAGCCTGGAGACCAGGAGCATCCAGGTTTCTACACACAATTTAGGAGGTATTTGGGGTAAAAAGGGACGTCACAGGACATCACAAAGTAAAATG